CTCCCCCGCCAATAGTAATCAAGACTGGCCAATTGATTGACTGCTCGTCATTAACGCGGATACGGTCGTGGTAATCGCGCATATTGGGCACATTTTGGGAACAGTGTCCCTGAAAATGTGCAAGGCCATGGAAATATGGAGCTTCATTGCAGTATTAAGTGGGCTTACATTTTTTAAGAAAATGTATTCTGGTCCGCTTTTATGGATTAAATTATAGTCTTCTTTTGGGAGGTCAGTATCCCAGAGCATCAGCCATAGTAATTTTAATAGTTAATCATATCTCTATTCGGTCTGGCCGAGTGAAAATAGGATTTTTATTTCCCTATTATGAAACCAACACGTGTAAAAGTGTGACACTTTAAAAGGGCATTTTTAAAATTATGAGAGCTGTTTGTAACATCACTCACTGTGATGTGTGGGGATGTATATGAAATATGGTACTTGGGATTAACTAAAGTGGCGGACAATTCGCTTCTCATTGCCTTAAGTATGTATGCATGTTGAACTTCTTTCGCACCGTACGTAGCCAACCGTGCGAATCGGAAGTACCACAATCACTTAGCTATTCACGATCAAACAAATTTGCTGATGTTTTTCCCAACACCCACAAGATGCTCCCCTTACAGAAAATGTTTTTCTCCCGAGACCCATGAACAAGCAAAACAAACGAGTCACAGACTTAGCTGGGGGGGGGTGGTGGCTGTACACACCTGTAATCCAGCACTGTAGAGACAGCAAGGATTGGTGGATCGCACAAATGTTGTGAAACTCCCTTCCCATGGGCGTCGAGGTGCCATACATTGGCTTGCCAGGGTAATGTGGTACAGACAAAACCTAATCCGTCTATATGGGATGGAGTGTTCCCCCATCTCGCGCGTGGGTTTTTTCCTCAGGCGCACCGGGTTCCTCCCACAGATAAGCACCCATTCATTGGCCGATGGCATCTTAATATAGAAAGGACCGCAGAGCTTTGGCAATTGTTGGTGCCGGATCACCGTGCGGCTGCCTTCCTGCTTGCCTGTGGCTCCTCGCGCCTCTGAGTCATTCTCTCTCTGTGATAGTGAGCGAATTACTGTGCGGCACCGTGTTACAAGTAGAAATTATTATAATGCTGGGGGCGCTTTTGTGAATAGTTGAGATTCATCACGTAGCGGCAGGTGGATCGACGGCGTACGGTGTGAGACGGAGATTGGCAGCACAAGGCAGTCGGGGCAAGTGAGACGTGGGGCTGAGTGAGGTGCAGGGTGAGTGGGGTGCGGGGTGAGTGAGGCATCGGGCGAGTGAGTTACGGGGGTGAGTGAGGAGTGTGGTTAGTGTGAAGTGAGGTGTGAGGTTTGGGTGAGTGAGGAGTGTGGTGAGTGTGGAGTGAGTTACGGGGGTGAGTGAGGAGTGCGGTGAGTGTGGAGTGTGGTGTGGGGTGAGTGAGGAGTGTGGTGAGGCTCGGGGTGAGTGAGACGTTGGGGTGAGTGGAGTGTGAGGTGAGTGGGACGCGGAGTGAGTGTGGAGTGGGATGATTTGGGTGTGGGGTGAGTGAGCAGTGTGGTGAGTGAGGCTCGGGGTGAGTGAGATGTGGGGTGAGTGAAGAGTGGGATCAGTGAGGAGTGGGGTGAGTGACACGTGGGGTGAGTGAGGCTAGGGGTGAGTGAGATGTGGGGTGAGTGAAGAGTGGGATCAGTGAGGAGTGGGGTGAGTGAGGAGTGGGATGAGTGACACGTGGGGTGAGTGAGGCTCTGGGTGAGTGAGGCGATAGGCCATCAGGATGCCTGGGTGCAAGTGGAGCGTGCACAGTGAAGACCACAAATTGAGACGGGGATGCAGATGAGTGGTCTGGCAAGTCGGGGGGGCGAGGTGACTGGGGATTAGTGGAGGGCTATTAAATAGTCACAGCCATTCGTGAGGTTTAATATACGTATATACATATATGTGGTTTGTTACAAAGGGAACAGAACATATGCTACTGCACAATTAAAACAAAAAGGTGACAAGTCGCATTTCCTATTAAATAAGTTGTGGCAATATAAGTTACAAATGTACGATTGAATGTGTATTGATTTTAATTGAATAATTAAATGTGCCATTCAGCAGTATAAGTGATTGCGCAATATAACGAAGGATGTTAAAACGGCGCCTTTCTAACGAGTGGGACAGCAACGACAATCCTACCCCAAGATACTTTACACGAAATGTGTCGAAAGTTATTCAGTGGCCAAAAAATAAAAGCAACGACAATGTCAGCGGACATACTGCATCGTCCAAGTGCAGTCCTATCCCAAGAAACTTGACACAGATGACAAGAACAGACTACATTAGGGCAGAAAAGGGGGGCGGGGACAGGGGCCTGGGAAGGGGAGCAAAGGGTGTGAAGGTGAGGTGGAGGTGGGAAGAGGGAAGACAAACACAGACGGGAGCAGGGTGAGAGCAACGCCGCACCCCACGCAGCACCGGCGAGAAACGAGGCCTACAGACATCAGGGGCAGCCAGAACAGCACCGACGAGTCCCTAAGGTCAGCCCTTCGCGAGGGGATTGCCACCTATTCCACCGCAGACAAAACCCAAACGTCCAGGTAGAACCCCTCTTAACGGTGGTAATTGGTTCCACGGAACCGGTCGTTAAGTGTTTCGGTCATTTAGCGAGCATAAGAAATACATGTACACCGAAAATTCAAAAAGAGATGTTTACACTTCAAAGCGTAACAGACACTGAATGTAAACAATTCCCCAACTCTCATGAATGGACGTCGCTGATTGGCCGAGGCCCGGTCAGACCACTTTGGAGCTCGCCAATTGGTCGAAATTGGCGGTCGCGTGCTGTTGTAAGCCCGTCGTTAACAGGGGAATGGTCGGTAAGCGAACATATGGGGCCCGTCGTTAAGTGATTAGTTATTTTCAGGAGTGGTCTTTAAGAGGGGTTCTACTGTACATATCTCAAGTCAGCGTTGAGGCTTTCAAAGCTGTGCACAAATACCGTGATAAACTTCCAACAAAACAACACCTCCGCCAAGATCTCTCTACAAATCTATTGCTGCCACAGGAACACGGGTGCCAGTGTCCGGCACCGAGTGGTTCAAACCAAAGGCAGGTGGCAGAACCATACCCGTCATCATTGAATCAAAGAACACCCACATGGGGAGATGGGGCCCTTTATTGAGGGCCAAGGCATCCTCAGACGACAATGGCTCATTCCAGGGTATTTAAGTGACGAGGGGGGCGGGTGGGGTGGTGCCGTGACCCTTCAACGAGTTTGAGGGCCATCCCTGCAATAGATGAGGTCCGGGATTAAGGCAGGAGGAGGTGGCAGTGATGAGGAGCGAGGAGAGGTCAGGCATGGGATTTAGGCCAAGGGATGGGGGTAGAGTATAAACGAATGAGGTCAGGGGGGGAAATAACATTCCCCCGGTGCATTGCTCCTCATGATAGAAGTGCACTGCAGTATGCATTATACCAGACTGGGACTCGACTGCAGTGAAAGCAGCAACGCAATAGGCAACATTTTCTCGTTTCAACTCAACTCCATTAAAAATTATTAAAATACAATAAAAATAAATATATGAGGAAAATGAAGAAAGTTGAACATGTAGGCTTTCGCGACCGAAACAGGAGGATTTATCCACAACTCTGGCTGTCGCCTGATTATGCTGGTTGTAATTACCGGCGAAACGTCGTACTCGAAGGGTAAATGTTGTGGGTTTACTCTCCAACACAACCGGTGTGCTCAACCAGTAACGAATTAACACGTTTTGTTTACATGACAAACCTTACTAATTGGCTGTGTCGGGTGGTGGCGGGTTTAACGGCACATTCATATTTAATCTAGATTTTAAGTTTTCGTGACTGCAGCGATCCATACTCTTTGGTTCTTTCGGTAAAGTCACGTAGGTATAAATGTATTTTATTTTATACCTACGTGACTTTACCGGGAGAACCAAAGAGTACATTCATATTGACTCGATCGAACTAAAAAAAAACCTCTATTATGGAGAATTAACAAAGGTTACGTGTGATTTAGGGATGCTTTTTCTCGCCATGTATTTTTTGCATTGTGCTATTTTGGAGAACAAGTGGGAGCAGTAAAAACCAAGGGACACAGCGGAAGTTTTTATGTTCGGTTACAATAATTATACGGCAAGTAACACTGGTCTCCTCCGCCATAAATGTGCCAGCGCTCATTCTACTAATGGCATGCCGTAATTTCATTAGCATTAATTAAGTGTGTTATGTCTGCAGGGGTGAATGCTAATTTAGACATGACGAGCAGACCAGCTGTGGAGAGACAGAAGCTAGATTCATAGAGCATAGTGAATTCATTCTCAGAGGTCACTGAATTTCACATAGAACCTCTCATTTCAGCGTTATTCAAAAATTACAACCTTGAGGATATTTAATTTTATGATATTATATCAAATGTATTCACGTTGATAATAATATAGCACTCAATAGTGGGACGTTTACAATATTTTTTTGGATATGAACGTACAACATTTTTCTTTGGAACTGCTTTTCATGCTTAGTTTGTCGTCCTTCCGCCACGCCTCCGATTGGCGCGGTTGGCTACGTACGGTGCGAAAGAAGTTCAACGTACATCACATGATTGATCAATGTTCCTTTTATACGTTGTGTCTATGCCCTTTTGGCGCGTGAATTCACCCACTGACCTATTCCTGTCCCTCCTTTTTCTCCCATTTCCTTCTCCAAATATCTGCCCGTCCGCCGCTGCATCACTTCTGCTCCGTATCTCTCTCTCTCTATCCTCCTCCTCCTCCTTGCGTTCCGTCTGTCTCATCCATTCGCTCTCTTACCCTCTTCACCACCTTTCCATTTTCATCTTCGCGACCATGTTTACCCTTTCCTTCCTTGACTTTCCTGCATGATATTTACCTTCTTCTTCCGTCCGTCTTGTCACCATTTATTTATTTACTTATTTATTTCCGGACCCACCCCCACCCCTCCCCCACTTATCGCACGTTCTTTTCTCAATATACTCTCCTCATTACCTCCCGCAGCACCATGGGTCGCCGGGAGGTGGCCCTGCTGGAGGTAGAGCTGGAGAATGGCACAGCTCCACTGCGGCATTTGCTGTGGCACGTCAGTTACAATGGACAAGACTCCCATCCCGAGAGCGAACGCCTGTCGACCGAGATTGCCGTCAGCCAGCGGGATATCCGAGCCCTAGTGCCACTGCCCATGGTAGGTGAATGTTTTCAGTATTGCACACCGCTTTATTAGTAAATATAGAACGGTTGTCTTTTTGCGTTTTCTTTTTTATTCTGGTCGACTGCACATCACTGACCAATCATTGAATGGGAAAAGTGAATTGTCATTCGTTAGTGCCTCCATTTATGCCTGAATGAGTAAACATATTGATACAACATGCAGATTATTGCGGTAAAGCAATCCCCATGACTGGCACGGTATGAAATGGCTTTAATTCAGCATTGAGGCCTTAATTCACAAAGGGCTGTAAACTGAAGATTAATAGCGTGAACATCAAAATCGCGACGCTACTTTATTATTCCAAACCAAAGAGTGCAGGACTCCAATTTGTGAGCCGCGAGTTGTCTCCAAGCGAAAGTTGCCTCCTATCCAGGGGGGGGGGGAGGTCAATCAAATAAGTACCCCACTTTGAAGACAATTGTTGGGAAATCAGTTGTAGGTTGTCTCATGGCAAGGCCGTGAATATAATATATATTGGGGGGGACACATCCATATTTTAATATTGGGGACACATCCCCCCCATTTTGAGCATATTCAAATATGTTCAAAATGCCCCCCCCAATATATTGTTATAAAAAATGTTGCTATGCTATGTAAATGAAAACAACAATTTGCTGAACCTTGGCCACAATATATGGACTTGTCTTCATGTAAATCAATGCATAAATTTCTGTTTATATGATTGTGGTTATGTTAGTACTTTATTAATCCCTAATCTCTGCCATTACATACAATGAAACAAGAAATGGTAAAAAAGTAAAAACAGTGCAATGCAATACAATACACTATTAGACTTTGTAAAAAAAAAAAGTCCATACCATGTGTTCGTGAATTTTGTAATATTTTAGGCAGGAAATTAGTTTTCAAATTTAGATATTTTTCTGGGTTGGGACCCCCAGACACCCTGGAAGATTTGGTCCCCGCCAATGTTGACTCCATGGCTACGGCCTTATCTTATGGGGATATTAATGTTAGCAACTACAATGGGGAATTTTCAAAACTGTCTCTGGACCTACACAAAACGAGAGGTGGTTCCGGGTGGCTCTGTGGCCAGAGCACTAAACCAGGCACAGCTCATATTCTGGATTTGAATCCTAGCAGCTGCCCGCAATTATGCCACGTCCTTAAGTATCGCGATTTGATTTTCTCAGGCTGGTAACCAATGACTGCACACACAAAGATGTGTACTTAATCTGATAAACTATGAGATGAAATAAACCGGCTGAGACACGTGAAACATCGCCTCTTTTGCAAGGGCGTCCCGTGTTCCGAAAGTTACATAATTGCTGTGCATTGTTACGTTGTCCTAATCCTTTTGTCGTTTTCGAATTAATTGCCCACATTAATTGCATGCCTTGAAACCCATCTATTGTAATAACTCATTTGCAAATACTTGCAAGGATGTATTTTTATCGCATATCTTGCATCCCCTCATTTTGGGGAATTGTAAATTATTCCACAAACCGTCCAATTTAAATGGCGGCTTCTTTTTTTTAATATAAATTCATCCATAACCAGACAATAAAATTAGGTCTTCATGGGTCAGGTGGCAAGTAAAATGCTTTATAAATGAGACAATGTGTTTACATGGCGGCCTGATAGCGGACTGTCGTGAACTATCTTAATGACATCAATACCTCCTAATGAATTTCAATTAAAAAACCCTTTCAGTGACAGTAAGATAGAACTGATCTCATCAACCACAATGAAATGGGTGGACATGGTCTTTTTTTCAATAGTCTAACCATTTTATTAATGACGTCGTACGAAACATTAGTTACAACAAATATTGGCAAATATTTTTCATTGAACAAAGGCGTGTAATTTCTATTTACTCATTTATATACTTTAAGACAACTATTTTTTTTAGATTTACTTTAGGACCAACAAATACCTGACTTTCTTTTATTTATCCTATTAACCAACTACGGCGAAGGGTGTTATTGTTTATTGATGACCAACGTGCACATCATTGCTCACACAATCCAAATGCAAACACGCATTGATGGAGCACAGTATGGCGGAGTTGTCAATTTTCCGCAGAGAGAGGGGGAGCTTTGACTCCATAAATATTTCCTTGAGAAGAAACAAAATAGAGACTGTGTTACTACCTGCATAGGTTTCAATGGATACTGAACATATGTGCAAAGAGCTTCAGAGCTCATCGGATTCCTCCGGTATAAAAATTCAAAGTCGGATATATCGTTGGACTTCTTTCGCACCATACGTAGCCAAAACCGTGCTAATCGGAGGTGTTGTACGTGCTTCCCTGATGCGCGCTCTGTGTTCTACCGCGTGTTGCTCCTGAATAAGCTTCCCAACAACGTGAAACGGAACGTCGGAACATTGTGGCGAAACGACGTAGGGTGCGAGCCGGGAAACACGATCGGGACCCATCCGTTGCTGATACGAACAGCTCTGCCCTTGTAAAGACGACGAACACACACTACATTTCGTTTTTAATCTCCTGACTAAATAGGTGATTAAGTTAATCCCTCTAGAGGTGTGAGATTGTAAAACAGTGCAGTGTATTCACGTACAGTAGTTTGCGTGTCGGCTCGGATGGTAAATTGGCTAACCCTCTAATTTGTCAATCATCCATTCAATTGGTAGCCGATGTATCCCTGGTGTAGCAACCTGCTTACCCCCATTTCCCCGGTTTATTTGGTAGGATGTGTTGAGGCGTGCAAGAGGAGATGCGTGCACGCACATATTAATCTGGCTTCGTCGCAAATATGAGCGTCGTTGCATCGACCCCCAAAGCAAACCTCAGCCTGAGTGGCGGCTGCCTTTCAGCTCGGTGACTTCCCGTGCTAAATTATGCTCCGTGTGCTTGCAGCCTGTTCTTTCTCGTGCAGGGAGAGAGGAGAGCCATTACTTTGCATTTCTCAATGTGCGTAAGAACCATTCGCTCACATTGCCATTCAGGCCATATAGGCATGCGTAGCTCGAACGTGGAATCCATCTTAAAATAGGATCATCTTTGACATCGCCAAAGGATGTTTAGGGGTCTTGTTTATTGAGCAATCCAATTAGGTAGCTTACGTAGCTGAGTTGATAACAGTCTGTGCAGTTACATGGTCCTTTGAGCCAAAAGATCATTTTTGAGCAGATTTTTGTAATTTTGGTCCAACAATGTTGTGTTCTCTCGTGTGGCTCAGATACCGCTGCCGTTTGGCAGAGACCGCGTGAGCAGGCTTTTGTGTAACATTTCTAAACACGTGACCTGGGCTTAGCGACAGCATATTGGTGAAACTAGTAGTTATTGCAATCTAGCAACATCTGCAGTATTGCAGCAGCGATATTCGCAGTGACTCAATAAAGTCGAAATATCACGAGTTCAGATCCTGGTCCGGAATATTACTTATTCCATTATAATTATCCTCGTAATCATATCATCCCGCTGTGCAGCAGGATGTAAAAAGTCAACATTAAATTTTCTAAGGATGCAAATACTGACTCCTCTACAACACGACTAAGACATTTTTTTAAAATATTTTCACCACTTATTTAAGGTCACCAATAAATGCAATCACTATGCAACATCAAATTTGATCTGCCAGGCTGATTTATTTCGAATATTTAACGAGACGTGATTTAAAATTGGAATGCTTTTCTATCAATGCAATTACAGTCGCATCAATAATCACACTGGTGGTTTGGTAAACGTTGTCCATTGTAATCTGTCAAACCATAAAATTAATACTTTTTTTAAAGATAATTTGCACACAAATCAGTGGCACGTGGTGAGGGTTTGTATCGGCATTAATGCTACGCTATCAGGTTAGCTGTATAGATCACACACTCCACGAAATAGCAGGACCTGTTATACCATCCTTTGCACGTTTGCTTTAAGCTGATTAGTGTTAATGTGTTTCTGAAATGGGATAATTTATTTATATTATAGGTTTATTATACAATAATAATTCTTCCACGCGCATGCTTTATCCATTGAAAATTTGAATCTTATTGAAGTTAATTAACTGATGTAAGGCTCTCTTAATTATGTCCCTGACCATTTGTAAAGTTTGAGATGAATCGCTTTTCATTTTTACGATGTTTCTTCCTTTAAATTATTAAAATTATTATATACATTGTTTTTGGGCCAGAATTTACATGTATCGTTGAAACAAAGAATACAATTGTACTTTCAGAGCCTTTTTTTCTCTCGAAACATTCATTAGCATTCAGTGCTGATCACTTGTAGAGGCTGTACTACTCATTAAAAATGGACAATTTTAATTCTACCTGAACACTGACCTGAAAGACGTCATTAGCGGCATTAGACCTGCCATTTCCTCAAATCACTTTTAATGTGCTCGTCGTTATGGTCAATTGTTATCTAACTTTGTAAGAACCGCTTAATTACCGTTAATCAACACATACAAGCCAGCGTCATTTGGAAACCCACTTTGCCAATGCAATGCTATTCTACCGTTACGATCAATGCCAGCATGATGTATTTACTTGAAATTGATCCATCACTCGTGCCGATGTATAATTTGTAATGTTTTTGTATTTTTTATGATTAAGACTATATGGGATATTTATCATGTCAGCCAAATATATCATTTTATTTCAAAAATGTTTTCAAACATGTTATAGCTATTACTACTCATCATCTCTCAGGATTAGAATACTACATTTTGTTTAATACTGGTACAAAGAAAGGCATGTATGGTAAATGCTATAACCTCGTACATGAGTAGAGCAATACCATAGATTGCTAACACATTCTCAGAAGCAGATAGTTGTGTACTGTAGATCTACGAGCAATAATGCTAGGCACATCATTTTATTATCATGAAAAATCAAATGGAAACACTTTTGTTAATAGACATTTTAATGATTGCACATTGTATTTCTCTCAGCGACTAAATTATCTGAAGTGCGTTGTTGTGTTCACTTTTGCCTGACGGTCAAGCGAACAAGTGAAACGCCCTCACAAATTAAATGCATCTGTACTCGTTCTCTTCCCGTAAATGTCCCACGTCCCACAAAGGAATTGCCATAATTTGACTTGGCCTAATTTTATTTGCTGCATATTAAATTACTGTAATGTGTTGTAACAGTTTGCCTCTCGGGATTTAGTTTTTTTTTATAATTATTGACCGTTGCGAACAATTCCAGTAAAGATTAGCCGTGGGAGTATTATACGGTTTTGTTTATCATAAGATGTGAACTCTGCTTGTGACAAGAAACCATTGAAAAAATTTTAAATGCATCGCATAGTCTTTTCGGCAAATGCATAATAGCACTCAGAAATTGTCCATAATCCCCAGGCAATAACAAATGCATGTTGGTTTTGTCGAAAACGTAATCAGGGAAAAGAACATTTTCAGACAGGAACATGATAACTTTGCAGATTGCCACTGCAGACTTCAAACATTAAGCGCGTAATGAAATCACCGCATTTCTATTGTTCTCAGGTGTCCGTTATTGGTATCTGCAGTGGGTGATTTCATCGATTTCCATCCCACGGCTATTACACGCCGGTTGTTCCCCTCGCAGTGGTCGCGTCGCAGAATATGCAATCACTTGCGAGAACGCCTTTGCTTGCTGCAAGATAAATAAAATAAAACAAAGAGGAAAAAAAGTTATGCGTACCGGAGACTTACGTCATGCTTTCAAGCATATATTTGTCTTCAGAAATATTTACCGAGCAGTCAGGAAGCCCAGTTGAAAAGGCATTTGCAAATTTCATAGTGTTTTGTTTTTTTGCATGGTTATGTCTCCAAATAATTCTGGGTGACCCTTTGATCAATTTGTATGGTTTTCCAACGGGATGAGTTCCTAATAGCAACATAACTTTATACAAAAAAATATGCGTTCAAATTGCATAATAGTTACGAGTGTTATCATGACCCCACATTACAGACTGACAGGCAGGCACGGCTAATGCGTTAAACCTTAGTTGGAATGCATCATTAACACACTGCTGGTGTTCCGTCGTGATGTTTTGTTGATATGGCGTCGTTACGAGAGTTATCGTGACCCCATGCTACAGACGAAAAGACTTGACGGGCAGAGCCCATGCATTAACACTTTAAACATTCGTTGAAAATCGTTAGTCTGTCGGAAAGTTTGGTTCATATTTGATCATCATCATCACTCCCACATCCCTATTAAACCAAAATAGAGAGCTTATTTGCACATGCACCTAATTTATTCTGCCACCTCTTGTTCTCACGTTCTGCATTTGGTTTTTTTGTATTCGCATGTGCTTATATCCATAATAGAGTTTTTTTTGGGTTAGATCGCGTAAATATATAAATGTGTTGTTAAAACCCGCCACCACCCGACACAGCCAACTAGTAAGGGTTGTCACGTAAACAGAACGTGGCCAATTCGTTACTAGTATGCGATTGGTCGCGAAAGCCTACGTGTTAAACTCCTTATATCCAGGTAAGACTAAATTACAGGGTGCTTCAAAATGTGTTAACACTTACATGGGACTATCGTTTTGAATGGAAAAAACAGCGGATAATACACTTTAACATGATAACAAATGTAATGTTAATGGCTTACAAAAATCAAAGAGTCTCCACTTGTTCGCCATCATTGTCAACACGTGCCTGGAATCTTTTCCAGGTGGTCTCAAGAGCCTGGAGGCACATTTCCTCGTGGTATTGTTCATGCACATGCGCAATATTCCTTAAGGACCCTGTACTCGTTCTCTGCAATGTTTACATTCCCCCTTGCAAAATAGGCGGGCAACTGGCTGTGTAACAAATTAAATAAACTCAAATGAGAGTTATCGTGACCCCATTTCCCAGGCAGCCATACGGATAAACAGACAGACAGGCAGATAGGCATACAGATGGATAAACAGACAGATGGATAATCAGACAGATGGACAGACAGATGGATAGCTGGACAATCAGACAAATGGACAAACAGGCAGACAGAGGGATAATCAGACATATGGACAGACAGATGGACAGACAGGCAGACGGACGGATAAAGAGACAGATGGGCAGACAGGCAGATAGACAGACGGAGCTCGTGCATGGACAAGCTTCGTTGTAGAGCGTCGGTGGTGACGACGGCGGCGGCGGTGTGCGTGTGACGCGTGAACGACCCGGGCTCCCCGCAGGCGGAGGAGCTGCTCAACACGGCGGTGCTGACGGGCCGCACCGTGGCGCTGCCGCTGCGAGTGCTCGTCGTGGAGGAGAGCGGCCTCGTGACCGACGTCTCCGAGGAGGCGCAGTGCTACTCGCTCGACGAGGACGTGCTCAAGGTGCGGACGGTGATAGTGGTGCTAGCCGCTCGTTGCGAGGGACCGCTGTTCGATGAACTAAACTATGGTTTATTGTACCAGGTGACTTGGCCACAAATGATAGCTCAACAAAGTGGCTTATCTTCTTGGTTCTTTCGGTAAAGTCACGTAGAAGGGGAGTAATAAAATAATAAAAATAAAACATAATAAAATAATTATCACGACGTTTCGGCCACAACGCAAGCAGCCGTCCTCAGGTGAAGAACAGGTCTGCCGAAACGTCGTGATAATTATTTTATTATGTTTTATTTTTATTATTTGATTACTTCCCTTCTACGTGACTTTACCGAAAGAACCAAGAAGATGAATCCCTGCAGTCACGAAAGCTTTAAATCGAAAAGTGGCTTATCGTGTGTGAACATTTCTAGCGGACAAATACTCTAAACCCGTGTTGTTTCTAAATGTGGAGGGGAAAACCCGAGGAGCCATAGAAAAATCCACGAACACGGGGATAACGTGCAAACTCCAAATATACAGGCATCAGGGTCAGGATTGAACTGACGATCTCCTGTATATCAGGCGAGGTAGTCAACATCTCCACACCGCGGTGCCCCAATACAGCGGGCACGCTGTGTATTGACCGCAAAACGCACGCCGCTGTTTGCTCACCGCAGATGTTAAAGATTTCGTGACGTAAATAAAAAATGAGTAGGCCATGTGTGTGTCCAACTCCACGGTCTGAATTAGCAATATTTGAAAACTACTCGTGAATTATTTAATTGGGTAAAGCCAGATATTGTGAAACTACTGGAGACGTTATCCATCTCCATAGCATGTGAAACATAGCACTTTTATTATAGCTCTGCGCTATAATAAAGGCATGACTACCAAATATACCAATGATTTCTTTGAAGCCAGAGGGTCAGGTTTTTTTGCAACAAATGTAATAACTTGTCACCGGCTTGGCCAATTTCATGTACTCACTGCGTTTTTCTTTGGTCCTGCAACTAGAAATAAAACTTTTCAATGCAAGCATAATAGTGTATTCACATCATTAGCCACATTGACTCCTGCCAACAGGTATTAAAATTCACATTCTTCTGGCTTGAGTTTCGTGCAATGCTGCAACACTAATCATCGGGCTTATACACGTATATATGTGAGCAGCCATCTCAAGCAGTTTCAGAGTGGAGTCTCACCTGTTCTAATCTGATAGTCCTTAGGAAGATAAAACCCTGTGACCCAACACACATCTGACAAAAGGTAGGTTAGTCTTGTGCATGACAAGACATATCTGACCTGTAAGAGCTTATAAAGATGCTAGGCAACCCAGGTCTGTAAGGCCTGCCTACGCCGTTTTCACTCTCGAAGACTGAGACAGTTTCCACAAATATTGTTAAGATAAAGCGAAATATTCGAAAGATTATTAAAGGCACGTGTGCTTAAGACCCTGGATAGGTTAGAATTGAAAGCTGAGAAGATAAGTAGCGGACAAAAAAGACTGGATGCTGACAGCTGTGGAAGAGACAATTCCACCCATCTCATTATCTTCACCAAGAAGAGAATTGAGGATTAAGGCCAAGCAGCAATCATTGATTGTGAGTAATCCTGATGTTCGCTAATGCATAACTTAGCACTTATACCTGACATCCATTTACGAAATGTTGATGCCTGAAAACATAATAAAACAATTTGTATTTCTTCCTACGGCCATCATTCTTTATTCAATGTTCATAAGAAATATGCATGATTTATTTTGCAGTATATGAGGCGAGCTAAAGCTTCAAAACACGTATTTGTTTAATTTCTGTGTTTGTTTAAACACGTAAATAGAATGTCACAGGGAGCTAAATAAATAACAGTGTTATAAATAAACAAACGCTTTCAATTGTGTGATCTATTATAGTCTACATAACCTTTACCTCGGCCCTAACTAACACGCAAAACATATTATCGATATACACAACTGGTCACTCAAACGTTATATCTTTATATGTATCTGTGCGTATGTGTGTGTTAGAGGGTGTATGTGTGTGTTAGAGTGGGTATGTGTGTGTTAGAGTGGGTATGTGTGTGTTAGAGTGGGTATGTGTGTGTTAGAGTGGGTATGTGTGTTAGAGTGGGTATGTGTGTGTTAGAGTGTGTATGTGTGTGTTAGAGTGGGTGTGTGTGTTAGAGTGGGTATGTGTGTGTTAGAGTGGGTATGTGTGTGTTAGAGTGGGTATGTGTGTGTTAGAGTGGGTGTGTGTGTGTTAGAGTGGGTGTGTGTGTGTGTTAGAGTGTGTATGTGTGTGTGTTAGAGTGGGTATGTGTGTGTTAGAGTGTGTATGTGTGTGTTAGAGTGTGTATGTGTGTGTGTTAGAGTGTGTATGTGTGTGTGTTAGAGTGTGTATGTGTGTGTTAGAGTGGGTATGTGTGTGTTAGAGTGTGTATGTGTGTGTGTTAGAGTGGGTATGTGTGTGTTAGAGTGGGTATGTGTGTGTTAGAGTGTGTATGTGTGTGTTAGAGTGGGTATGTGTGTTAGAGTGGGTATGTGTGTGTTAGAGTGTGTATGTGTGTGTTAGAGTGGGTGTGTGTGTTAGAGTGGGTATGTGTGTGTTAGAGTGGGTATGTGTGTGTTAGAGTGGGTATGTGTGTGTTAGAGTGGGTGTGTGTGTGTTAGAGTGGGTGTGTGTGTGTGTTAGAGTGTGTATGTGTGTGTGTTAGAGTGGGTATGTGTGTGTTAGAGTGTGTATGTGTGTGTTAGAGTGTGTATGTGTGTGTGTTAGAGTGTGTATGTGTGTGTGTTAGAGTGTGTATGTGTGTGTTAGAGTGGGTATGTGTGTGTGTTAGAGTATGTGTGTGTTAGAGTGTGTATGTGTGTGTTAGAGTGGGTATGTGTGTTAGAGTGGGTATTTGTGTGTTAGAGTGGGTATGTGTGTGTGTTAGAGTATGTGTGTGTTAGAGTGTGTATGTGTGTGTTAGAGTGGGTATGTGTGTTAGAGTGGGTATTTGTGTGTTAGAGTGGGTATGTGTGTGTGTTAGAGTATGTATGTGTGTGTTAGAGTGTGTATGTGTGTGTGTTAGAGTGGGTATGTGTGTGTGTTAGAGTATGTATGTGTGTGTTAGAGTGGGTATGTGTGTTAGAGTGGGTATTTGTGTGTTAGAGTGGGTATGTGTGTGTGTTAGAGTGGGTATGTGTGTGTTAGAGTGTGTATGTGTGTGTGTTAGAGTGGGTATGTGTGTGTGTTAGAGTATGTATGTGTGTGTTAGAGTGGGTATGTGTGTGTGTTAGAGTGGGTATTTGTGTGTGTTAAAAAACGGGTACATTAAAATTGACAAATGACTCATTTGTATAATTAACACGAGCAGCAAAGAAATGTGTCATTTTATCTTTCACTCTTATTTATATTCAAATGTATATCACTGCTATGTATATATACTGCAGATATGAATGCTTTCTTTTATTTTATTGTTATTTTTCTGGGGTCGCTTCGGTTTGTTGCAAATTTGATTCTTTTCATAACCTAAACATGTCGCTTCGAGGAATTAATGTATTGGAATGTAATGCTTGTCATACCATGTATACATTACCTCGTACGCATTGCTTGCAGAAGTACACGGCGCCCTATATTTCATATACTGCTGTTTGATCTATCTACGCTGTTGGGTAAAGTCGGCTTTATGTCGGCAGTTTAGACGTCTGCTGGCAATATGTAATGTTTCATGCTGCATATAAACAATATACACTGTGAAAATGCAGTGGCACACTGGGTGGCAACAGGTTTGAATTTCATTTTATCTGCGACAAAATGTCCGCTCGTATATCAATATCGCACTTACTGGGCGAGTGTGATCTTGGAGCCTACTCGAGTAATTCCAATCTGCTTTGAGCTGATAAAATCTGAACGCTACAAGCGCGGGGTGACATTTCTCCTTAATCAGTGGCTGGAATCCTTGTTGCATGTGTCAGCGTGTCACACACAACGATGTGAGAGAGAGCGGTGGGGGGGGTCCCACACGCGTGATGGACACCCTAACGTGTTGCCACGAACGATTCATTTTAAAGATCGTGTGGTTTGTTTGTAATAATGAACGTGAAATAAAGCAACAACTAACTGCGAGTCACGAAAGGAGGTCGGCTTTGTTGCCGTTTTTTTTTAGTTCTCAAACATTTTTACGATGTGAAAACGCATTCTGAGGATTTTTTTGTTTGTTTATAATGTGATTTGTGTTTCATACGTGTGGAAAGTGTTCGATTTCAGCCGTGGGTTAACGGCGCCATATGTATGTATCATCCCCTTAGAATTGTATTTTCCAAGGTTTAAACAAAAATCTTTTTTTATCATCTGCTAAATGCAACAAAGTCTGATCTAAACAGGGGACAGTGAAACACGGCATGTGGACAATAATCCCCTAGTGAACTAGCCCATTATGCAAGAGCCACACACACTGGTCTCCACACAACTTGTATTTTGTATGAGTTGCATCTGGTGCTACCTTAATATTGAGCCTCCCTGGACGGGGGTGGGGGGGGGGGTCTCAAAATAATGTTTTGTGACTTTTAGCCAATTCTTTATTGGACATATGGGCCCCTCTTACAATAAACTGGAACGTAAACAGGACTTTTCATACCGAGTTCAAAAATGCCCGTACCCCCACTCCCCTTGGGCCCATTTCCTTAAAACGTTTGCCATCCTTTCATCTACTATATTGAAACCATTCAACAAGGTAACGTATTATCAGCCCCACTCCACACCAGTGCTTCTCCAATGTAGTGGGATCCTCCCTCTGAAAGAGCTGAAGCCAGTGCGTTTAACGAGTGCCAATTGTTTCTGCGATGCAGCTGCTACTTCGCATCCCGTAAGCCACAAGCCAGATTTTCGGAAATGTCAGTAATTAAGGCACTGCACACGTGCAGAGCTCAACTAGAAATAGCATGTCGTGATGAAAATAGCAATAATGAACCTCTTTAGCAGCGTCGAATGGGACATTTCGCTCGCGTGCGTGTATGAGAAAATGAGTGTGTGTGTGAACGCATGGATGTGTTTTCCGAAGCGTTGGTAATTAATGGCCGAATCAAGTTGTTTCCTTTACCACACAGCTATAATCTTAGCCTGACGTAACCTCGCCCGTCTGACCAGCCGGGGTCGTCGATCAAGGTGTCAATGAAAAATTGGAAAACAGCTCCATTCCATTTCTCGTGGCGGTGGGCGTGGAGGAGGCTTGCTGCCCCCACACGCCACCCCCGTCCCGTTACAAATGAGGGCTGCGTTGCAAGCTGACCGGAAAACAGTCGCACGTGCCCAAGCCCTTATTAACCAGCCCCGGCCACAGTCATAAAATAATAACGCGAAAGTTATCATTCTTTTCGCGCCGAGCCATTTCCAAGAGTAACGGGTCCACGGAATACAATCATTGGGGGTTCTTTTTTTTTTACTCATGCTGGCTGCTACGTACAACAACGCACGTTTTTTTCGAAGCCCCACGCACCAGAATTTGTTCATGCAACCGGTCTCTCTCGGGTCTACGAAACTGTATTTGGCTAGTATGCCACTGTATTATAATCTCAATAAATCTCCTCTTTTACCACCCGCTAATTCTTTTATATCCCTTTAAATCTCGACCGTGCGCTGAAGTTAGCAGTATCGCCGTGAAAATGTAAATATTGCTTGAAACAAAGGTTACCGGTACCTTAACACGGAGGAGAAAATGCCATCGAGAGCAATATTCTTTTACGGTCACCGTCTATTGAATTGGTGACATTTCCTCTTGTGGCCCATTCATGACTCTGAAGAATAAGGTGCGGCAGAGACCATAATTTAATCCCTGAACAAATTTCATGCCCAGGAAGGACATTTCACATGGAAGCAATATGAAAAAAAATCACAACTTTAAAAAAGTACGTTTAAGAAACATATGAATAAATGAATGATGTAATGTAAGCAAAACAATGCGCTCCACGGAAATTAGTACTTCCAGAGAAGAGCACACGGTGAGTTGTTCTGCACGTGCAGCACAACTTTGAGCCGCTCGAGATGACCTAAAAGCAGCGCATCGTTCGAATTAGCATCGTGTGCTTCTTTGCCTTGTCTTGAAAAAACACACACCGATGAGTAAGATGTGTAAAATGGTGCGATTGTTTCATTCTGCAACAGATGTCAACTCGATGTGCATATTTAAAGCACGTTTGACCACCACGCTCTTTTGGCATGTCTGGCCATCTGCTCCAATCCATCGCGATGCGTTTGCAGGCTGTGCCACGTATTGTTCGGCATGATGTCCGATGTTTCACTCAACAAGCTGGCAACTTTTTCTTAGGTGTTTTCGGTAAAGTCACGTAGGTAAAACATCAAAATTAATCAAAATAATAAAATAAAATAAAGATCACGACGTTTCGGAGGCAACACAAGTCTCCGTCATCAGGTGGGACAGTCACAGCCAGATCAGCTGCATCAAGTGAGGCAATGATTCAAGATGTAATCCCTTAAAAGCGAGTTGAGGGGGGAGGAGAGGGGGGGCTCATCAGAATGTGGTAGCCAATGAATGGAAAGTATCGGGAGAGAGGGGCCAAAAAAGGGTGGGCGACGACGTGGAAGCTATTGTGCGCAAGCGACACACTGCTGCCCACGCCAACGCATTGGACAGAGAGGGGGGAGGGGGGAGGTCTGATACACATGACAGAAAAGAAAAGAAAATGCGTATGTTTATACCAATGCTGGCTGAACAATGAAGAGATTACTGTTAAACACTGGGGATGTTAACACTCGGTAAAGTAAAGTTAGCTAGTGCCTGTCAGATAAGATGGTCAAAAAAGTGTGGTTAATAACATCTTAATCTTAATAACATCTTTCCAATGATTACTAAGTTTGTACCCATCATCACGGTTGAAATTATGTCTGTGTTTGTATATTTGTATGGCTTCGTGTACAAACCTTTGATGGTAGCCAGGAGGTTTGCAGAGAACCTTGGTCTCGGAAAAGACAATTTCATGAGAGCCCACTGAGTTGTAGCAATGATCGGCAACGGCCGAAGAATCAGTTCTGCCGTGTTTCAGATCTGACTTGTGCTCGCGGACACGATCAGCAACATGACGTTTCGTTTCTTTCGTTTCTGACGAAACGTCATGTTGCTGATCGTGTCCGCGAGCACAAGTCAGATCTGAAACACGGCAGAACTGATTCTTCGGCCGTTGCCGATCATTGCTACAACTCAGTGGGCTCTCATGAAATTGTCTTTTCCGAGACCAAGGTTCTCTGCAAACCTCCTGGCTACCATCAAAGGTTTGTACACGAAGCCATACAAATATACAAACACAGACATAATTTCAACCGTGATGATGGGTACAAACTTAGTAATCATTGGAAAGATGTTATTAACCACGCAAAAAAGACTTAATTACACTTTGTTGACCATCTTATCTGACAGGCACTAGTTTACTTTACTTTACCGAGTGTTAACATCCCCAGTGTTTAACAGTAATCTCTTCATTGTTCAGCCAGCATTGGTATAAACATACGCATTTTCTTTCTTTTCTCATGTGTATCAGACCTCCCCCCTCCCCCCTCTCTGTCCAATGCGTTGGCGTGGGCAGCAGTGTGTCGCTTGCGCACAATAGCTTCCACGCCGTCGCCCAACCCCTTTTTTTGGCCCTTCTCTCCCGATACTTTCCATTCATTGGCTACCACATTCTGATGAGCCCCCCCCCTCTCCTCCCCCCTCAACTCGCTTTTAAGGGATTACATCTTGAATCATTGCCTCACTTGATGCAGCTGATCTGGCTGTGACTGTCCCACCTGATGACGGAGACTTGTGTTGCCTCCGAAACGTCGTGATCTTTATTTTATTTTATTATTTTTATTAATTTTGATGTTTTACCTACGTGACTTTACCGAAAACACCTAAGAATATGATTCCTTGCAGTCACGAAAGCTTCAAGTCTAGAAATAAGCTGGCAACTTCTTCAGGAATTTAAACGTCGGACATTGTGCCAAATAACACGTGGTACAACCTTGATTTGAAGCTGTCGTGACTGCAGGAATCCATGCTCTTTGGTTCTTTCGGTAAAGTCACGTGGGTAGAAATACATTAAAATGAAACAAATCACGGCGTTTAGATTGCAACACAAGCAATCGTCATCAGGTGGGAAATCCACAGAAATAAAAAAAATGTTGCTCCCACTTCAGCAAAAAAAAATCTTGCTGTGGTTTTCTCACCTGATGATGATTGCTTGGGCTGCAATTGAAACGTCATTTGTTTTATTTTAATTTATTTCTAATATATCAGAATAAACACTTTGGAGAGCTGCATATCCCGGCTGCGAAAACCTACATCATCATATTACTGTGCTTCAATTCTTCTTTTAAAATATGTTTCTTTATTTATGTTATAATGGGATGAAATCCATGCCCATCGTGGGTTAATTTCAGCATTGCTACACAAACGTCCAGAAAAAAGACTGCTTTATCAGAGTCACAGCCAGAATGGTCGGTATTTCTGTGCAGGTGTCAGCAGGCTGCGAGTACGCGTACGTCAATGGCAAGGAGAGACAGGGCTCCACGCGGGCTCGCGTTCACGTCAGCTACGAGCACATGCGCGCCTCCCTGGATCTGACCGTCTGGATGCCCAAGCTGCCCCTGCAAATACAGATCTCTGACACCATACTCAACCCCATCAAGAACTGGCGGGTGCCCAACATTGGCAAGAGAGGGTAACGCATTTCATTATTGCTTCATTTTTGTGCGTTCGTCTGTCCTAGTGGCATCGTGATGGACATTGTGACCATGGGTTCCAACACCACATTGAATCATTTTTTTATCTTTCATGATAATTATTAACATTAATAATAACTCACAACCATTTTTCAATACACTGCTGGATGAAGCTCTCTCCACACCTTTCAGCTATGTTCTTTTTTTTTTTTACCAGGCTGATCAGCGTGGGACCTTTGTTGTCAGTATCAAAGTATGAAAAATAAGAATATGTTTTACCTATTTTGGCAATTAGGCAGGTGTTACGATGTTAAAACACCAAATATATACCTTTTACAAGGAATCAAGTGTGCATTAATCGCACGTGCTTGTGGTGAACATGCAAACAAACATGCTCTGATAATTATATATGCATTGTCTTTGAAACTGATTGTTCTACACCAGAGACAGCCTTCGTTAGGGCCTCGTCTCACCAGTGTCAGACCAGATAACTGTTCGACTTTTGGCTTTGTCCATAAAGAAAGCTGTCGCTGATCAGCGTGAGTTGATGGAAGGGGACGGGGGGTCCCGGACAAGTTCAGATGTCGCCCCCGCAACTGATGTTAGCCGTGGCCTGGAATTGAGTTGAGGCGAGCGCATTCAAAGTGCAGCGTGCAAAACCACTGTCCCAGCACGCTCCGGTCATCCTCGCAGCAGCCAACGGAGTTTGGCTTAGCCATCAGACAAAGACGGTCATAGCATCGCGCGCTTTCAGATGCGTTTCTGCGGCCATCTGGAACGCTCTTCCTTGCGATATTTGGAAGCCATTGGAGCTACGTACTTTTAAATCGATATTGAAAGCTCAGTTTCTTTAGAAGTACTTTTTGTGTTATTTTGCTGTCCTTTCTCTGCACCTTAGTACAGTTGGTTGCGTATGGTGCTAAATAAGTTCAACGTACATACACGAGTTCATTCAATGTGAAAATAGCTTACGCAGTGGTTTTGTTTTTAGGTCAATTAAACCATTTTACGAGGGGAAATCCCAACGGCGTGCGTGAGCACAGCAAGAAACGAAACCAGGACAAAAATGTCCGTGCAGTAGAACCCCTCTTAACGACCACCCCGATGAACGACTAATCACTTAACGACGGGCCTCCATAGAGTCCAATGTGTAATGTATAGTAGTGTAGTGTATAGTGTAGTGTATAGTAGTGTATTGTATAGTAGTGTAGTGTATAGTAGTGTCGTGTGTAGTAGTGTATAGTGTAGTGTATAGTAGTGTAGTGTATAGTAGTGTAGTGTATAGTGTAGTGTATAGTAGTATAGTGTAGTGTATAGTAGTGTATTGTATAGTAGTGTAGTGTATAGTAGTGTTGTGTGTAGTAGTGTACAGTGTAGTGTATAGTAGTGTAGAGTAGAACCCCTCTTCACAACCACGCCTGTTAACGACTAATCGCTTAACGGCGTGCCACCATAGAGCCCAATGTGTAGTGTATAGTAGTGTAGTGTATAGTAGTGTAGTGTATAGTTGTGTATAGTGTAGTGTATAGTAGTGTAGTGTATAGTGTAGTGTATAGTAGTGTAGAGTAGAACCCCTCTTAACAGCCACGCCTGTTAACGACTAATCACTTAACGGCGTGCCACCATAGAGCCCAATGTGTAGTGTATAGTAGTGTAGTGTATAGTTGTGTATAGTGTAGTGTATAGTAATGTAGTGTATAGTGTAGTGTATAGTAGTGTAGAGTAGAACCCCTCTTCACAACCACGCCTGTTAACGACTAATCGCTTAACGGCGTGCCACCATAGAGCCCAATGTGTAGTGTATAGTGGTAGTGTATAGTAGTGTAGTGTATAGTTGTGTAGTGCCTCCATGAAGCTCAATGTGTTCGCTTAACGACCATTCCTCTGTTAACGACGGGCTTACGACGAGCACGCGATTGCCAATTTCGGCCAATCGGCGAGCTCCCACGTGGTCTGACCGGGCCTCGGCCAATCAGCAACGTCCATTCATGAGAGTTGGGGCATTGTTTACATTCAGTGTCTGTTGCGCTTTGAAGTGTAAACATCTCTTTTCGTATTCTTGGTGTATTTTGGCTTGAAACGTTAATTTAATCAACAATTAAGGCTCCCAAAGTGCTCGCGAATAAAGGCGACAAAGTGAGGAAAGACAATTAGTGTATTAACTAAGAAATAATTAATTGATAAACGTGAGAAATGTGTAAAAATAGATGCGTCATCGAGCAGTGAATATGGCCTGCCCTCGCTTATCGACCACATCACTTCACGGCCGGTTTCGTGGAACCAATTACCGTCGTGAAGAGGGGTTCTCATTGCAGAGGACTTAGCTTCAGATCCTTGGTGAATATTGCACGGCTAGCAAACGAGGTATTTAACGGTCGAGTAAACGAAACACACGGGGAGTCACTCAAGGACAGTGCAAATGGAATGTGAAAAAGGTGAGGTGCACTTAATCGCTATCCTTGCATTAGTCATCTACGTGAAATGCACGCCGTTTATTCGAATCCAGATATGATCGGTCAACGCCAATGAGGGGTGGGGGGGGTGGGGCATGGGTGCATTTTGGCTTGGCAAGAATGAACCACCAAGTGGCTTTCCTGTGCCAGCCGTAATTTCTACTTGAAACACTTTCCAAATGTGTGAAAATGACGAAAGGAGAGGTCTGCCGTTTGTATGGGGGAATGATACGGCTTTTTAAAAAGGTAGATAATGTGTGTTTTCACTCGAGTTTTAAAAGGAAATAAGATACGGAATGGGGAGGGAGAGGTGGGATTGTTTTTTTGAGAATGTGTTTCGTGATTGTTTTCTTCACTTGGCACGAAACCTATCCAAGGAAACATTACACTTGCAGGTCGTCCAATTACGTGGTGTTACCTCTGAAGGAAAAAGAAAATACGATTGCTATGTTACCCATTAGTACGTTGGAGAAATAATGTATGTGAATCCCCATTTCATCCGTAGATGTTGAGTAACTTATTGTACGAAAACAAAATTATTGTTGCTTTTTTTTTGTCATGGCAACGGCTGGCATAGACGTGTGTGCTGTGAAATGTGATAATATGTGTTTGGTAACTGCACCAGGACATGAAGGGTATGCCAGAGTTCGTCAATTGTTAGATCACACGTGGTGGGTTAAAGTGTGAGTACTCCAAGACGTGTGGCCAGAGTAGAAAAATAAGCCAAATTGTCTTAGAAGGGTTTTTATATTAGCAATCTTTGGTGGGAAAGACTTGCACATTTGTATCCATCATATAAATGTTAGAATATTTTTTATTCGAATGGACGGCACTTATTCAAAGAAAAAAAATGTTAGCTTACCAATATATGGCTAGATGCTAAAGATCGATGTTATTGCACAGTACAGAAATGTAGGTGATAATGCAGCAAAAACTCTATCGTTTAATGTGAGGGTCAGAAAGCTAAGTGGGGCTCAGCCAATGAAGCTTAATCGATCATTTGCAGTACAACCACTCGAGATGACCTAAAATTACCTTTTTTTTCCTGTGACAAGACTGTTTTATCTTAAGGCGTACTTACTGCCAACAAGAATAATTATATGAATTGTAGCTGAAAGATCGGTCTTTCCGATTATTGCACTGGATACTGGAAAATGAGAATACAGACGAGGCAAAAATATCTCGCGAAAATCCGCAAAGGAAAAATGTCGCATTCGTGGCAATGTTAATGATGATCATGATTTCGCACGTTTAACAATCGTATTGACAATGCATCGATTTTCTTATTAAGCTACAGCCAGTGCAGAAATGTAACATATGTGGAGTCTCTTCATTCAATATTGTCCTTGCCAAATAAATGTGTTTTAAATGATTGTCAGTAAAAAGAGCTGTTAAAGCAAATCCTCAGGCAATCACAGTTTAAACAAAAAATGTGGTATTTGTTTTCCATTTACTGGAAAGAAAGTGCATCAATGGTGATTTGTTTTTTTGGAGACTTAAAAGGTCATCTGGGTCTAATGCAATATTCTTTCCCTTGATAGAGAAAAAAAAAGATCTTCTTGTTTTCATAATTTCGACTTAACCTTTGCATAATCTTATTATATGCACAATGTTAATTAGCGATTAATTATATTACTTATAATTCCCGATTGTCACATTAGATTCGTCTAAAATATTTATTATGATGCATTTCTGGCTTTTTATCCCATGTTTCATAAGATCAACTATGTTCCATAATAGAGGTTCTTTTTAGGGTTAGATCACGTAAATATAAACGTGTCGTTAAACCCGCCACCACCAGACACAGCCAATTAGGAAGGTTTGTCACGCAAAACAAAACAGGTAAATGTGTTACGAGTACAGCACACTGGTGTGTTGGAGAGTAAACCCACAACATTTACAATTCGAGTACGACGTTTCGCCAGCAATTACAATTAGCATCGTCATTAGGCGACAGCCAGATTCGTGGAAAGCCTACGTATTACACATTCCTGCGGAGGGAGCTGGTAGGAACGTTGGGTTGCTCGGTCAATGGCCTGCAGGGTCAACGGCGGCGTGGTGTATTCCGCAAATATGCCCGACTGTGAGGGCGGGCACAAGCCGGCGTGAGTAGGTTAAACGTTGAGTTTTATAAGGGCACCACGGGGTGACCAGCCCCTCCCCACCCAGCCCCACCCCTCCCACCCAGCCCCTCCCCACCCTCCCCTCCCCACCCAGCCCCTCCTCCCCACCCAGCCCCTCCCTGCACGACGGACGGACGGACACAATAATCCCCTGTGTGTTGGTATAACCAGGAGGTTCCTACCAGTACTAAACCAATAGAAGAGTATTCAACTAGACTAATCTATTTTCCGTTTACCAATTCAATGTACAGTATATCCTTGCGGACGATTTTGAAACTGCTTAAGTCTAATAACGTTGCTTCCGATTAGTTACATCAACTTGTATCACCTTTGTCAAATGGTGAAGTGCATTCTAAGTCATTACAAAAAAACAAGTGATGTAACGAACGATGTAGGTATCATAGTCCAGGCAAAGTTAATCGCTGCTCAAAATGGGCATGCAGGCGATGCTCATCGCCTGTTTACAATGTTGAACCAGTGGTGGGAATTCCACATTCTTATGGCAGGAGCGAGTATATCTCGAGGAAAAGCACTGTTGACTTGGTATCCATTTTATCAACCCCGAAGGAATGATGAGCTGAGTCAACCTCCAATCAGCATTTTAACTTCGCAACCTTCCGATCGCAAGCCACTCGCTCAAGCAGTGATGACACACCTGGGCCCCCAGAGGTGTTTTGCTTGTGGTTTAACGCTGTAACAAGTCCACCTGAGCATCCAACTGCCTCGCTGTGTACACACGCAACGCACAGCTTTAATCAACATTGTATGACAGTTACACTAAGGTGAAATGAAAAAGGTTAATTTTTGAGCGGTATTCATTTACCCCTGGAATGTTAGTTGAGTGAAGCGATATGAAAACACCCATTTCATTACTCTTTGGTCCTTTCGGTAAAGTCACGTAGAAAGAAGATACATTAAATAATAGAACACACAACATAGACACACTGTCTCTCTCTGTGTGTCTCTGTGTTGTCTCTCTCTCTGCTTGTGTGTCTGTCTGTCTGTGTGTCTCCGTGTCTGTGTTAAGTCTCTCTCTCAAATTTAGTTCTTCCTGATGACGACTGCTTGTGTTGCAATCGAAACGTCGTATTCTATTATTGAATTTATTTTCTTTCTACGTTGCTTTACCGAAATAACCAAAGAGTAATCCCTGCAGTCACGAAAGCTTCAAATCAAGTCCGAACCCATTTCATTCTGAGAAGGCCTCTCTTTGTTTCGTCATGATTTTAGCTCTGCAAAATATCGGTACCTACTGGTAAGGAACTTTCAGGCATAGCTTCATTTTGGTGCTTTAGTCAAAGTTGTAAACCTACTCAAATTAGCGTGCGTTCGTCTCCTGCTTATAGCCCCAAGCTAGTGGTGGAAATTCCTCATTTCTATGGTGGGGCCTGTGTTTATCTGTGGGGCAAGCACTGCTCCTTGCTCACAAAGTGGTACGTTATTTTATCAACCGAGAGGCATGATGGACCGCGTCAACCCCCCCCCCCCCCCAATGGTATTTTGTCTGAATGACAATGTCATCTGTACGTATGTACGTATGATGCATTATGTGATTACATTCATCCGTTTCATTCCAGTCTTTGAAGCCAGGCAGGGTCAAGTAAAAAAAAACCTTGAATGACGTAAATTTTACAATGAACAAATGTAAACAGACGTACCTCGATTTAATTGTGTTCACAAGAGTCACTCAAACTGCAATATAACGGCACAGCGTTGGTACCTTTCTTCATAATTGAAACCACGTGCACATTAAGTTACATACATATAACAACAAAGTGGAAAGGATAATACCAAAAACATATTTTCTTAACGTGATTATAGCACCAAGAATCAATAGGATATGTGTTCACTGCACGATTTAACTAAATCACTGTTGTACTGAGAGTATACCAGAGGAAGAGTCCGTTAAGGAAAGTCGGATGTCCAACTTCATTAAATATAATCTGCAAACAAAATAGTTTTTCCCATTAACCCGAAGTTGCATGATAGGGAAGGAGACTATTATCGTGATTGTATTGGGCAGACCGTTGTAATATGTATCTTGGAGTCTTTAAAATGCATCTTCGCTTCTTGTTGAATGCATATTGACGTCTAGCGCACAGCACGGCTACGTATCTGTAATGTGATCGTCAAGACATGCAGACGTTAATTTTTTTCTTCAGACTGCGGAATTATCCTGATATACTCACATTTTCACTGCTGCTGCTACACTGAGCCTAGACTTAATATTGCATTCAAACAAATAAGACACATCGATCTCTTGTAGCAATTTATGAGCGTGATGATAAGCCACTGCCAATGGTGAAGTAGGATATGTAATTCCTATCACTTCTTGCTTCCTTCAAACACATTTTCTTTCATATTTTCATTGAAAATGTACTTTGAAAATACTATCTCGCCGCTTTATTGTTTCCGCGACTGAAATATTATTTTGTTGGCTATCTTTATTTTTCTCTTTTTGTTGTCTGCCATCAGCATGTTCACACTACACACAAAAATCATCAGCTTACTTGTTAAATCCCCCCGGGAAGGAAAAAAACACAACCACGACTTTTGTAAGCTGTACCATTCTAAAGCACAGATAAAATTATACTCTCAGGTTCTTTCGGTAAAGTCACGTGGATAGAAAAAAATAACGAAAAAAAAACAACGACGTTTCGGTCGCAACACAAGCGTCCGTCTTCAGGTGACAGATAAAGACACAGATAAAATTATGAATCAATGAAGGATTATTATTTTTTTAAAGACCCTCTGTGGAAAAAAATGGCTGCTCTTGTTTGAAAATGTAATTTTGATTGTGATGTAATTTCTTCGTTTCATAATCATCATCGGCCATGATCAACCCACTGCTGGATGAAAGCCTCCCCAAGCCATCACCATCTCTCACGAGCCCGCGATGTAACAATTTCCGCTCCCACCTACACAAGAGCAGGTTTCATCGTTCCATCTCCTCGGTGAACGTCCTCTCAGACGCGTTCCTTTCCTTGGCTACCACTCAATCTTTATTCAGGACAATCAGCCATCGGTCCTTTTTGCACTGCCAAGCCAATATCCTTTTTTTACAGTTTGAATGTCATTCGCCTGCTTATGTTCTAAAATAAATATGTTCCTCATTCCGTCTCTGAATGTGAATTCTAAGCATGCATTATTTTTTGTTCATTTCTAAACAGTTATTTTGAGTCACTGCAGAACACATCACTACACATTGTCAATCTTATAACCTGATCTTAACGAAAAAAACAAATACATGTTATATTATTTATTACTCCGATTGTAGACTTGCTGAGATGTATGTAATATAAACAATGCATTTTTCAACGGTGCTACAAAATGTATGTACGTGACATTTTCATTTTGCAGGCCAATTCCGGAGACTGTCGAAGATGACAACGAGCCAAAAGGACGCGGCTGCTTCTTGCAATCCCAGCATGCCCAGTTGCGAGTGTGGGCTCAATTCTGCGCTGCCAACCCCGATAAGTTGGGTCAGCTGACCACGATGTTGGGTCCCGATTGGACAGCAGACGTCACACCCCTGGTGCTTGATCACATGGCCGTCGAGGACACGAGCATTGCCCAGCTCCATGAAGGGAAAGTGCTGATCGGCAGGGAACCTGGTACTACTGCCATTCAGGTGATTCCTCTAGCACGCGACGCATGTCACACCTCCTGTATTTAGCGCATTAGCAGAGCCAATGATGACGTCACCCTGCTGCTGCTCTATATAAGAACGGGAGACACAGCAGAGTCTCACCATTCTGGCGAATTGCCCGATGATGCTGGATGCAATTACCAGCGAAACGTCGTACTCAAATTGTAAATGTTGTGGTTTCACGCTTCAACACACCGGTGGGCTGAAGCAGTAAACTATTTGTCTTTTGTCAACGTGACACTTTTTTACTGATTGGCCGTGTCGGGTGGTGGAGGGTTACGACACATTTATAAATAACGCGATCTAAACCCAAAAACGTTGATTATGAATAATATTGGTCGCGAAAGCCTACGTGTTAAACAGAGCTGTTGTTGTTGTCTGCATGTAACTTCTCATTGCTGGGTGAAAGCCTCCCACATTTTCTTCGATTATTTTCCCTCCTTCATTGTTCTTGTCGAATAATGACCTCCAAACTCTTTGATTCCGTCTTGCCGTCTCTTCCGCTGTTTTCGCCCTACTTCGCTTCTCCCGGCCTCCATTCCGTAGTTACATTTGTTTTTTGTCGATCATTCTCATGACATTTCCCATACGTTCCACTTTATTTATTTTGCTTTAACAGTTGCATCAGTAACCCCTGTTCTTTTCCTTATTTATTCTCCGTCACTTATAAAATACTTCTTCCCATTGATCTTTGGCAAACTTGTAGCTCTATTTATTTGTATGCAATTGGCAGAGAGTATATTTAGAATTGTTATGTTATACCAACAATACTCTTTGGTTCTTTCGGTAAAGTCACGTGGGTATAAAATAAAATAATTAAAGAGTATGGATTCCTGCAGTCACGAAAGCTTCAAATCAAGATTATACCAACAATGTTTTAGTTTTTCTTCCAAAAAATGAGCAGATACGTAATACAGTGGGTGTTTTGTTTTTCTTTCACCAATATCAAGTGATAATTGTTTTTTTACCCTTTTATCTGGCAACAAAATTGACACCTTTTTTACAAGAAGTCATGTTTGCATTGACCACAATACCTGCGGTCGGAATGCAAACAAAAAACATAACTCTGATAATGTATGCACTGTCCTTGAAATTGATTGGTCCACACCCGAGACAGCTTTCCTTAGAGTCTAGTCTCACATGGTGTTGGACCAGATGACGCCAAAAGGCGCACAACTCACAGACAATGCACCATCAGAGTATGAGAGCTCGGGGTAAGCATTTACACCATTGGAACCTCCTTTGCCAGTAGCAAAATATGAGAATTGGTTTTTACCCTTTTATCTAAAACCAATTATCATATTTTGCTACTGGCAAAGGAGGTTCCAATGGTGCAATATCAAGCGATGAAGACATTTCCAATCCGACCTCTTGCGGCAAAGTCGAACACCACCTTGGTAAAGAGAACAAAACCTGAAATCCGATTTTTACAAAACTACCTCTGAAGTTAATTCCGTAGGTCTCTTTGTTTCTCCATGTCTTTTACGTGCCATGCGAGGAACGTTCACGGCGCTTCAATCAAACAGGACATTTTTGTAATTACCAGAGCCGAATAAGACGGATTTAGTGCCAAGCCAAATGTACCGATGGTTGTTTTGCGCAGTCATTGGTGACTGGACCGAAGCCATCAACTGCCTCCACTTGACAACCCACTTTAATCACGTTTGGCCGAAAGCCAGATTCGAACTCGAGGTTCCATCAGTGCCAGCTCAGTGTCTCTGACACAGTTTTAACTCTCTGAGCCACCCAGCCATCGCCAAAAGGTGACCGGGCACCAGAAACTTGAGCGATTCGTTCATTATATTTTCTTAATTGAATTTTTCAATGTCACATTCGAATTTTTTTCTCTAAAACATATTTTTGAAAATCCCTGAGACTTAATTGCATTCTTATTATTATTTAGAGAAAAAAATAATAACACTGTATTTTTGTTGAGTAGTGGAAGGAGGCTGGATACTTTTAGGTTAGAAATGTTTACAATTGTGTTTCTCGAGCATTGAACTTCATGGATTAGAATTCATTCTAGATTTGGAGCTTTCGTGACTGCAAGGATTCATACTCTTAGGTTTTTTCGGTAAAGTCACGTAGGTAAAAATAAAAATAAAATATAAAATAATAATAATAATAAATGAAAAGAAATCAATCAAATCACAGTGATTTATATAAAATATAAAATTATAATAATAATAAATGAAAATAACTCAATTAAATTACAGTCATTTAATTGATTTTTTTCATTTATTATTATTTTTTTTACCTACGTGACTTTACCGAAAAAACCTAAGAGTATGGATCAGAATTCACTTAATATATCATCTTCGTCGTCAGCCATGGCCAATTCATTGCTGAATGCAGGCCTTCCCAAGCCACCGCCGTAAACCTTTGATGAACCTGCGATTTAAGTAATCCACCTCGTGCCTGCACACAACATTATTTTGCCTCATCTTCTCCCTGTAGGACATTTTCTCTAATGTGTTCCCTTCCTAGGCTACCGCTCCATCATTATTCTTGGCCATCACCCCATCACCCCTTCTCGTGACATGCCCTGACCAAGTCCATTTACTTTTCTTATCAGTTTAAATGTCTTTGGCCTACGTAGGCTATGTGTCCCTCAATCTGTCTCTCAATGCAATTCCAAGTGTGCATCTCTCCATGCCGATATTACACCAATATTAAATGCGCTGCATAGTATGCGATGTATCATCCGCACACAGTATACCCTTTTTGGCAAAAAAATTACAAAAATAAATTCTACATATTTTAATAAAGTAGCTCCTAGTGCCAGATAACCTTATTCTCCCTGCCCAAACATTTGAAATTACTTTTCTATGAGCATCTTTAAGCCAGTGGTGGAAACTCCTTACTGCAATGGCACTGGGCAGTCTCCTAATAGGACAACTTCTGTTGGCGTTAGGTCATTAGTTTAAAGTGAATAAAAGAAAGCATTCTAGATTTTAAGCTTTCGTGACTGCAAGGATTCATACTCTTAGGTTTTTTCGGTAAAGTCACGTAGGTAAAAAATAAAAATAAATAATAATAAAAAATAACAGAAATAATCATAGAAATAAAATAATTATTTTATTTTTAAATTAAATTTAGCACTGTGATACATTTTATATTATATCTCTGAGCAGTGCGGGATGGTGAAGTCTTGGTGAGACCTTCATCCAGCAGTGGATTGATCACGGCTGATCATAATGATTATAAATACGGTATATTCTGATTAGAACCAGTGAGACGTTTGATCAAATTTCTTGAGTGTTCATCCTCCACCGGGCAAGTGTTTGTTCATATTACATTGCTTTTATAATTCACAGTAATGTACAGTCGAGCACTTTGTCAATCCGTGCTTGTCAGTCATTGGGGATGTTTGAACATACTTCACCATGCTGATTCAGTGTGGGTTGATGAAGGGGGGCCGGGACCAACTTGGGCATCACTCACTACTGATGTTAGCAGTGGCCCGCAATGGAATTTGGGGTCGCTGGGTTCACAGCGCAGTACGCACAGTAATAATTGGGACCCGCTATAACCCATCGTGCCAGTAACTACTCTTAAATACATTTTTTTATCAGAGTGTGTCTTACATGCTGTGAAATTAAAGGTGTTTTTCAAGTACCATTTTTAAAGCCCGGAATATGTGAATCGTGCAACTTACATCTTTGGATGTCTAAAGAAATGTATGAAGCATCGCAATCGACTGTCAACGCACTAACTTCCCTCCAGTCATCTTGAAGCATGCTTGTAAATCGACCTTTCATTGGCGTTTTCACTGAGCCAAATGTGAGGTTAATAGGTATTGGAATATTCAATGCATTTGCATTAATTGTAAACGTGGGGCATGGCGACCCAAATAAAAGTATTGAAACCATGACAGCGCAACCACGTGGAAGATATAACAACTGAAAATCATCTTCTTGGTTCTTTCGGTAAAGTCACGTAGAAGGGAAGTAATAAAATAATAAAAATTAAACATAATAAAATAATTCTCACGACGTTTCGGCCACAACGCAAAACAGCCGTCCTCAGATGAAGACCAGGTCTGTCGGGGAGACAGCGTCTGACGGGGAGACAGGTCTGTCTCCACAACAGACTTGGTTTTCACCTGAGGACGGCTGCTTGCGTTGTGGCCGAAACGTCGTGAGAAATATTTTATTATGTTTAATTTTTATTATTTCATTACTTCCCTTCTACGTGACTTTACCGAAAGAACCAAGAAGATCAATCAATGCGGTCACGAAAGCTTTAAATCGAAATTTAACTGAAAATCACCTTCACCAATTACACGGTCGCCTTGTCTCATGTGGTTTGTCAAGTGGCACATCACAAAGTGCAGCTGAAAAAGTAGCGGTTTTAATTTGCTGCTGAACATAGCGATATCCTCAGCACATTTCATGAAATAACGGAGTACCGTTCCAAAGTTTTAGAACTGTAGCAGAGAATAATCTTTCCGAGTTTTATATAATTGGCACGAACTTCATGTAAAGCACATTTTCGCAAAGAGTGCAGGCGTTTTCACGGGCAGTGATAATTAAGTATGTCTTGCAAGTATCCAGGCACTCAACCACCTCACGATATATAGCTTGGCAGAATAATTTATACTCACATCTTAAATCAGTAGACAACCAGAAAAAAATGGTTAAAGGCGCTAAAGGTGCAGCCCTGCAACCGCTTGCTGAGGCCTCTGCTGGCAAAAGGGCATCGGCACCAGAGGCAGTTTCAGAGAGCTCCTCTTGAGAGAATGTGGTCTGCTCTTCCATGCTTAGCAGATGTCTTAACCCAACCTTATGTGACCTGTTGTGACGTGCCGATTTGGTGTAGATAATTTTGTGGGGTAATTATTGGGAACATATAAACAGTGGGTTTGAAATGCATTGATGCAATGTTTAGGTGGAAAGCAGTTGGGCTGCATTTTGATTTCAGTTTGCAATTTTGACGTGCAATTTATTGCTATGGGTTTCTTATACATATATATCTTAGCCGCTACCGTGTAATTGTTTGTTTCAGAACATTATAACCAGTATACCAAAGAGATGGCGACAGTCATTTACTGCAAAAACACGTTTGGCTAGTTATTTACCAAAAAAATCCAAAATATTTTGCAACACAATTGCTTAAATGATTGCATAATGACTCTCACTTCTCCGAAATGTTCAGGTGAGTAATTTCCATAGGAACCGTCTTCATGTGTAGCCACGTATACAATGTGATGCGAGTTGGAGTGCCTGTTTACCAAGCAACTGAATTTAAAAGAAAGCAGTACTTTGTTACGCTTGTGTATTTATATTTGTGCAAAAAACGCACAAATAAACACAGTAAATCGTTACGTATATATTTTTTATACGGTACTTAATTATTTAAACTTTTTTTTAAAGGCCATGTGGCTCAGCAGTCGAGTGATCGGCTTGCAGTCGGAAGGTTGCGAGTTCAAATCTTGGTTGGAGATCGACAGCCCATCACACCTACGGGGTCGATAAAATTGCTACGACTCTGTGGGGATTGAACATTGGTTGTCCTATGTAAACAGACTTGTCCCCTCCATTAGAATGTGGAATGTCCCCCTCCTGGCTCAGGGCTTTAAACAGTAAATCATCGCTTACTTTATGCTCCATCTTAGGAAGACATTTCTGCGACTGTTTGCAAAAGCAAAATTATGAAAGGAAAAAAAAGTCCACAGCATTGAAGTGTGTATTGTTAGAAATCATATATTGTGTCCCTCCTGCCCTTTCATTCCATGAGTTATCAATCCAATAGCACATTTGATTGAAGAGGTGTCAAATCGTTTTGTGCCCGTTAATTGCGTGGATGCATCTACGTTGCGTCTTGATGCTCTCACAAAGAAACTTATCCTCCTCATGGCGACACTCATTCTGCCGCGAGCCCCAATTGTCTACCAGTGCAGCCATCCATTTTCAATGACTTCTTGTCACCCGCTCGCCTATGAGGTATTGTTGATGTAGAGCATGAGTCGTTAACTGGAATGACCCAGGAATCACGTGACCACGTGCTGGGCGGGTCGTCATGGCCCATCCAAATTCTTCATCATGCTAAGAACGAAATGTATATTCAAGATTTCACAGTGGGGGTTTAAGCTTAATCGTGGGGGGGGGGAGGTTTGTTAAAATTTACATTTCACCTCCATAAGTGAAGATGCCTTGCAATGTACAGCAGTTCTAATGCATGTACAACCCATTTGTCAATCCACTGCTGGATGAGGGCCTCCCCACGCCGTGCAGAAATTGGAGTGGTAGCTCCTGCAATCTCTCATTTTTTTGATACAGCTGTCGTGGCTGTGACGGTTCCACCTGGTTCCACCTGAAGACGGAAGCTTGTGTTGCCTCCGAAACGTCGTGATATTTATTTTATTTTACTTTTATTAATTTTAATGTTTTACCTACGTGACTTTACCGAAAAAACCTAAGAACAGAAATTGGGAGTTATTTGACCATACTTCACCACACTGGTCAATGCGGGTAAGTGTAGGCGGGGAGCATAGACGGTGGGGGCGTAGTGCAGTGGTTTGTCTGCATTGCTCACAACGTGCCTCGGTTTATAGAGCCTCAACGTAAGTTATTCGAGAACAATATCTTCCTTCCGTGAGAACAATCTCTCCCTTCTGTGCACACTGAGTCTGTGGTCTTCACCTGAAGAAAACAATCGGGGGGGGGGGAAAAAGCCCCACCAGCATCAACACCGGCAACGCCACAACACAATCCCCTGCAGCAGACGAGAAACCCTTGCCCACCAGTGGCGGCCGATGCTTCCGCTGTTCTGCGCTGTCATCATCGTGTGCGATGGACAGCCGAAGAAGGTCTTCACGTGTTAAACATCGTGCCCAATGTTTGGAGTCTTTACCCTTTTCTCCCACAAAATTGTAGCATCGGGTTATGCGACATGCATTGTAAAATTGAACGAGAAGCTAAAATGAAAAACTACCCAAATGTATGATGTGATATATTTGTGATCTCATTTTAAAAAGTCAACACCCTCAATACCTGTCACCAACACTGCCTTCTCTGAGGACGATGTTCTTAACGAGTGTTCAATGTGTTGCATCTTTTGTTATAGTGTGCGTGTGTACCACTGCCAACACATCATCACCAAATAATGTGTTTCATAATACAGTATATATTACCTTCTTTAAATATGTTTTTAGTCAAAGGCTGATCCCAATTGCACATGTTAGGAGCAACTCTTGACAATTGAGCAGCGACCTGCAGCTCAGTGATTGGTTGACACAAGGTCACGTGGCATGCTGCCTAAGACAGCACCTATGTCACTTAGGAATGTTGAAGTGGCTGGCAATCACTGAGTTGCCTTCTCAGTTGTCTAGGTTCAACTCCAGGCTATGGGAATTCGGGTTGATTCAACGTGAAATATGTATCTTGAAATAAGTTTTCCAGAGCAAGAAACAAGTCCACTTCAGCAGTAGTGCCTCCATTCTGCCTACAAACGTTGCTTGTCACTGCAGAATGTTGCATGTATTTATGTTTAACTTCTTTCGCAACGTACGTAGCCAACCATGCTACTTTTTGACAACAAAAAGGTCAGCACGCGGTATCAATTTACCGTCGCTGTATGAATTAGACTTTTATTTTCAAAGGTTCATTGATTTTGCCAAAATTGGCAAGTCTACTAAGGTGATACGCAGGAGCAGGTTTGGGCACACCTCAAAAGTTATCCGTGTTATATAACCAAGAGCTTTTGTTGTTTTTTGCAAAACATTTTTTTACCGACGGGTTACTTCTCGGAGCAATACGTGCATTTTTTCTTCTAGAGTTAACATTTTAATATTTAAGAGACTTAAGAGCCAATGCAAAAATATATAAACTATTTTTTTCTTCAAATATCCTTTTTTTTTACAACGCAAAATGCTACACATATATAATGTATAGAGCACTGTTATTTATGCATACCACAAATGCCAAACCTTGAGGCTAAGCAACACCACTAATCGCACTGCATTGGCAAGCGCCCCCCCCCCCCCCCCCCCCCCCCCCCCATTGAGTACCTTTGTATTCAACCCTCATGATACGACGACGACAGCAGCAGCAGCCACGGCGGTCATCAGGACGCTAGTCACGTCGCTCTCTCATGCAGCAGCAGTGCTATATGACTTTTGAAGATTTCCTGATAGCACAGGGGGGGGTGGGGTGTGTGTGGGGGGGGTCAGCCTGATAGCTGGGAGATGCATCACCGGCTCTTATCTCTCCTGCAAACCCAGAGACGTAAAAAGGCCTGAGCAATATCAAAAATTAAATATATATACACGCACGCCGTTGTTTTTTGTAATCAAGTCGTTATTCTTTTTTGAGCTGTAAATTTATGCAAAGATTCATGCACTGATTCATCGCTTCTGGAGCAAATTATGTTGGCACGTGCTCGCTTTGTGTAAACAGCGGGGAGAAGGGGCGACGTTGCGTTTTGAATGGAGACCAGCGGTGGTTGGCTCGGCGTTCTTTTTGTTTTCCTTGCGTGCGGACGGAGAACAACATCGCTGGCTTCAGATTTTTGAAAAAATATTTACATTTCAAAGACATTTTTACCTCTTAGCTAACAAAAAGACGAATTGCGAACCAATATATATTCAGCGAGGTCTATGATAGTTCAACCTCAAACCGCATTTGCAGATGGTGCCCGTGTTTATGGTAGCCGTACTTTTACAGCCGTGCTAAATATCATCCATTGACTATTTTTAAAGGTAAAAAAAAAGCATCAGGGTTATTTTTTCTTTCTTTTTTATACAATGAAACTCCTAAAGGTCAGCTTTGATAGTTATGCTGCATCATCCGATTGGCCTTACACTGGTTAGACACTGCCACAAGCAAGCCATCAATAAATGAACTAAATCGGATATTCGTTTGTTGTTGAATACATGGAGAAATGTGAGACAGGAAGGAAAATGTACACATTCTTGACCAAAGATAGAACTGGAAATCTCAACATTTGAATTGTTTTTGTATTATTTATACATGTATATATTTAAGTGGATAGTGTATGGGGCATCTGCAATGTTTTGTGAACTTTAGCACAAACCTGTAGTATTATAATTTATACAATTTAAAATGCAATTATAGTTTATTATTGGCTATGAACTAAAATCCATTGTGATTACCAGAACAATTGCAAAATGCTACTTAAATAAATCTGTGTTGGCAAAACAATTGCAGCGAATCGCCAACGTTGCAAAATTGAGTTTCTAACATTATACTGTCCAATTTATTGTGATCCCACATATTTGCCTTTCGACCATTAAACCAAATAAATAGCCTTCATAAGAATTTTCCATACGGCAATGTATTAACCCAACACATTTGCTTTCTCAACATCCCAGAGATGTGACACAGGAGACACGTGGTAATACCACTGCGGTTGTGTTAAATAGCGCTTCGATGTGTTTGTGCCACGCATCGTTCTGCGCAATGTCAAACGTTTCACTCCCAATTACCGGAAGCTCCGTTAGACAACTGGATCCACTTCCTAAAGGAAGCTCCCAGCATCTGGAGCCAAACACGAGATATCATGAAAAACACCTTGAAAAACACGTCGGAGCACCTAGATATGTGCTACTTCATCTATATTCTGTAAGGTAAAGTGTAAAATATAATGCGATGCACAGTGTTCCTGAGAACTGGTGTGCAAGACGTTCCGGTGTCAAGGAATTAGACCGAACGCTTCTTGCAGTGAGCCCACCGCACATCGAGCACAGAGTGACAGCCCAATGACGTGTAACAGAATTAAAGAGGCTAATGTCAATTTGCCCCCAGGTGCTGTCCCCGCTGTCAGACTCGATCCTGGGGGAGCGCGCGGTGACGGTGAGCGAGGAGAAGGTCTCCGTGAGCGGGCTGCACGTGACGCTGCTCTCGGGCCTCTCCCTGTCGCTGCGGCCCAGCAGCAGCGAGCCGAGCGTCATCTTCGCCCGCACCACGGGGCTCAGCATCTTCACGGCCAGCAAGCAGGTAGGAACCGCAGTGGCGCGCATCGCACTTAACGTTATTTCACTCCAGCGCGAATTGTAAAAATGTGCAGCCCTTCAATTGCTTCCTAATACCACTGCGGGTGAAAGGTCCTCCAACTGGGGGGAGCTCTGGAGAGCCACTTTGGGGGTTCTTTGGCCTGACTCTTCTATGCTAAGCATATGGCCTGGAAGAGGTACAAGTACCCACACTTGACCCCACCACACAAAACACTAATTGTGGTGGACAGAGGCGGGCGGGCGGGCGGGCGGGCGGGCGGTGGGAGGGGATGGAGTTAAGAGACATGCACCATTGTTTCAGCTGCCGTGCCGGGAGATCGAATCGAACCGACGACCTCCTGAATGGCGAGTCGCAAGCGTTGTGTTACTCTAACGCCGTGCAGCGTTCCGCCTTGGCGTATTGAGTCGTGACTCTTTATCACCTTTCCTATTCGGTCTTAATATATACACATATATATGAACTCAACATATCTCGAAAATGTATTTTCAGTTGGGTAATAAAGAACTGTTGCAAATACCGTTGCTAATATGTGCACAGGAGAGGCATCTAAAAACATTAAGATTGTATTTACGCAAAAGTTACACACCAACCTAGTATGAAAATCATAACTTTTTTTTACGTGAGCTTCAAATGTTTATATTGGCCGTACATAATTACTAGTGCATTGTTAGCGATATGCATTTGGTTATAATTATTTAATTCTCTACTCTTGGAAACTTTTGGTCTCTTTTTTTATAACGAGCACAACGCAGCACTACCTCCCTCTTCTTCGCTGTGCATTGTGCGCTCTCAACGCCTCAGTTGCAATATGCAGCCACTTAAAAGTCAATATTCCCACAGGGACTGGTTAGCTAACAAAAATGTTTTAGTGACAAATCAATTTTTATGTGCCCATGAAGCAGGCAGCAGCATTAGCGACTTTACTCTTTCTTCCATTCCGTCTTTCTACCTTCCCCCAGACAACCGCCCTTCCCTCTTAGTAGTCCATGGGCCGGAGCAGAATTGGTGGTGGCAAATATTCATTAATGCCGACTTCTGTGTCCCGTGCTGTATTGCCACTCTTCTTCTTTGTATGGCTGACGTTGGTATACAGCAACAATTTCGATTTAAAGCCTTCGTGACTGCAGGGATTCATCTTCTTGGTTCTTTCGGTAAAGTCACGTAGAATTGAAATAATAAAATAATGAAAATAAAACATAATAAAATAATTCTCACGACGTTTCGGCCACAAAGCAAGTAGCCGTCCTGTTCTCCACCTGAGGACGGCTACTTGCTTTGTGACCGAAACGTCGTGAGAATTATTTTATTATGTTTTATTTTCATTATTTTATTATTTCAATTCTAAGTGACTTTACCGAAAGAACCAAGAAGATACAGCAACAACTTTGATTTCACATTCAGGTACTCGTGCCAGATAATTTGCATCAGGGGCAGTGGAGTGGTGCATTGCTGTGACGATGCCTCCTCCGTATTTGTGAATCGCGCGACGATTCGTGATGTTCCCCATGGTGTCTTCTGGGTGACCAGAGTCGCACACTGTTGGGGAGTTTTAATTTTCCACTCTTTGCATGAAGTATCCGCATTCTTGCCAGCATTGTGAATCTGCCGGTCATCTCAGTCAGTCAACCAATGGCTACCTGGGTCTGTTCCGAGACCTCCTGCCAGCGAGCGTTCGACACTTCACAAAGTGCACACAGCCTGGCACAAGTGTCGTGGTGACGTCACCGCCTCTTAGTGGCGAATGGCGGTTGTTGTATGTGGATGAGGTTTAGGGTTATGGCCCATAAGCTTTGCATATCGAAGCTGTGGATCTTCTGCATCGGGACTTGCATGAGGTGTTTGTGACTTCTTGTGAACTCGATTCGGCTTTCCAAACCATCATCATGGTTGATAACTACTGTTAAAAGTGGTTTTACATGATGCTTATCAAATAAGGCTTTACATTATTTTGTGATGCTGCTGCGTTGCCCGCGTTGCGCAAGCACAATGAACAGAATAGAAACTCAACACATTCATCAATAATACCATGGCCTTAAAATAAATAAATAAATATATATTACAGGGTGGTCCACATGTCAGGGCACAGGGTTATTTTATTTATGTTAACAAATGATGATAACAATAATAATTATTGTCATCGGCAATCCTACTACGTATTAAAAACACCTGGTTGAATGCAACAACATTTTCACGCGTTTTGTAAATCCACCGCTTTACTTGCACACGAAGCGCCGCAATTAGAATGCCATCATATTTGACGCCACTCGCGCCCGCGCTCCGTTGCAGGTGATTCTGCGGCGTGTTGCACCAGTTCATCGGTTACAATGGGAAGGAATACAGCGCGGAGGCCACACCATCAACCTCTACAGATTGCATTTCCGGCTCCCCACACAACGTGAAAAACAAAAACACTCTTCAAATGTAATTTTTTTAATAGAAGTCTCAACACCACACATTAATTTCTATTGATTTATCTGACCTCGCTGTTTAATCCATTTAGTATTATTATTATTATCATACGTCCCTATTTCTCGCTTTCCAGATGTTCTGAGCCATGCTAAGTTTCCTCTGATTGTATTGTAAGTGCTTGGAGTTTTTTAATGATAGACATTTCGGGCTTTAACCTTTATTGTACAATTATTAAGCTTATGATAAGCACTTACGATGTGTTGCTTTATTTAAAGTGTATTTAAAATTGAATGTGCAAACTGTGTGCTTTTCTTGTACTCCCAATGCTCTGGTTTCTTGAACACAGGCTTTTCTTACAGCTCATGTTTACATCTGCTCTTATTTTATTCCAGCCACAGTAATATAAAAGCATGACAAGATTTCATTATTATTTCCATTTGAATATCTCATCAGTCAACCCTTGCCTCTCATGACCTTAGTGTGATCCGAAAGGATTTTTTTACAACCTATTATCTTTATTCCAGCCATGTGAACATGCTTTGTTTTTTTATACATAATGGAAGGGACCCTTTGAACGGGAAAAATGTCTTTGTAAAAAAATCAAGAACTGTCAATTCAGGAGCAATCTATTCCCACTGGAAGCTGCTTGTTTTGACGCTTCATTGACCTAATTCAATGCCATCGCAAATTGAGGTCTGGAAAACAAAATCCACATTTGCTGCACCGCATTCACTTGGTGAGCCAGGCTACGGCACCTCCTCGACACCCATGGGAAGGGAATTTCAAGACGTTTGCGTGATCCGCCAACCCTGGCTGCTGCCTCCACAGTGCTGGATTACAGGCATGCGCTACAGGCATGCACTACAGGCGTGTGCTACAGGCATGTGCTACAGGCGTGCGCTACAGGCGTGCGCTACAGGCATGCGCTACAGGCATGTGCTACAGGCGTGCGCTACAGGCGTGCGCTACAGGCGTGCGCTACAGGCGTGTGCTACAGGCGTGCGCTACAGGCGTGTGCTACAGGCGTGCGCTACAGGCATGTGCTACAGGCGTGCGCTACAGGCATGTGCTACAGGCATGCGCTACAGGCGTGTGCTACAGGCGTGTGCTACAGGCATGTGCTACAGGCGTGCGCTACAGGCATGTGCTACAGGCATGCGCTACAGGCGTGCGCTACAGGCGTGCACTACTATTGCCTGGCTAAAAAAATCCATGAGGTTTTTTTGGGGGGCGGGTTTGATCGCATAAATATATACGTGTGGTTAAACCCGCCAATACGACGCATTTATAGTTACGCAATCTAACCGAAAAACATCTCTTATGGATAATATTGGTCGCGAAAGCACACGTATTAAATAAAATACAAATCCAGCTTGTTTTCATTTTCATTACATACCTTACCATTATATTTTAGATAATCACATACCATCTTGTAAGTGCTTCATTCAGATTCACAGTATAGTTATACATCTCTATCTGGAACAAGTGTATGACATTTGAAGTGCGCGATTTGACCATTGAAAGTGTGATGTGAATGCAAAATCACCTATGTGTCAACTCTTTTGTTCAATTTGTTTTATTTTACATTCACAAAATAACTGGCCGAGAGCTCCTGGCTTTGAGTCTTCATAGTCAATTTGCCGAAATGTTTACAAGCTTTGAAAATGGAAATACTGAACATAATGAATTCATGAATATAATTGGAACTTGTAAAAAATGACACAGGGTAAAACAAAACGAGAAAAACCTTAAAAACAAATCTACAAGTAGATTAATAGTGAGGAGACATCGACCTAAGCCTCACTTCATGAACAGATTGTTTTCACCCGTGCAATATTCACACAATGTCAGCCTTTATTTCCACAAGTAGCAGTTGTATATTTTGATGTTCATAATTGCATAACTTAATTCGCGTTCATGTTAATCATTTTATATAAATGATTAATCATTATTTGTAATTCCAAGTGCCTTTTGCGTTTCCCATTTTGTCCCGGTTCCCACGGTGAAATGGGTCTAAGTGGGAGTCGTTCGTGCGGGAACCAGAGCGGGGAGATGCTAAATCGAAGAATACATTTCACGATCCGTGATGGGAGTTTCAATTTGCGGAATCGCGGCACTCGGAAATCAGGGGCGTGGCCGCTCTCGGTTGGGCATGGCGATCCATTTCACGCTACAAAACGAGGCATTTCTGGCACATATATTCATCATGGAAAGGGTGCCGTAAGAATTCACCACAAAACACTGCCTTATTGACCCTCCCAGAGAAAGGGGTCTGGCACGGTGGATGGCTTCTATTCTGTCACTGTTAGAAGCATTCCAAAGCGAGTCGTACTCTCTATACGGTGAAATCGTCAGTGTTCGCGATGGAGTGGGTGATTTCACGTGTAATCGTAATGATGTCGCAGGCAATATATCTACCCCGATCCCCAGAACTCCTACACTTCGTAGTACGGTGCGGTACAACGTCGGGCACAGAGGTTTCGGCGGATATGTGAAAAAGTCGGATAAGTGAGCATCTATGGAAGATTACGATTACGCCATACACACATAGGCTACTGGACAAAAATAAGACACATAGTGCTTTATGCGCGAAGACACACACTTCTGTGTTTTAAGAAGCAAGCAAATGTACACGACATTCAGAATACATTATTGGTTGTGAAAAGGGTCGAATTTGTAAAGATCTTTTTAAAAATGTACAAAGACTGCACTGGATCTGGGTGGATAATTGGTCAGGGGAGATATGTGATGGTTGGATATTGCTCATTAAGCACGCACATGTTTTACTATTTGCGATGCAGTGTTGTCCCTTAGACATAAACAGACGCGTTTGAATTGCATTGCTTAAACCAAGAACATCACCGAGTTTAAAGTCCCCATTTTGTTTTTATCCAAGGCCACGTTTACCTTCAGTTTTCCGTCTGTCTCCAGAGTATTTTTTTGAGGCACAGAGACACGTGTTGTTTGCCTACGACTGAGCAATATAGTACAACTTCTCGAAGCCAGACTCGAATACACCTGAAATTGGGCAAAGCGTAGAGGTTTCCTAAAAATACATGAATAGGTTTAAAAAAAAATCGACAACTCGAACTCGCTATATTGGTCACACACCGAGAATGGCAGGATATGGCATCCTGCAGTCAATCCGCATGCATTAGCCTTGCAAGGTGGTAAAGCTCTATGCTAATCTTGTATAGGAAAGACAAGATCTGGTTTCAACACAGATAAGTGTTAGACCATATCCCCAACCATTGAAATAAATACAATCGGTGTGCATTGTGCCACTAGAAATCTTTAAAGCCATATATCTGTCTGCTGTAATGAAATCGGTGAATTCCTCAGATGCCTTGATCATTGACATGCTCTGCTCGTGGCTTCTCACGTCTTAGGCGATGCCACCAAAAGCTAAGAATGCTCAATAAATTAATGGAACATTCCTTATTTGGCGTTTCATTAAAAGTTACGATAAAGCACAAATTCGTCTTGAAATCTTACTCAGCATGTGGGTGGTGGTGGCTTGAACGTGACGTGACTGCCTCGTGGCACGAGCAGACACACGCACATATTAATCAGCCAGCTGGGTTGAGTTTGATACTTACTGTTTGACACACGGCACTCCCTTGCACCAAAGACAAAATATCCCCCGTATAGCCTTCACAGACTGTTGGGGCAGGTGCTGTCAGCGAGCACCTAGGAAGGCCGACACAGCACGCGAGGGGGTGGGTGGCCAGCACAACGCCCCAGTGGCGATGTTTACACACCACACCAGATACTCATTTGAGGCCGAGTCGACCTAGAGGAGGTCAAAGACAGGTTCAGGTAATCGTCACCGTTGTTGGTGTCTGTGAGCGGGAATCAAGCTCGGGCCGCCGGATTCATGGCGCAGCGCGCTAACCGCCGCACTACCGTTCCCCGCACTCTACTTCTCCAGCTTCTGTAGCAACAGCAGCAAATTACGTATTTAAATACTGGACCACAACTCTCCCCCTCCATTGCCGCAAAACGGCAGAAGGCCCATTGAGCGCCAATCGTTCATTCAGGATGAAGACTGCGGCAGGAGGCCTATTTGGTGGCAGAGCTTATCTCTGGAGAGGGCAGTGCACGCACTTTTTACATGAAATTGCAGCTGCATGCAGTTGTCGTTCCTGTGGGTAAAACTAACAAGGCCGCCAAGTCGGTTTGGCACGTACCATTTCTCCTACTGACTTTACACGTGGCAATAGCCCCTCCAAACTAAAATGTAAGGGCAGTGAATTCCCCTAAATCCACGTCAATGACCATTCGTAGATCGTCCCATATCAGAGGTACAGCGCCTCTCCCGTGATTTTCAGCAAATCGTTTTGAAGGAAGGGGAGTTTTTTTTTTTGTCGTACGAATTTCCAGGGGGCTCTGGTGGACCGTGGGATGGCACGACAAAATTTGTTAGATTTGCGGGCGAGAGGGACGCGCCACATTAAAGGAGTTTTTACTGTAGTCTGATTTCATTTAAGTTGCGCTTCTATACGCCAGAGAAAATAATATGTTTGTTTGATTACATTTACAAGTTATATAAAGACAAGTTTATTTTTAATAAAACACTAATGCTGCGTTAATAAAATCATTGTATTGTGCAGCCAGTCAATCGAATAAGTCGACTGCAGTTCGTCTTTACAATGAGTTTCATGAACTGTCCGTGAAGTTATATTTACAATAAACTATTAAGTATGCATCAAAGTAATTTCATTATTCCCCCATGCTGACGTTGACCATACAGCTGGCATGCTTGGCTTTAAACTTTTATACGCGGTATTAAAAAGTAATTGAGGTGTGTTAAACTTTTTTTTTCAAGAAAGTGTTAACCTTTATGTGACAACAATGATTTTAACAGCCAGTGTTATTGCCTTTTCCACAGTGGCACTAAGTAAGACAATGATGTATCGATGTGTAACTGCATCCAGTGCAATGCACACAACAGTATTTTAAATAATAACTAGCTGTACTACCCGGCTTCGCCCGGGACTTGTATCCACCACGGCCGGCCGCCTTTGTCTCCCCAGTGGCGATGTTAATACGCCACACCAGTTACTCGTTTGAGGCTGAGTCGACCTATGGGAGGTTCAAATAATCTTGACCGGTGGTGGCCATGAGCGGGAATCGAACTCGGTTCGCCGGGTTGGTAGCGCAGCGTAGCGTTAACCACTACACCCACCGCTCCTCACACACACAGACGCACAGACACACACACAGACACACGCAGACACACACAGACAGATACAGACAGACACACAGACACACAGACAGCACGCTAACCACTACACTACCGCTCCCCACACACCACACACGCACACACACAGACACACACACAGACACACACACACAGACAGACACACACACACAGACACACAGACAGCACGCTAACCACTACACTACCGCTCCCCACACACCACACACACACACAGACACACACAGACACACACACAGACACACACACACAGACACACACACACAGACACACACACAGGCAGCACGCTAAGCACTACACTACCGTTCCCCCTACACACCACACACGCACACACACAGACACACACACAGACACACACACACAGACACACACACACAGACACAGGCAGCACGCTAAGCACTACACTACCGTTCCCCCTACACAACACACGCGCACACACACAGACACACACACAGACACACACACACAGACACACAGACAGACACACACACACAGACACACACACAGACACACACACAGACACACACACAGACACACACACACAGACAGCACGCTAACCACTACACTACCGCTCCCCACACACCACACACACACACACAGACACACACACAGACACACACACACAGACACATACACACAGACACACACACAGGCAGCACGCTAAGCACTACACTACCGTTCCCCCTACACAACACACGCGCACACACACAGACACACAGACAGACACACACACACAGACACACACACACAGACACTCACACACAGACACACACACACAGACACACACACACAGACACACAGACAGCACGCTAACCACTACACTACCGCTCCCCCTACACACCACACACGCACACACACAGACACACACACAGACACACAGACACAGACACACACACACAGACACAGACAGCACGCTAACCACTACACTACCGTTCCCCCTACACAACACACGCGCGCGCGTCCATAGGTACACATACACGCGCTTGCTGCAGACACACACGACTGTGAGGGTGCTAACGGCAGTAAACGACTGAAATAATAAAGTGGCAATGCTGCGCGAGGAACGCCTTAGACCTGCAACACATTTGTGTAATGCGAGCGTAAACACACAAACACATACAAAGACATACACACACATACATACACACACATACAAACACATACACACACATACATACACAGAGACATACACATACACACAAACACACACATACACACAAACACATACACAATACACACACACATACATGCATACACACAGACAGACACATAACACACATACATACACACACATACATACACAGAAACACATACACACATACATACAAACACACATACATACACACAAACACATACACACACGTACATACACACATACATAGAGACACACAGACATACACATAAACACATACACACATAGACATGACCCGGCTTCGCCCGGGACTTGGATCCACCACGCCCGGCCGCCTTTGTCTCCCCAGTGCCGATGTGAAAACGGCACAGACACACACACACACAGACGTGAAACTTTTATGAATTTACCTTAGATTCACGTGGTGGGTGTCGAGGCCTAGCACCGTGCAGAGCCTCCTGCCTCGCCTGATTTTCCCACCCGGCTGACGCTGGGTACGGGTGCCGGTCCCCCCCCCCCCCCCACCTAGCGCTCGAACAATACTGAGTAATGGCTATTATTTAATTAAATACGGAGCTTATGAAAGTGGCGAAGGCGTGGCTAGCCGTTGGCAGGGGCAACCGCCGTCCAATGAAACTGCAGCCCTTGGCGACGGCGTCGCTAGCCGTTGCCAGGTCCAATGAAAGCGGCGAAGGCGTGGCTAGCCGTTGCCAGGGGCAACCGCCGTCCAATGAAAGTGCGTATGGGCCGAAATACACACACACACAGACAGACAGACATGAACGATTTTATATATATAGATAATGTACTTGCACGAGAGGTGATTTCGTATAGACTCACTTGCACCGACAACATTAATTATTCCTTTTTTATGTATATATTTTTTTATATCCTACGGTAAAATGTACACATTTTTAACTTGGATGACATTTTATGCACTATTGTGAAATTCGTAAAGGATTTGAATAAAAACATGGTTTTGCTATTATCTGCATAAAAAGCAGCACCAAAATAAATACAATCCCCAGTGGAAAAATAACACTTTTCTTGTGACACGTTTCCTTAGCTGTGGATTTACGTAATCCGAAAAAGGTACCGAGTTTATTTCGTTCATTTGAATTTCACACATAATGCATGCAATAAACCAAAGCTGTCAACAGTGATGGGAAATGGTAGGTCAGACTTTGAGATTGCTTCTAAAGGAAATAACTTATTTGAATAGTATATTGCAGCACATTGGAAACACCACAGCAGCACAAAGTTCTATTGTATTTTTGAAAAACCAGATTACACCTTTTTTAGTACTAAATCATTTGCTGAGGTGTAGGGTATGTGACATGTGAACTATTTTTAATTGGATGTATTGAACACAATCTTTGAAAAAAAGGAATAGCGTGTGATGTTAATTTCACCAATCCTAGCCCAGCTGTACTACAATAATATTACATTAAGTTCAGATTGAATAATTTACTCGTTTAGGATTTCGCTACAATAACAACTAAGAACAACCGAGAAGCAATATCATAGGTCAGGGATGTCCAAACCGCGGCTCGTGAGCTGCGTGTGGCTCCCGGCCAAGTTCTCAATGGAGAGGCGAATAATCTTGAACTTTCAAACGTAACAAGTTTTTTTGAAATACGAAAAATCTGTGGAAACATAAGTCGTCCAAGACACTCGCTCCAATAATGAGAGCCAGGCATGAGTAATCTTGAGGCGCTCCCATAGTTATCTAATTTCAACCCTCCACAGCCAACAGCGTGAGTGAACCGACCGCGTGAACACCCACTCCCTTGTGACAACCACACATCACCACCCCCTTGTGACCACCCCCACGTGACCACCACACATGACCATCTCCTTGTGAACATTCCGTGCATGACCACCACACGTGACCACCCATTTGTGACCACCACACGTGATCACCCTGTGACCACCCCCCACGTCACCATCCCAGACGTGACCACCCCCTTGTGACCATCCCACACGTGACCAACCTCAAGTGACCACCCCACGAAATCAGCTCAGCATCATGTGGCTCTCGGCCATAACTAGATTTTGGTAGTCGCCTCGTTAGGGTCGGGAGGTTTGATCACCCGCTGCCATTGATCCTCTACGTGGATGTGCAAATGAGTACATCACCTGGATCCAGAGTCACTGATTTACTCCAAGGGATCGGCTACATTAGTGGCGCAACAGGCTATTGGCAAATAGCCTGGGAGCTGTACCGTAGCGCTTTGATATTCTACATGCGTGTGCAAATGAGTGGTGCACTCTGGTTATATCTGCAAATTAGCCCTAACGGCCAGGAAAGAATACTTTCCAATGAAAAAAAAATCCTCTCCTATCAGCAGGAGCACCCATGTAGCCTTCTGAATTAACCAGACGTAACAGTGCAGAGGTTCCCACACTGCTATGGAGAATAAAGGTACCAGCAATCCCTGTGAAGGGAAACCCGTTTTTATTGTAACTAATATTCTGGTGGTGCAGACTTAGAATACAGAAATCTACAGTCATGACTAGGATGCACTTTAATGTGAAAAAAAGATGTTCGATTGTTTTTGAAACCAGGAAGAAATTGTGATATAGCACAGCACCCGAGTTCAATTCATGACTAACATTTGTGTTGAGTTATACCTGAACCAGTCCTGGGCTCACACCTTCACTCCAGACTGCATTATCCAGTGGGGTGAAATATGGTTAAAAAAAGATACTCTCATGAGTGGCATGGCATGGGAAGGCCTTCATCTCGTAGTGGATTGACAAAAGTCTGCAAATATTTACTCTTACTCAAAAAAATGTTTCTCTTCCGAACTTTTCTTTCTCTCATTTGCACACACACAATCCTTTTTATCCTTGATATTATTGATCACTTTCATTATTTCTCTGTCTCCACATATTCCTCACCCCTCACTGTGTCTTCAGGAGGCCATCCTGATGATTTGGCTGCAGTACAGCGATGACACCGTGGTGCCCCTCGACGTGTTCAGCCCACGTGAGTATCTCCTCACCGTCTCCTCGCTCGACCAAAAAGTGGTGTCCGTCACCGTGCCAGAGGGTGACGCTTGGCCCCAAATCGTGGCCGAGGGTCAGGGAGAGGGTGGCCTCATCCGCCTGGAGCTCATGATCTGCGAAGCCTGCCAGAAGACTCGGCGGAGGACGACGGTGGTGGCGGCCGTGGCCGATGTGCACGTTCGCTTCTCTAGGCCGGAGGAGAGTGGCTACAGCGGCAACGAGCAGAGCACCGAAAGCACCAAGGAAGGCGGCGACATCATTGACGAGGGCTCCCTGACCTTGAAAGACATTATTCCCAATGGGCTCGGCACGACCACTGAAGCAGGGGTCGGCGTGAAGTCTACCGCTGGAACAAATAAGAATCAAATAATGATTGTGCCAATAGGCATGGATATAAGCCGACCATCCGCTGACACGGACATCCCCACAGCCACCGATTCTGATCGGGTGGATGAGGAGCTACAGGCCCAAAATACACCTGGCCTGTCAGATCTTCAGATTGGCATGTATGTCCTTCTCAGCGTCTTCTGCCTTGCCATTCTGGTGTTTCTAATAAACTGCATTGTTTTCACCGTAAGGTACAAAAGGAAGCAATCTCCCCAAAGCCAGGACGAGATCCTGACACATTCGCACGAATGGATAGAGCTGACCAACCCAAACGCTGACACCGCCGTCCAACCACAGGACAGCAGTGCCGCCGTCCCCAAGCAGGGCAGCTGCTTAGTGAGGGAGGGCAGACGAGGCCGCGGCGTTCTCAAGGACAAGGTCAGCACGGCCAGCACGAGCGGCGGTGGCGGCGGCGGCGGCGGTGGCGGCGGCGGCGGCACGGGCAGAGGCAGGCTGCAGGGGCGGATGCGGAGGCAGGAGAGGCAGTCGGACAAGATGCTCGTTAAGGGCGAGCCGGCGGTGAGCTCTCCCACGACGCAGCGCAAGCGCGTGACTTTCACCACCTTCATGACGGTGCACAGTCCAGTCCACGGAGCCGAGGCGTACAGCTCCCTGCCGCCCTCGAAGGAGCGTGAAATAGAATGGATCTGTTTGGACACAGGCTATCGGGAACCAGAAAATCTAAGAAATTACATTCAAAGTTTAACCGACACACTGTAGAGAATAAATTGCTTATTGCGTTGTGCGCCCTTGTAATACATTTGTAATTCAAAGGCTATGTGTTCATCTTGTTGCAACATGTAATTTTATTTTTACAACTTGCTGGCTTGATATTGTAAAGAATAATGGTACGTATAAAAGTCTACAGACAATTTATTGAATAACAACAATTTCACGACATTATGTACGTTCAAAATATCTGTGTTTTAGGTTTTTTTCTAAACAGGAATCGTTGAAAATTTAAAAAATTCCAGACTTTTATGCAGTCATGGAAGGGAAAAATGGAAGTCCTTACCTCTTCTATCAAAGATTTTGTCACAAAGATAAAATTTGTTAATTTTTAAGGATTTTTTAACGCAATGTATTGCTGCTGAAAAAAAAGTAACAAATGCGGTATGCAGCAACATTTTTAAGTGCGTAACAAGATTGGTCGTGGAAAAGTTATGCATTAGCAAGTGTCTCAGTGCGATAGTTCTGTGCCTGTGTCATTGTAGCACGCAGAATAACATCCAGCGACAAATTGTGCGCGAAACTTCCTGAAAAATGGATGGCAATGTCATTAATATTATTATCGCACGTTACAGGAAATGACACGCGTACAAAAGTAAACGTTGAACAGAGACTAAAAGCACTTTAAACAAAAACCACTGATGTCAACTGCATGCATTTGATAAAGAAAAAAACTTTTGTTGTAAATATGTAAATACAGAACTCTAGAGCAATTAGAAACCATTAATCTTGCTTTTAGCTACTGCTCTTTTTATTCTATTTTATTCTGCCACGATTGTCATTTTGAAGCCAAATACAGTTTGTTATCAATGTGATGTAAATCTGTGAACGCCACGGATGGTAGTTGATATTCTCTGTACAGGCTTTTGTTTAATGAATAAACATTGTCCAGTTACAAAGCCGTCTCCCGCTCAGTCTTTCCTTCGCTGTCTTGAAAGAGCAACGCAAGGCTCGGGTTGTCACATTCGCAACTTGAACGGAGTGGCTCGGCGATTTGGTCACCCATTGCTTATGGAGACGTCGGCACGGTTTTTGTTCAACGGTTTTACTCAACTTGACTCCTGTTAACATTAACATAGCCACTTCCGTGCCCTCGTCGAGGAGGCCGCTCTCCAATCTTACATTTACATGCTAATTTCTAACATCATATTCTTAGTTCTTTCGGTAAAGTCACGTAGGTAAAAAATGAAATTAAAATTAATAAAAAATAAAAAAATAAAATCACGACGTTTCGGAGGCAACACAAGTCTCCGTCATCAGGTGGGACCGTCACAGCCAGATTTGCTGCATCAAGTGAGGCAGGGATTCGAGATGCAAGCTCTTAATACAAGTTTTCCATTCATTGGCTACCACATTCTGATAAGCTCCCCCCCCTGTCCTCCCCGTTAACTTGTATTTAATAATAACCCCCTAATAAAAAAAAATCATGTTGATGTAGACAGTGTGCCTAAAACAAAGTAATTCACCATTTTTAATATACATTACTGTTTTGATGTTTTCTGTTTGACGTGTTTTCTATGTATTGTATTCAATCACAGAACCAAGGCAGCGTGTTCATGGGGAGTTCTCCCCATGAACTCGAGAAACGTTTTCATGTTGAAATGTTCATACGTTAATAAAAGATGCGTCGGTGTTCAAAAGAAAAATATGTCGAAGTATTTTTTTTATTTTCTGATCACATCAAATTTTGCTGGTATCATCAAAGGGGTGACACGAATATTAAATGGATCATTATTTCTTTTTTTTTACTATGAACATACTCATCTTTTTTACGTTAACAATAGGGTGAGTTAAACACTGATGTAAGATTGTATTTTCCCAAGGCACTGAATAATGCGCTTCTTGGAGATGAAACAATAAACTGCATGGCTTCCTTTTCAAGCATATGCAAGACTGTATTGTATCCTTTAATGCGGATAAAACCGACCTGACTAGCTACGCAGTTGTCTGGTTTTATGAGGATATTGAAAAGCTGCACGGAAGATTCGTCTTCTGACGTATCCTGTGAAGGATTTTGCACTCTGATGCTATATATGGCAAGAGAGCCTGGGCAGAAATAGCAGTGAAGTTATTGTCCTGACGCACACTACTCGCAACTCAGAGGGTAGAATGACATTCGTGTCAGAATACACTAGCAGGCTAAAGGTAGGAAACTATCACGTGCATTGTCCTAACAGAACGGACTCTTTTTTTTACCAAGCTTACTAGACAAGTGCCTTTAACCAAGTCACTCAGAATGCGCCCAATCTCATCAGATGTGTGCATGTTGAACTTATTTTCATACTCAAAAATTGTAAATGTTGTGGATTCACTCTTCAACACACCGGTGGGCTAAAGTAGTGAACTATTTGTCTTTTGTCAACGTGACACTTTTTTAACTGATTGGCCGTGTCGGGTGGTGGAGGGTTACGACACATTTATAATGAACGCGATCTAACCCAAAAACGTGTATTATGAATATAATACTGGTCGCGAAAGCCTACGTGTTAAACTGAGGATGTTATAGGTTGTGCAACTACGTGGGTAGGCACCAATGGAGGGCGTGCAGCAAAATGCATCGCTGGACTGTATTTCTATGCTTCCACGCCCAAGCTCCCAGTCTGCACTAACCCACACTGACCGGCGTGGGGAACTACGTTGAGATAGCCTCCTCATCCAGCAGTAGGTTTAACAAAATGGCCGCTGCCCATGTGCAAGTGTAGGGGTGTTAAAGAGAGGGCCCGTTATGCATGGCAGCCTATGGAAAACAAACACAGTGGGCGGGGCTACGTAAGTGCACGAGCAAGTGCCCTCTACGACGTCCGAGCCAGACACCCTGGGGGGGGCTGGTTCGAACGTTATGATCCCCCGGGGCCCCACCCCTCAGGGAGGGGTTGGGTATAAAAGGGGATGTTGAAAGGGCTCAAGGCAGTTATGTTTAAGCTAAGGGAAGAAGATTGAAGACGTCTTAGATAGAGCCCTGGACTCCCCTGGTTCGATGTCCTTTTCAGGGCCGGACAGGACTGAGCCAGCGGCGTGGTCCCGAAAGCCAGAGCCGGTGCTCTTGTAAGAGCTGGTCTGGAACTCCGGGTACCGGGCCCGACTTACCAGTGTCGGGCCAGTTAGCCTCCCCTAGCCCATTAGTGGAGGATTGGGGCTAGGACAGAGTTAGCTAGGGGTGTATCCCGAGTTATACGGGTGAGGGGGCCGATACCCCCTCGAGAGTGTATATGCCCACTGTCATATTGTGAATAAACATACGTGTGCCTCAACCTCGGCGTCAAGCGTCCTCACCGGTACTTCACATGTACCGCAAAACTAAAGCAATGTTCAGACTCAATTTTACAAAATGTTTGGGGGGGGGGGAAGCACAGTTGTATCCGTGTCAACATAGACTGGATGCCCAAAACTTAAATTATACATAACATCCTTTGAGCAACGCGGATTAAGGTAATGTTCGTAATTAACATTTGAGAAATTGAATTATGAAATAACTTATTAATTTGAAGAATGAAATCTCCACAACTTGAGTGTGGATTTTTATCACCACGTAATTATTAATGTTAGCTTTTAGAACAAAAGTTTTATATCCGGATTGTGTTATGCAATTCTATCTGTGTCGTGCATGGCGAGCATCATCGTTAATCATAATAAAAGCAGCGTCGCTTTTATGGTGTCTGGAAAGCAGGTGCATCAACGGATGGATCCAAAGTAAATCTGGCATCCAATAAGAAAGCACATCTTAAAAGTCGCTCAGACCTGTCCATTTGAATTTACTAATACTAATGATGTGCATTAACAGCAAATGTAACGGATAATATTACATGCATACCGTTACTTTCTAATATTTTTGATTTCGAACTGTAAGATTCACCAGATTTCCCACATCTTGGTTGTATTTCACCCAAGAACCAATTTCTCATATGAGCGATGTTTAAATCCCCTTAGAAAACTCAATCACAAGCAAATAATCCTCCCTAATGCAGACGTCTTTCCTTCTTGGCATCATTATAAGAACAAATATATACTGACCTGTGGCGAACATTTTCAATTGGACACAACTCGATTTTAATCACAGCAGTTGTGTGCATAAGTGCAACTAATACCCACATTAAATGTCTTCACAGCAATTCCGGACACTTGATTTTAATTACACAAAAATAGACAATGGCCAAAATTGGTCCCTCTGTTCAGCTTATTTGGGTGTCTTTTTTAAGTTTGTCCTCTCCTGTGGAAACATCTTCACACCAAAACATTTGACCAAATTATCATCAGCCATGATACATACATTGCCATGTCATCGCCATTCCTTATCGCGGTCTTATGAAGACACACTCCATCTCGCTTCTATGTCTTCCCCACGCCCACTTTTCCTCAAGAGTCAATATGATGTCTCGAATCTCATTTTGCCAAATTATGGAAATATTTCATTTCTGCACCTCCAGTTAGCACCGTTGGCTAGGTACGGCGCGAAACAAGTGCAACATACATTCGGTACATTTTGATTCAGGAGCTGGTCCCCCACCTGATGTCGACGTATTCCATCTGGTCTGAGAGTCTCCCTTGTTGCATCCTAAGGGTGATGGTTTCCTCTTCCAAGAAGAACAGTTGAAACCCCCTTCTATTCGACAAAGACGATTTGTTTCATGAGGTTTGTCACGATGTGTAATCCCAAATGATTTATTTGCAAGGTAATTTTTGTTCAGCGTTGGAATGTTTGGTCAAAACCAGTTACACTGCTTTTTTTAACCAGATAATCTGCGGGAAGCCCTGCGGAACAGGGGAGAGAACACAACTCCACACAGAAAGGTTCCCGAATCAGGATTCGAACCCAGGCGCTTCTTGCTGTGAGGCACAAGTGTTAGCATTGCGTAAATATGAATGTGTCGTTAAACCCGCCACCACCCGACACAGCCAATTAGTAAGGTTTGTCACGTAAACAAAACGTGCCAATTCGTTACTAGTTGAGCACACCGGTTGTGTTGTGAGAGTAAACCCACAACATTTACAATCCGAGTACGACGTTTCGCCAGTAATTACTGGAACGCCAGTAATTACCCAACCCCCCCCCCCCCCCCCCAGTACCGGATTATCCTAGTAGCAAAAGTAACATAATTATGCTAAGGGCCTCGCACTTTCAAGGGCCCCGCGCTAAATGCTTTCAAGCTATCAATTCCGGTTTCAGTGATTCAGCACTTGCTCTATTATTATAGTACTATACTGCCTTCAACTTTTATGAACGACTAGGTGTTTAAGGTTAGCGAGTTGTCGTATTATCTGGCTGTGTAGCAAATGAAAAAATACAATTACTCCACTATGCAAGTTAAACATTTTATGTTTTAATATTTACGTGTTTTTGTTATATTTAGGGCCCCTTTATAACATGTGCTACAGGCCCCGCGATAGCTTAATCCGGCACCCCCCCCCCCCGCGTCACTCCGGGACACGTGGTGGTCGCTCTCGCTGTGTTCCTGCCTGTCAACTCCCCCTCTCCCCTTGGGTGCAACTTTGACGGCCAGCTGGAGGAGCTGGAACGATTGTAGTTCGAGTCAGGAGTCTGCAGGCCACGCAAACTTTGGTGGCGAAATTCGCCAGCAGCATCGGCTGGTAATTAACTATCCAGATGTGAATTAGTTAGATTTTTGATTGGGAACTTTTTGGGGGGGTAGCCTTTAAACCAGCCGTTCCTGGAGAGAGATAAATGTGTCTGTGAACGCACCTACCCCCTGTTACTCGTGGAGAATTGACTCATGCCCATAAAATAATTTAAATGTAGCTTAAAGCCCCAATCTACTGCTGGATGACAGCCTCTCGCACGCATTTCGTCCTCAATGCTGGTTTGTTTGAACGCTCATCAACCTCACCGATCAGTGTGAGTCTTGATGTGAGAGTTGGTGCCGAAGACCGGTGCTGATATCACCCACCCCCACCACCATTCTTGTGTTTAATATGGCTAAACCATTTTGTGTTTTTATTCAAATGCATATTTCAGGATAAAAAATATTTTATTCAAGAAATAAAAAAACATGAAATACAACACAAGCCTTAAAAAATAATATTAAAAATTGAAACAGCAGTGATAATACATAATCAAAATGTTACAATGTTTGCATATTAGTTTGGCATTTAACAGCGACTCAATGTTACACTGAAGAGATGTGAGTTTTTCCATCAAAAGTCCCACCTTTAGGTTTGCAAAACAACACACCGTTTAACACGTAGGCTTTCGCGACCAAAATTATTAATGATGCTGGATGTAATTACCAACGAAACGTCGTATTCAAAAATTGTAAATATTGTGGATTCACTCTTCAGCACACCAGTGGGCTAAAGTAGTGAACTATTTGTCTTTGTTCAACGTGACACTTTTTTACTGATTGGCCGTGTCGGGTGGTGGAGGGTTACGACACATTTATAAATAACGCGATCTAACCCAAAAACGTTTATTATGAACACACCGTTGTAAGCGTGTTGACCTTGCCACTTGGTTCAAACCTCACATTTTAGTTGAAATTAAACTTGCTGATCAGATTTGAAGTCAGGTCAACGGGTTAGCAGAGCAGTGCGTAAAGCAACATGCCACTGCTTCCCCCACCACCACAGCTTCACTTTGGTACATATAATTCCAACTCCTAATTCTTGTGTTTTTTTTTACTTCACGTACTTAACCAGGACAGCCAGGCTGAGACCTCAGGCTTTTCTTTTCAGGAGGGTCCCGCATTGGATTTTTATTTTATTTTAAGATGTTTTCAGCAAATTAATGAGTTGTTAAGGATGTGGGAGGAAGCCATAGCACACCCGGAAAAACACACACACACATGCAAGGGGGCAACGCTATATCCCCGTACACATGGAACGATATGGTGATTATTCCACTTGCTGTATTGCCTTCTCCTGTCGAGCCAGACCATGGTGCTGCATTCATCACGGGAGTGTATAGCCGCTACCGCCCTGCTATAAAAACGCGTTTTACATTAACAATGGCCCTTGTACACAGGCACTATTATAAAATTGTCCTATAACACACATAATAGTATTAAACGTTGGTAATATAAACGATGCCGTTGCATATGTGTGATTAAAATGATACAATTTTCAGGAATCTGTTCATATTTGTGTAGTAATATAAATTAGAAACGCCCCGTCGTACAATGATTAACGATAGCTATACGCCTCAATGAAATTACACAATTTACCTCCAACTAGTTAATACAATTACTGATAGTCTAGTTCTGCTCTTAAATTATTGATCAAAGGGTTAATTGCCAAGCTAATCTGTATGAAAAGAAAAGTTAGTGAAACCGGGTCTCAATACAATTAATTGGATTATTTAATGTCGTACATGGGTTGTTCATCTATGCCAAAAAAAATCCGCAAAAAACAAATACCTATAATGCTGCACACAAGTTATCCCGAACAATGAAAATGCGCAATACTGCGTTATTTCATTGACTTTTTACACATGTTTTGGCTCGTATACTTTTAATAACACAAAAACAGCATTTATAAGGAATTTAAATTGCAAACAGATCCGAACATGATTAGCTGAGACCAGCAGGATCAAGTGGTGTGATTGATGTTTGTGTCCATGATTCCTCATTGGCTGACATCCGCAACTCAGGGATTCCCAGGGCTTGTGTGCCAGGACTTCATGCAGACGAAGATGACCAGCGTCACACTTTGGATGCCAGCCAGTAAGAAAAAGTAGAAGTCCAAGTGGCAGTGATTTATGCTACCTGTGTGTCGTGATAAATTGCACAGTATCACAAATGAATTAATAACAATACAATAAACAATAAGTTACAGGCCTATATAGATCTACTGCTAGATTAAGGATCTCTCCCACACCGTGTCAGTTATGGGTGTTGTTTGGTCAGACTTCAGCATGCCGACTTGGTTAAGCGGAGGGGGCTCAGAACCAGCTCAGATTATATTTCGTCACTGATGTTATACACGTGGTCGGGAATTGAACTCAGGCCAGCCTGCTGATAGAGCAGGGTGCTAACGACCTTGCAACCGATGCCCAATTATCACGAAGCAAGATGATAAACAACACTAGCAGCTGCAGAATTTTAATCAGAACTACAAAAAAATGTCCAAATGCAAATTAGGTTTGTTTTATTTCTGATTGCTTAATTGTTTGGCTCAGTACAGTTTTATCAAAACTTAAATTGGCCCGCTACGGAGGTTTGCATTCATCGAAACGCTTTTTCATTTTAACCATGCAGGTTAATAACAATGCCCATTATTTGTATTATTTTGTTTCTCTTGGAAAACGTGAAACACGTTCCACGCTTCAACTTGTGAGATTTATTTTGCGAAAGATAAATTTATGCTATGACCAATCGATAGCCATCGCCTTGGTGATTTGTCCTTATTGTTGGTATGAAGAGGTGATGGCATATTTCCACGAATATTTCAATGAAAATGAATTACATTTGGCACTAGAGCCCTGTGTGTATTCATTTCCCCAATTAGACCAAATCTTAGCCTGAGGTGCACGTGGCGTAGCTTGGGATGTTATATCCACCCTGATAAAAATGTAGGCCATTCGCTACTGCAGTTCAGGGAGAATTCACACAAATTACAAAGACAGGCTATCACAATTCCACCCATAAACAGACCCTCGCCGGCTACACTATTTCCATATACAGTACGTGAAAGCATTGAGCTCTATTAAAGTTGGTTAGCACACTGCGCCGTTAACCGGGCGACCTGAGTTCAAATCACTCACCTCCGATTTGCACCCACGATTGGCACGGTTGGCTATGTACGGTGCGAAAGAAATTCAACGCGCAAATGTACTCCGCTTGACAGTCATGTCCCCCCCCACCAACCTGTTTCACTAACTCGCACTGACCAGCGAGCGAGGTCAAGGACGATATAACAGCACCCACGATTGACGCGGCATTCTGATGCTGTCATCCAGCAGTGGGCTGACAAAGGGCTCCACGTCATTTGCAATGTGCTCCATCAGCAAGCAGCCGGTCACAAAAAAAGCATCGCTGCACAGAATCTAGCGCCTGGCAGCAAGTCAACGTTCAGCAACCTGCGATTGCTTGCTCACGCCAACGCCGATGGAATGACCTCCACTAGAGGGAGCTCTGGACAGCCCCTCAGAATAGGTAGCTGGCCCGCTCTGCCATCTTGGAAAAGATGGGAAGTAAAGACACTTTTGCCTCAGCGCACGCTACAAAGGCGTAGCTAAGATATTTTGCGCCCGGGGACGAACTATAAAATTGGCGCCCCCCGTTTAATCACATACCAAAATGTAATTACATGACATGTAGGCTGTGTGTGGCGGGATATATAAACTTTTAGGTTGAGGTGTAGATTTGTGCAGTAGTTTCAGGCTGCCGCGCCCGCCGCAATAAGTTATGTAACGTTGTAAGCCTCATTTTGGTGCCCCTTTACCTCGGCGCCCGGGGACATATGTACCCCCCTACCCCCCCCCCCCCCCTAGCTACGCCTCTGGCACGCTACCTGTCGACCGACTGCCGGGCACCCGTTTGCACTGCTCGGTGGACAGAGAGGTGTTGCCAATTTTTTCCACTGCCACTCTGGGAGATCGAACCGGCCACCTCCGATCGCAAGCGCAGTGTTGCAAAACCATTTACAGCACAACAGCATCGCATACAGTTCGTCACAATGCTGATTAATTCATAATGTGTCTGGGTGGACTTGGGCCCGGGGTTATAATGGCGGTGCAGAGATCGCAACAGCCTCCGCATGTTCTCGCAGACATCCAAGGGGCCGTCCATAAATGACGTCACGCGATTTTGGACGATTTTGACCCCCCCCCCCCTTTGTCACACGGCGTCACAAAAAGTCAGACCCCTCCCTCAAATTTGACGGCACAAAGCTCTGCCCCTCCCTAAAAAAAATGCTTCAAATCGCTTTAAACTATTGTCATTGTAGTGCCTATTTAATGTGGCGCTGCACTCTGATGTTGTAGGAGAAAACATTTATTTAAAAGTATATTTAATTAAGTAGAACGTGTTGTCTATATCTATTTAAAGTTGCGCATTTTTACGTGACGTCACATTTCTCAAACCCCCCCCCTCTCGTCACACATCGGCACAAATGTCTGACCACCCCCCCCCCCCCTAGGTGCGTGACGTCATTTACGGACGGCCCCTAAGCTAATCTATCTGAATAAAACTACCCTCCCTCGTGCCGTATAACAGCTGGTGCCCAGATTCGACCACGAGTGCCGCATATGAAGATTCATACTAAAACAAGTCGATGCATGTTTATGGAGGACCCATTTGCAGACTTTTCAGACAACCTATGGGTATGATTACATGACGTTATTATTACTGTTATCATTGAGAAATGCAACTGTTCCCCGCAGGAATGTGAAACAAGTTAGGACTTAATATCCCATATCTCCCAAAAGTAGGTCACGTTGCCCTGTAGTCAAATGAAAATTGCAGTGTTACACCGGTGTAGGGAATTACACTACCACTAAGCTGCTGTCTCACATGGAAAAGAATGCTTTCAGTGCCATTAGTGTAACATCACGAATGAATAAATGTAAGAACTCGGCGACCGTAAGTGCCATCGTCTTTGTAGTACCAAACATCTGAAGCGTTGAGCTCCTTAACAACTTTTGCTGTCTTGCATGACAACTTAAATGTGCGATGATGCCTAAGTAGTGAGGCCAAGGTGGAAAAATAATAGACATTTCTGAGAATCAGAATTGCCACACTGAGCTTTTCGAGAACACAAACAGGACGTATAATCATGTCTTACAGGTATAATTGAACAACAGTTGTTAATGTCATTTCCATTAGCTCACTTGTGGTAATGCAGGTCATGTGTGCTGTTGCATTAATTCAATTCATTTGTCAGCCAAGCCTGATTAAAGCAACATTGCAAACACCAGTTTAGACCATGTTATAGGGAGGAACGGTAATTAATTTATACATTTAGAGAGCCGTTGATCAATATACATTGTGCTTATTCCCAGAGAGAGAGAGTTAGGTGATATAAATTAAGCATTAACTCATGTTTTAAAAGAATTCCTCACACTAAATAATCGGCACGTGCATTAGCACTGTCCCAATACTAATAATGATTTCCTAAGTGGACACATCAGTGGATGTCATGTGTTTTAACTCTACCTTTATACAATGTGGAACAAACTGAAAATGCATTGCACTTTAGCTGATTATTTAAAAATAACGGTTAATGCTAGATTGCAAGGTAAGAGCACGCCAATGCCAATTGTTGTTTAATATTCATGACTGGGTAAGTGAAAAGAGTATTGGTCCGGCTTGACTAGTTTGTACGACGCTATTGTCAGACATATTCTGAAAAGAGAGCACTTCGAAAATGACTGATTGCAAGCTGGAATTTTGGCAAATTAAGTGAAAGACCAAATCTAATACGACGCTTGTCGGGAGTCTTCGGTGGCCGAGCTGGGATCCTGCCTTAATCTCGGGTGGCTGTAGGGTTTTCTGTAGCTGCATTTGTTGTGAACTCAGTGGTGCTGACTCTGTACTCTGAGCAATAAGCCACCAGGCCACCAATCTCAGCGCCAGCATACAACATTAATAACCTCGCCGTTTTCAGTACGCTGAATTTAATCTGGATGCATTTAAAAGAAACCAAAAAAAAGGGTACATTGGCATTGGACAGTATGTTATACAAAGATAAATTCAACATCTTAAGATTTGAACATGAAAAGCAGAGGTTCACCCTGACTTGTACAACAAATCAAGTGGAGTAATACAAGGAGGACATCTCGACTCATCGTTTTGTAACTGCCCTTGTGCTATCATACTCCATCATGTCACGCTGTGACAATTACTTTTAAACTAAACTAGTACTGCCCTCGCATTTGCACGGGAACCCGGCTCAACACTATGGGATGCGGGTGACGTCATCATGTAGATGTGCATGATGATGTCACCACCACGGACTTGCCCGCCGATGTGCCAGCCAGACAGCAAAACTTTTTAAAATAATATGTCACGATGGTATACAATTATTATTTTTATTATTTTCTTAACATATTGTATACCCATTCTATATTCTCCTGGCCAAAGGTCCGCATGAACTAATTATCGAATTGCTACATTCACAAAAAAAGTATAATCATACATCCATCTATTCCAGTGTTTTAATTCTGAGTGATTGCTACCACTAAATCACTTTGTTCCTACCAAGCCCTTCGTACAATATTTTCTGAACGACTGTCATAGGGAAAAGGCGAGTGTGTCCAAACAGCATGTGGTGACCTTAGAACAATACAGCCACTCTCCATTGTTATGGACTTTCATATCAGTAACATAATTACTCTCGAGCAAGTTTCTCAGAAAAGCTATTTCATTTTACACACCTTAATGACCTTCCACCCATCAACCTTTCTTTGCTTAAACCCACACAGCTCGAAGTCTGCCTTAAAAAAAAAGACGAAACTGTGCCCGTGCTTGTCAAATCACAAAAGTCATCGCAACTTACCAGAGTCCCTGTGGCTGTCCATCCAGCCAATGGACGGCAGCGACACCAAGCTGAGAAGGCCAGAGCCCATGAACGAGCCGATCCCAGAGAAGAAGAAGAACAGCCCCATCACGGCACTCTGCATGTGCTTCGGAGCCGCGGAATACGCAAATTCCAAACCTAGAGCCGTCCACCGATGCCACCGTGAAACAAAGAGAGTGCAATCAGGGGGCGTAGACGTGCAGGCACAAAGCCCCTTCGTCACTCCACTGCTGGACGAGGTCTCCCACACGCCGTGCGCGCCTTGGGGGTTATTTGACCACATACTTCACCACGCCGGTCAATGCAGGTCGGTGGAGGCGGGGCGAGCATAGATGTGGCAAGCGTAGTAAGAGTGCCAGGCGATGGTGGCACATGCTTTGTAATCCAAGCACTGTGGATGTGAGGATTGGGTGGGATCAAACAGATGTTGTGAAACTCCCTTGCCGTGAACGTCGAAGTGCCATAGCCTGAGTTGCCAGGGGAGTACGGTATACCAAATGTGGACTCCACTTGTTCCATCTGTATGGGATAGCGTGTAACCCCCTCGCGTTGTGTGGGTTTTCTCCGGGTGCTCCAGTTTCCTCCCACATGTTTACACTTCATTAATTGACTGAAAACATCTTAATATATATAGAGGACTCCAAAGCTTGGGAAATTGTTGGCGCAGGCTCACCAGCCTGGCTGCTTTCTTGCCTTTGATTGCTCACACCTCTGAGTTGTTCTCTCTCTTCGAGAGTGAGCAAATACCGTTACAAGTTTAAATTATGATCACAACAATGCATTTTTTGCTGCGCTGCCCACTGCTGTACACAACGTAGCTCTGCAGTAGCCTATAGCCCCTGTTCGATGCATGGCAGTCACCCATGAAAGCAATATCCAGGCTCAATCGTGCTTAGATTCTGATATCTGACAAGATGGGGTGCATTCCGGGTGATTTGGTAGGACTAAGATCGTAATTATAGATTAGAGTAGAAACGAAAACAATTCCCTAAATTGCCGCGTAGAAAACAAAAACACATCACCAGCCCACTGCATGTAAGTAAGTTATTGCTGTCATCACTTTCATGTTTTGAGTCTAAGTGCGAAAGTGATTCTTCAGTCAAATTTATGCAGAGACCACGTGACAAGTACGAGGCTTGAGAAAGGTTCTGAATGTTACGGTGACATGCGTAAAGATGACGAGTGGTAATGTGATGGTAATTAAAGCGACTAAAGCCATGCACCTCTTGATGGTGACATCTTTAGTCATGGTAGAAAGAGTTCACGTTACCGAGTAATGCGATGTTAATTGGTGACGTTTCAATGAATTGCAAAGTTTCCACGGTATCTTATTCATGAAACTGTAAAAACGAGATTCGAAGCTTTCGTGACTGCAGGAATTACTCTTTGGTTCTTTTGGTAAAAGTCACGTATAAAATAAAATAATAATAGAATACGACCTTTCGATTGCAACACAAGCAACCGTCATCAGGTCAGAATGAATGAGAAAAAAACATAGTAAACTTAGAAACACAATGCAACACAACACAGAGAGCCGGACAACACAACAGCCAACACCCCACATGGCTGACCACGCTCCTCCAAAGAATGACATTCCTTGTAATCATATTTACAGCGCCCTTTGCCAATTCACTGCTGGATCAATGGGGTTGCTTGACCATACTTCACCATGCTAGTCAATGCAGGTTTGTTGAATGGGAGGGGGGGACGGGGGGGGGATATCATTTGCCACTGACCTTAGCCCATTGCCAGTAAACAAACTCGTAGCAGAGTGCACTCACCACTGTGCTCCACCCTTGGACGCTACATAAATCCAAATTGCTTTGTAAATCGTTCCAAGGGCATATCACACAAAAAACACAGGACACGTTGACCATATACTGTCGGAAGAGCAGATTGTAAACAAATTAACGACGTCCGACCTGGTCGTTTAGAGGTCGAGCAAGCGGCCTGCAATTGGAAGGTGTCAAATTATTGTCCTGATTGGAGTGTTGACTCCGCCCATCATCAGTGCCACTCTGTGGAGAAGGGGGGGGGTGGAAGTCAACAGCGGTCGTCCTGTGGACCCGCCATAGGAATGTGGAATATCCACCACCAGCTCGGGGACTGTAAACTGGGTATGAGCAGCGCAGAGACCGGCGATTCTTAACCTTCACTGCAGCCTTGCACCCCTTTGCTTCCCATTTGTTACAAAGATGTATAACGCTAATGCATAGGTTTTGATGACACACCCTCGGCGGGGGTTTGCGCGTGCACCCCAGGTTAAGGACCACTGACCTAAACGCTCACTTGAGCGGAACATCACGGTGTTGACTTCACTTAACGCCGCCGATGGACCTTCCACCAGATGCCGCACGTACCCCCAATACTGGTGAGCAGCTCGCTGAGTCCCACCAACAGGAACTGGGGCAGCTGCCACCAGACGGTCAGACTGGCCGCCTCGTACTCGGAGTGACCGATACACTGCGTCACCACTTCTCTGCGATACACACGGTTTAGCCTCTCCGACTCCAACAGACCTGTGTGCGTGCACAGCAAAAGCACGCCGTTGGATGGTTACATGAAAGTGAAGGTGCAGCCCTGCAACATGCCTTTGCTCATGCTACTGCTGGCAGAAGGGCATTCTCTGGAGCAGTGGTTCTTAACCTGGGGTTTACGCATTGCCTGGGTGGGTGCGAGATGCCCTTTCTGGGGGTGGGAGACATGGCCAGATCTTTTTTAGAAGGTAAATAATCGAAACACAAATTAAGCACGGGCACGTAAGCACAGCTTAATTGGTTTCATCAAACCTATGTACTTATTACCATTATACTTTTTTTTTTACAATTGAGAACCAAAGGGGTGCAAGACTGCAGCAACGGTTAAGAACCACTTCTTTCGAGGAAGCTATAAGAACGCCCCTCTCTAGGAGGGCATTTTTAGCCTACTCTTCCACGCCGGCCAAGACACATCTGGTCGAACACCATGTGAGACTAGGCTCTAAGAAAAGCTGTCTTGGGTGTGGACCAATCGATTTCAAGGACAGTGCATACATTTTCAGAGTTGTATTTCGATTTAAAGCTTTCGTGACTGCAGGGATTCATCTTCTTGGTTCTTTCGGAAAAGTCACGTAGTAGGGAAGTAATAAAATAATAAAAATAAAACATAACAAAACAATTCTCACGACGTTTCGGCCACAACGCAAGCAGCCGTCCTCAGGTGAAGAACATGTCTGTCGATATGACTCTGTCTGAGGACGGCTGCTTGCGTTGTGGCCGAAACGTCGTGAGAATTGTTTTATTATGTTTTATTTTTATTATTTTACTTCCCTACTACGTGACTTTACCGAAAGAACCAAGAAGATTTCAGAGTTGTGTTTCTTGTTTGCATTCCGACCGCAAGGTATTGTGATCAATGCTAACATGACTCCTTGTTAAAAAAAGGTGGGAGAACCCACGTTTTACCCCACTGCACGCGACCTGCCAATCAACGAACTTTGGTGCTATCCATTAATCCTGCCTGGCGGCGGGAAGGCAAGGACGTTCAACGGACTCGCCGCTTGTTTCGGCCGGCACGCCGCGAGATTGAACCGGCAACTTCCGCATTGCATCTCGAGTTTGCTCGGCAATGCACTCGAGCAGCATGCGGTGTAAAGTCACACGAGAAGAACACTGCTCGAAAACCGCATTCGAATCCAATACCGGTCACCGTTACATATCATATTATTAGGTTGTTTCGGTAAAGTCACGTAGGTAAAAAAATTTAAATTAATAAAAGTAAAATTTTAAAAAAATCACGACGTTTCGGAGGCAACACAAGCCTCCGTCTTCAGGTGGAACCGTCACAGCCACGACAGCTGTATCAAGTAAATGAGAGATCACAAGAAATACCACCCCGTATATATAATGGTTGAGGGGGGAAGGGCCAGGAACGGCACAATTTTTATTAATATGGTAAGGTGAGGCTTAAGACTAAGAATAGACTGCATAACAAAGGACTGAGCCTTTGTTATGGAGAGGTGCGGTTTGTAACTAACATCTAGCATACATAACAAAAGTGTGAAAAAAGAAAGCAAGTTACATATCAGTCGACGTGAATCGTTCAAACTTCTGCACTTAAATGCCAGCGTAGTGATTGGTGTTTAAAAACGTTAGTCTTCCTATTCCACGATGATGCATCATATCTCATATCTCACAATTATGCTCAAAAGATCATATGTTGTCGTTATATCTTGATTATGTCTTTTGCATGTGTTTTGGCAAAGACTGTCCTTGAAACATGCATTATGGCAGGTGAGGGTTTCAAACAAAGAGATTGGATCTATAATAGGTCTGAATATAGCATTCGCAATCAATTCGATGGTTTAAAGTTCAACTATAATCACACATTGTGTATATGCAGCACACATCTTCTGACTAGCAATGCGGATCTGACACCACTCTGCAAAGGAACGCAATTGAGAGGTGCTGTTAATATCCAAAATTAGCCACCCTCAGCATGTAACATGGACCCTCAATTACCTGCAAAAGATGTTCTTTAAATTAGCACTATACGGTACTCTTGAGCATTCCGGCACAATCGCAAGTAAACTGGTAAGTCAATAAGTAAACAAATATAAATCAATTTTACCAGCGGTCCCTGCGCTACACTAATGAATCTGCCTCCCCGCTTTTGTTGTTGTTGCAGCGCGGCACGAGTGTACCATTGTGCACGGTTTTTCGGGAGGGTGTAAGGGGCTTCAGCACAGACCTGCAGCCACAGCAGAACTGAGGCTAAAGATCATGCCAACAGCCATACGGAGGACAGGAGCGGGGCGAAATCCCCGGCGTGCGAGCCACACAAACACCACGCGGTCCGCCACTGGGATGAGCACCAGCAGCAGCAGCGCGTCAAACAGCGTGAACCACGCGGTGGGGAACTGTGAAAGAAAAAAACGCACCAACTTATTGTAAGTATTTTGCACGGATATTGAACTTTTTTGCGAGTGGAAGGACAACACAGCTGAATACAAAAATTAGGTCGAGAGAAATGGGTTTTTGATCCAGATTTGAAAGCGCGTATCTCAAAGTGGCTTTCTAATATCGGAAGAGCGTTTCAGACGGCCGCAGAAGTGCACCTGGAAGCGCACCCGAAAGCGTGCGATGCAGTGACTCTCTTGTTGATACCTGTGTGCATTGAGTGGGCCTACTATACCTTACTTTGCACAATGTGGAGTGATACGTATTCCTCGAGGGTGGGTGATAAGCCCCTCTACTATAAATATTTTATTTTACTAGGTAAGGCCCACTGAGCGATATAGCTCTTTTTCAGAAGCGACCTGGCCACAAATGATAGCTCAACGAAATGGCTTATCATGACGTGGACATTTATAGCAGCCGAATACTCTAAACACGTTTCTAAATGTGGAGGGGGAAAGACCAGAGGACTCGGAGAAAAATCCACTCGACCACGGGGAGAACACGCAAACTCCAAATAAACAGCAGGTGTCAGGGCCAGGATCGAACCCATGCCCTCCTGTATACCAGGCGAGGTAGTTAACATCTCGCCACCATGGCACATCTGGGTGCAAGTTGATCTTTTAAACACGAGGGTATAGGGACTTCACAGCCACTCTTATAGTCAGGTCAGGTGAGGACTGGATCGTGACCAGGATGTTTTGTGACGGCCATCGGGCAACGTGGAGTTGTGTGTATAACCCCTCATTCTGGAAGCAGTGTCTGTCGGGACACCGTTGATCGCTTTTGTGAACGCAAAAACAAAACGTAAACGCAGTGAAAAGACGAAATAATGTGTTGCAGAAATGCACAGCCGCAATGGTACAATATGAGAATAGCAGAGAAACTAATTTATAGTATAATTATGTTACATACTGTAATGGACATCTTTTGACCAAGAAGGTCATGTTAATTAGTACAGAATACGTGCTTGACGAAGATGTCAGACACGCAGTGAATAACAAATAGAATGGAACACAAACTAAAGAGTGTGCAAAGAAGCATGGAGAGAGATGCACGCTTGGATTTACATCTACAAATTAGAACACGTGGGTTAGAGAACACACACAGGTTAAAGATATTAAAACCGTGAAGAAAAAGTTTTTGGGTTTTGGCAGGACACGTCAGTAGAAGGGATGATGGCCGGTGGGCACGAACACAAAACAATCATCTTCACTGACCTGCATCCGTTCCTCCCTGAAGACAACCCATCTCTTCTCCCTTGTCTGTCCTACTGCTACTCCCTGCCCCGGCCCCCCAGCTACGGTCAGGCCTACCCCAACAATTATCACTACCCCCAACCCCTGTCACTACCCCTATCACTACCCATATCACTACCCCAACCCCTGTCACTACCCCTATCACTACCCCAACCACTATCACTATCACTACCCCACCGATTATCACTACCCCTATCAGGATCACTACCCCTATCACTACCGCAACCCCTCGTTAACCACTCCCACCTGTCCTGTCACCGTAGCTACGCCACGACTTTTAATAACCCCACTCTTTATTTTTAACCACCATCGTCTGATGTACATTTTTATAATTATCGTAAAGTGCCTTGGACTAAGGCGATGTGTAAAGCTATACAAGACGAGATGGAGCAGCAACTAAGGTACAGAATGCATCCGAGAGTTCGTCCGCTGATGAGATGGAGCAATTGAATCAGCTCGTGTGCATGTGCTAGGTGAATTCTTACATCACACGGTCGTAAGAGATGATGGCAGTTTGGGGAGGCCTTCATTCGGCAGTGTATTGACCATGACTAATGATATTGTCAAGGTATGCTCAAGCAAAGTTTATATGCATATCTTTAATTGTACACAAACCCTTGATATGTACATTGAACTTCTTTCGCACCGTACGCAGCCAACCATGATCGTGGTGTATGCCAACAGTTACAGACTTATGATGTACCGTCCGCTTTGTGCTGCTAACATCCCATGTTTGTGAATAGTATGCAGCCGTCAGTTATATTCCGGAAAAATAATTCACTAGATTCTGTTCAGTCTGCATGCCAAAACTTGCATTTGGATTCAAACACAGTAAAGTCTGACTCTCACATTTATTGAGGCAAATTAAACACTTGGATTTCTGGAATATCAAAGCCACTTCGAATGACACACATAGAATGCACAGATGTGCGTCGCCTGTCAAAAGGCAAATGTAATTATCGTGACATTCATATGGGTACGTAGACCCAACACTTATTTTGTCGTGGTACCTAGCTGCCTTGCATTGAGCTGACATTTCTTAAATAATTACTCTTTGGTTCTTTCGGTAAAGTCACGTAGAAAGAAAATAAAATAAATAATAGAATACGACGTTTCAATTGCAACACAAGCAACCGTCATCAGGTGTGAATGAATGCAAGCTCGGAGAGAGACACATATACAGAGAGAGACAACACAGACACGGAGAGAGACGCATACACAGAGAGAGAGACACAGAGAGAGACAAACACACAGAGAGAGACACACAGAAAGACACACAGAGAAACAACGCCTCTGTGACGAGGCATTTATATAGAGAGAGAGGGGGAGTTGGAGCAGAGAAATTAGCATGTCAACGAGAGCGGCAGGGGGACAGAAATTGGAGGTTTTGACAAACATAGTAAAATTATTTAGAGAATGGCAGGGGGAGAGAACTTGGAAGTTTGAGAAAACAAAGCTAGTAAACTTAGAAATATAATGCAATGCAACACAGAGAGTCGGCTAATACAACAGTTAACACTTTACCTGGTTGATTACGTTCTTGCAAAGAGTGCTAAATTTGAAGTTGAGTGTGAGTCGTGTGGAAATCCTAAATCTTAAATAATTGTTAGTGCTCTTATGTTTCTCCACTCCTGCCAACTTAGCAGCGAGCAACCTACCAGCGCATACTTTTAATCCTCGACCACACTTACTAAGAATAATTCCATATTAGAGCTGGAATTCTTAGTTAATTCATTACATCCATTAATTCGATTAATGCATTCCATTAATTAACTCTATTAATTAACTACAAATATTATTGACATTTTTTGTAGATTATTGGCACCCCTTTAAAACTGGTGGCCGCCCCCAACATCCTGCCCCCGATGTCACCAAGCCCTGCCTATCACCTCCCGTTCAGCGGCACATTGCAGAAAGGGATGTGAGACTTTTTCGGGTCAATCCGATTATAGCTGTGCAATTGAACCGGTAATTGGTAAGGGTAATTTATCACTTAAAACAGAAATAGTGGGCCAACGTGACTCGCAAACGTACGCGTAGGGTTGCGGCGAGGAGTTATACGTGCACAAAATCTTCAAGGTGGGCACTCCAAATGCCTTGCGTGGATACTGCTAATGAGGCCAATGTGCTCATTTGGCCCGACCGCGTGCCTGTATAAAATGACAAACAGGGCGAACCATTTATAGATATCCCACTGCTGTCGAATGACGCTCTTTTTTTAATACTGAAAAAGCAATGGCTTCAATTACTCACGGCAAAGGATGACGGTGGCGTGGATGGATATTCACGGATCGGTTTTCTCTGTAATTTATTTGTATTATTTAAGTGGGGTATCTACATATGGATCACGTCCTAATTGTTATATACAAAAACACGTGTATCTGAATAGCTCTCTTCATACGCTACAGCAATTTTACTGGAGCAGTTACACCTGATGAAGGAGGCTTGTGTTGCTTCCGAAACGTCGTGATTTAATTTATGTTAAGTTTTTTACCTACGTGACTTTACCGAAAAAACCAAAGAGTACGTTATGTAACACCATATTTTTCGTGAAGGTATTAAAGTACTGAAAATACTGCAGGGGAATAAACACGTTAATGCTTAGAAAAGTCCAAGCCGTATCTCAGATTTGCTAAAATTATTAGAGCCAAGTAATTTATTTGTGACAATCTCGACGAAAATTAAAATTCCATCGTGCCGAGCTGCATAAAATGAACTTTTTTAACTATCAATACAAAAGGCCACACTATGCAACCTCAGACGTCCATCACCTGACGGTGTTTAATTGAATGTCACATTGCTTAAATGTAACGTTAAAGAATCCTCTCAGTTATCAGGAATAATGAATTGAGGCCCTTTAAGGGAGTGACAGGAGATCTCAGCAGACGGGAACAAAGTCGCCCATCCACAGGTTCAAATTAAAAACACGATCTCCGGCTTCATCCCGTTTAATCACATTGGTGTTACGTGTCCTTGGGTTTATACGCGACTTGTTACCAATTAACTCATCACCAATACACACTCCTCGTCTCGCAGGGCCTATAGATGCACACTGGCTTGAGTTATGCACGCACACCTGTTCCATTAGTCTGTACTGTCCAATAAGTCACGTTAACTCAATCCCTGACCGAGGCACTTGTCAACGTCTTGGCATGTCAGTGTTTCCTCCGCAGAGAGAATGTGAAGCAGACAGCCAATTTGGCAGCTGCGTCGTGCCGTACTGCCACAGTCAGGGCGAGATCTATAATTAGGAAGCCAGAGGACATTGCTCCACACGAAGGTTTTTACAACAACAATTGCAAAGATTCCAACTTTGTACGGCACATATTTACATTTTTTACAAAAAATGTATCTTTAAGTCTAACACGAAATATACATTTGAATATCTGCCGATGGAGATGCACGCAAATTCCTGGTATTATGAGACGGGTAAATATTCCATCATTAACATATATCATAATATTATTCACTTTCATATGTTTTTCTGTTAATCTGTGCACTTTGGCACTTTATGACACAAAGGAAGAAATTGAAGGCAAACGTGTTTTCAGAACTTCATCGTGTTGGGTTAATTTTAAATAATTCGTTTACATTTAGCTCATACACGTACTCAAAACATATTTTCTGGGATTTTTTCAGGCGTCTGTAGTGTAAATGAATTTAATTCATGATAATACATTCACAGACTTGATATAATGCATTACATATTTAGCTTCATCTGTTATTCATATGCCTGGGGAGTGTTTTTTTACCTTCATCTGAAGCTCTGTAATGACCCCAATGTGGTTTCACCCCCCCCCCCCCCCAACATTTTCTTTAACCATCAATATAAATTTCAGCTTGGTCTCAATTCATATTCTGTTGAGCATTTTTTTATGCTATCCTTTTTGTGTTTTTCTTTTCCCAATCTATTCCAATTGTGCTAACGGTTTCGTGTCATGAAATGAAGGATCCAAATCTGCCATAATAGTGGGACCCCCCCCCCCCACCCCACCCCCCATGCGATTGAGAATGACTGCAGAAGAGATGTTTCACAGGGCTTCTGAAGAAAATGATTTGTGTTGTTTTTTCCCCCTTTACACCAGGTGGAGAACCTACGACTCCTGTGGGCCTAGCGTGGCCCACGACTTGCTTTCACATGGTTTCCGGCCCACATAAGGTCGACCACGGTGGCCAAATGTTAACTTCCTCCCCTGGTATACAGGAGGTCGTTCGTTCGATGCCGACCCTGACGCCTGCTGTATATTTGGGGTTTGAGTGTTCTCCCCGTGGTGGCGTGGAATTTTTCTTCAGGTCCTCCGGTTTTTCCCTCCACATTTAGAATCAACATGTATTTAGAGTATTTGGCTGCTATAAATTTCCACACAATAAGCTACTTCGTTAAGATATCATTTTTGGCCATGTCGCTTCTGAAAAAGAGCTATACAGTATAGTTCAGTGGGCTTTACTTGGTAAAAGAGAAAATATTAAAAGTGAAATAGTTAAAAACGGCTCGCAAATTATCTTTTGTCCATTACTGCAAACAACTCAACTGGCTGTGTGTCTACTTGGGAACTGCAGCCCCGTTCATCAGCATGTTCATGAGAAGCAGGCACAGGAATCGCATGAGTGCGGTAAAGGTGAACCAAAATAATTTTGATAATTTTTATTGAATAAAAATAAAGTGTGTTTGTTCATGTTTGGTTGACCGCCAAAGGTACAATAATTAAAAGTCCTAGTCGGCCCTCAGCAAGGGAAATGTGCCCCAGCCCTGCAATACACAGTAAGCGTTTCACTTACAATACCCGACTATGAGATTGGCATATTACGGTCAAACAGTTTTTTTTTTCTCAGGAGGTAACATTTTGCCAAATTAAGTGTAAAGCCAGATTTATAATGAATGTTTTTTTTAACAGTCACTGATCAAAGAGCTGAGACCATCAACTTGCCTCATTTGAGAACCCGGTCTAATCATGGGGCGCAATTAATTCATGTGTGGTTATTCAGTTTTAGTGGTTATTCAGTTTTAGTGGTTATTCAGTTTTAGTGGTTATTCAGTTTTAGTGGTTATTCAGTTTTAGTAGTTATTCAGTTTTAGTGGAGGCAACATTCCTTCATAACAACACAGTAGTTTAATTGTGACCTGCAAATTATATTATATTATTTATTAATAGATAAAACTGTAAGCCATGCAAACAATTCAAATCTACTGTATGTTATAATCAATGTGTATTGTTCCCCTGAAAAAAGGAAACATTTTTGTTGGTTAAAATATTCAGACAGTTTAAAATATTACACACATGTGACCACTTCCCTATATATTTAACGAGATGGGAAATGTTGTCACATCTGTGCCAGTTTATACAAATATTCGTGCGGGACAAGACAATCGTGAAATATACATGTTCCAGTTCCTTTATGTGATTTTAAAAAGTGCTGTCATGATGTCTCAAGAATTGAGTGCCAAATCTTTATAAGTCGTAAAAAAAACGTCATATAAATCTGGTTACTTGTCTGCAGATGCCCTATGAATATTTGAAACCAAGCCAAATACTGTTGCATTACACACAATTCAGGAATATTTGCCGGCAGTATAGTTACCAGAATGTAACTTCTCCATATGCTAGAGTGAGGCCTTAGCGCATAAAGTATTATATAAATCACGATGCGCTTCCTGTTACTGAGAATACGCATTAGATAAAACGCGTCATGCGATTAAACCGCCCATGCCCCCTGCCGGCCCTCCTTCTTCCCCAATAATCCATTATTATTTAGAATTTTCAGTCGGATTATTTAACGATTTGAACATAGCCAACCGTGCTAATCGGAGGTGCCGATCGAACCACAACCACTCGATCGAACCAACGACCTGAGAGATTGGCAAACCCAGTGTGCTAACTATTAGACGAGAGCAGAATCTAACGAGGAGTGGTAGAGGGGATGTAAATCTGCCCAGCAGTAAAACTCTTCTTGTTGGCACCACCAAAGCCACACCCAATTTAGTGGCAGCGCCATGAACAACATCGGCTTGTAAATAGCCAGCCGTCTAATAAATTATTAGACGGATTGTATTTTTTAGTTGGGAACTTTTGGCAAAACCTTCTCGTTCGCCGATCATTTTCCCCTGAAGCAGCTGTCGACACCGCGATTGGCGAAATGTGACCCAAGCCTCACACCGTATTTCTCAGTCATGGAGTAAAATAATCACGTACCGCTGTTATGAATGAAATACAGTGCATAATTCTAAATGTATGCGCTGTTAAGAAATAAATAAAATATCTTACCATACGTCGTAATTACTTATTTGATCAAATACATGTTTGTCTGTGCCTGCCATTCTATGCCACATCGGTCTGTACTGGTGTATTCATTGTAATCTTTACCTCCGGCATGCCAAGTCGTGCTGCTAATATTGTAAAAGAATATACTGTTCTCATGTTATACGTTTATTTTCCCCATACTATACTTTAAAATTACTGATATTATATGTACAACATACACCTGCTTTAATAAAAATTGTCATTTATCCTGTGCATTTTGGAGATTGTATCCACATGAGTACAAGTTGTTATTTTGGCATTGGTGTTTCAAACACCCTATCTAATGCACACAGCAAACACCCGTTAAAATCCAACCGATAAGAGAACACAAGAACACTTGGATAGAGCTTGTCATGGCTTCTTCACAATTGTCTGTGGCATTGATTACTTTTTTTTGTTAGCCTATGCCACTCAAAAAAGTAAAAAAAAAATCTATACTCTAATCAACTGAAAACAGTTTTATTACTACAGCCACACTTAGAGAGCTTTTCAGAAAGTGATTTGCCCGACACCCCGCTGATGTTTCTGAGTTAGACGTGAGTGTGAGCCGTTTCAGTTGATTGTCGGCTATATGTGCTTGATTAAGCTTCCCCCTATCTGGCAAGGCAATTTCCTCTCAAATTGCACCGTTGCAAGATGCTGTTAAAACGTATCCAGTGCACTTCTTGATGCACTGCCGTTGCTCTGAGCAAAGCGAGAGAAATTACTGCAAACATTTTCTGTTCACCTTCAGAAATTGAAGATCCTCCCCCACCCCCCCCCCCCCCCCCGATTTAAACTTGAATTACTTCGCTAGAGCATCGTACATATGCACCCGCACCTACCACGTATGATGGTGAACTAGAGCAGTTGCCAGAAGAGGTGGTATTGAAGATTTTTGGGATCTGCAAATGAAGGCTCTGGAGCTGGTATGTTGTCTGCATCTGAGTAAAAGAACATGGGAGGTTACGGAGACAATATACGTGAAAAAAAACTGCTTTGGAAATATTACAATATAAAGCCACAACCTTGATAATTGTTTTTTTTTTACCCTTTAATCTGGCAACAAAACTGACACCTTTTTTACAAGGAGTCATGTTTGCATAGACCACAATACCTGCAGTCGGAATGCAAACAAAAAACATAACTCGCATGGGTTGGACCAGATGACGCGTCATCTGGTCCAACCCATGTGAGACTAGGCTCTAAGGAAAGCTGTCTCGGGTGTGGACCAATCAACTTCAAGGACAGTGCATACATTATCAGAGTAATATTTTTTGTTTGCATTATGACTGCAAGTATTGTGGTCTATGCAAACATGACTCCTCGTAAAAAAAAGGTGTCAGTTTTGTTGCCAGATAAAAGGGTAAAAAAAACAATTATCATATTTTTTACTGGCAAATGAGGTACCAATGGAGCCACAACCTTCTTCAATAAATCGTTATTACTAAACAGTTACAACGTTGGCGGTTCAGTGAACCTGCACTGATGCCACTGCTAGTGGAAGGGCCTCCACAAAAGAGACATCCGGAGAGCCCCCTAGAGAAGGTATTTGGCCTACTCTTCCACAATGGTCAGACATCTCGGAAGGCGTGGGAATAGTCAACACTTTATATCGAACTACTGGGCGGACAGAGGTGAGGTCATTTGAGACACTTGCTCATTGCCTACACTTTTGCGGGGGGAGATCGAACCGGTGACCATTGGTTTGTAAGTCCAGTATGCTAACGATCACACCAATGCAACATCCTGATTAATATCGTATGGTAAATCAATCATATTTGCATTGATCAGTGATTTAACAATGACACTAACAATCAAAAATAAAGACTGAGATGAACAGTTTACTCATGCCCAACTGAATGTTTATGTCATTATAAAACGTTAATTCTACGTTGAATTTCCATCATTTGTTCAGATAACGTAAATACACATTCTCCTGTGTATTGCCTAATTGTGATTATAAAAAGATCCCTTTCGCATTGGTAAGCATGTTGGAACGTATTTTTTCGGTTATCTTCGAGGAAATGTTTTTGCCTCTGTAGCGTGAAATAACAAAATCAAATGTTGAATGATGACATTCGCAATGACAACTCTGTTGTGCGTGGGCCATGCAGTGTGCGACATTGTGAGACGCACCTGAAAGTACACCATCCAATAGGGTATCATGGCTGTGAACACCAGAATTATACGACCCAGGCTCTTGACATCGTTCTCAGACACATCGGGTACATCTTCAATTGAATTATTCCTCTGATCCCTTGCATGATAAGACATGGAAAGTAAGACAAAATACACGCATACATACATACATAATATATACTTACATATGCAATTCAGTCTTGATTTACAATTGAAAAGCATACAATTCTCAAACCTGAACTGCAGTACTGTATTGCCGTATAACACATTCCTGCGGAGGGAGCTGGTAGGAACGTTGGGTTGCTCGGTCAATGGCCAGGGTCAACGGCGGCGTGGTGTATTCCGCAAATATGCCCGACTGTGAGGGCGGGCACAAGCCGGCGTGAGTAGGTTAAACGTTGAGTTTTATAAGGGCACCACGGGGTGACCAGCCCCTCCCCAACCAGCCCCACCCTCCCCACCCAGCCCCTCCCCACCCTCCCCACCTAGCCCCTCCCCACCCTCCCCTCCCCACCCAGCCCCACCCTCCCCGCCCAGCCCCTCCCTGCACGATGGATGGACCGACACAATAATCCCCTGTGGGTTGGTGTAACCAGGAGGTTCCTACCAGTATAATCAATGACTCGGTATGTTTCCTGATTCCTACACGAGGTAATTACTCGTGGGATTTAATTACAAACCCTTATTTCGCTAAACGAACTGATATAATGAGCATTATCTAAAACTCCAACCCACGTTGCACTATGGCTATTGGGCAGATTGTACCGGGCGTTCTGGAAGAATCTTTGTCCATAGAAAAATCTATCCAATTTCAACAAAAGTTCAACCATGACCTATTTAGCTCTGCCGACACCATTCGCCACTTGTATCATACACGTCTTACATTGTACAGACCACTCTCGTTAAGATACTCTTTCTGGCACTTTCCAAAAGCATGCACCCTTTATACAGAGGAAGTAACAAAAAAGCATTCGCGTTGATATACAGTACCAAGTAATTCTGTTCAATTGCTTGATAAAACTAATATTTTTATTTTCTTAACAAAACTTATAACTTTGTTACCAGCACATCATTTAACTAATTTATTTTCGCATAGTATGGTCCGAGACAAAAACCAACCCGAAGAATAGTGTTAATAAGTCAATGATCTCTTCTCAAAAATAAGCATCGAGGCGGTGCTGGGCCCTTCCGTTAACAGCACTGAGCCAGTGGTGCGAACTCAACGTGTCTATGGCAAGGGCGAGTACATCCAAAGGCCTTCCCCACAAAAGTCGAAATTATTTCAGTCACCCCGGTGGGATGATGAGCGAAGTCAACTGCCAAACCACGCTTTTTTTTTAACCAACAACCTTCCTATCGTGAGCCACTCGCTCCCACGCTGAGACACCGTTGGATCAGCTGTCTCGAAGTAAATGCCGAGGCACTCACGGATTCAAATCAGACCGATTTGAATGTTCATTTACAGTGATGTATGTAAAAGTCGGCATTTAACCTTGTGATGGTAATGCAGCTGTAAACACAATTTATTGACCAGGCTCTCTTATCCTTAATTCAAAACTGGATTAACTGGTCTGGAATAAATGTTTTACAAATTCGCCACTACTCAAATTTTCCTGGCAGTGATGATCATCTTCATCATCACCAGCCATTATCAATCCACTGCTGGATCAAGGTCTTCCCAGGCCAACAAAAGAACACTGTTTAAATTGCAACAAATAACCTTTAACGAGAATTTGTTTATATTTTTTTATTGAGGCTAGGTCGTGCGAACTTGATGAAACAGACGACGGGAGCTGGATTCCAATACTGAGCATTGGCATGAGACGAAGCAGACATAGAAGTGTTGTGACCTGCCCCGTGGTGATCGAACAGAGTGTGGACGAGGCTTAAAGTCAGTCTGGTAAGACCGAGTCCTCAACATGCGTGGGTGGAGGAATCAAAGAGTGAAGTTTACTGGATTAGGGCTGAATGATTTGGGGGAAATATCTAATTGCGCTTTTTCTGACAGATATTGTGATTGAGATTTGAGTTGCGATAAAACAAAATTAAGTCAAGCTTCACTTCAATATTCACTGTGTAATAGATTTAAAACATGTGATGGAGCATTACCACATGATACCATCAAAATATGAACTGCTCTATATATTCTAATGCAAGGATGAGAACTTAAAATATATGAATGGCTTCCAACGTGTATTATTAAAATGTTTTCATTGAAATAGAACAATCAAACATAGAACAATTGTTAAGTTAAATAAATAAAGTTATAATAATATAAATAATAAAACAATTCCAATAAGAAGTAATAGGACTTTTAAAATCGCAAAAAATCACAGCCTTTGCGATTTGCTAATCGCATTGGTTCAAATTGCGATTTGAAATCGATTAATCGTTCAGCCCTACACTGGATCATCAGTAGCTAAGGCGGTAAGCGTTAGAAGAGTGATAAGGAGGTGAGTGAGTAACCGCCAGTTAAGGGGTGGCTGAAGTGAATCGGTGAGTGCTGGATCATCAATCAAATTGTAAAACGGCTGTCAGGTGTACGCGTGTTGAACTTCGTGCGCACCGTACGAAGCCAACCGTGCTCATCGGAGATGCAGCAGGCGGGCGGGAGGGGGGAGAGGACTTAAGAACTAAACACAAAAAGCAATTCTAGAGAAATGAGTTTTACCTGTGAACATCAGAAGAGCGTCGTCGCCTTCTGCTAAAGCAGGAGAGGCACATCAGCTTGCAGATGTAAGGTACGGCGCTGGGATGGGGCTGTGTGGTGATGTACTTTGGGCTGCAGGCAACAAATATGAGCAAGGAGAGGCAGAGCGCTCCAATGGCCATGTTGTAGCCAATCAAAAAACTAACGTTCTGTTGGATGTAACCGATAAGACCCAGAGACACGATCGCCCCCACGTTGATGCACCAGTAGAACAAGTTGAAGTAACGCTGCAAGGTCTCGGCGCCTCTGTCTCTGATCTACACGCAGCAGCACACAAACACAACAACAACAACACCGAGTGTCTTACAACTCCGGAAAATACGGTACGACTCAAGGTTGTCTGATCAGGCACTCTTCTTATCCGCCAACGCACACGAAGCATCGACCCCACCCCGAGACTCAACTAAACCTTTTCGAGATGCGCGCTACGCCGAGACGCGTTTTTTTTTTGTTATTTTACAAACACAAATACGCGACACATTCCGTCATCCGTCGATATAAAAAAAACACTTTCCCCTTCTCCACGAAAAAAACAAACAACCCGACCAAACCAACCAAACAAACAACAACAGACGCACGCAAAAAAAAAATTCCCATCGATATAACAACACCACCACCACCGGCAACACCAACCACACCTGATCTGCCCCGAACGACGTTATGTTGGCTTTGACGGATGCCACCCCCAGGGCCATGATCACCACGCCCGCGTAGATCACCGCGCTGCAGTAGGGCGCCGGCAACTCGGGACATCCCGGCCGCCACCCGCCGTCGGCACACGACGCGTTCACGATGGGGGCCCCGTCGCGCGCGCCGCAGATGGCCCTCCTGGACCCGTGCGCGCTCAGCAGGGGGAACGAGATGGCACCGATGAGATAGACCACGAGGCTGACCACCACGGTTCTCAGGCGGCCCAGGTATGCGTCCGCCAGCCAGCCGCCCAGCGGGGAGGCCAGGTAGGTGATGCCCATGAGGATGAAGAGGTTCTGAGCGGCTTGCACTCCGTCCCAGTCCATGGAGTCGTTGAGGAAGAGCACCAGGTTGCCCGTGATGGCGAAGAAAGCGATGCGTTCCAGGGTCTCGGCGCAGAGGAGAGCGGCGCACGCGATCCTCCTGCCCTCGAAGCCGCTCTCCAGCGGATGCTGCCTGCGGGTCAACAGCGGTGTCTGCTCGTTCGATCTCATGGCCATGACGGTGCCCTACGACGCTGACTCGAGGGCCTCGGGCTGAACGTGGAACCGGCAGCGATGGGTTAAAAGTGGATCGACTCGTAGCTGTCCCTGCTTCGTGGATACGTGATGGACAGATGGATGTATGATGACCTTAAATCAGTTCACGGTGGTGTGATCCTCCTGCATGTTGTGGCGACGCGTAGACACGAGCTAGTGAGTGTGTGCGAACTTTCGTGACAAACGCGACGATTTTAAAAAATATATAATTAAAACTTCCCTCGACCACGCATTGTGTGTCCCACTTTTGGTTCTGCTTTTGTGAAGCTGTCGTGGGTTGCTTTGGTAGGCGGCGGAAAATCCCCCGGCTATGGAAACAGCAGCCTGTTGCTGTATAAATAAAATACCGGATCGACGAGAATAAACGTACGGTCGATGGAACGGGTGTCTTGTCGTATGCCACTTCAAGTTCGTGTCTCAGATTGGAGTCGGTGGGGCATTTGTGCGGCGTTAACTCGTCCCAAACAACAGCGCACACAACACGAACACTCGGTACGGTAACAGCTTGGATGTTTTTGTCTTGCCACAACTTCCTCCGCTGATGCACTTTGGAGTCGTTAAACTGGTTCGACTGTAAAAACCAAACCATGCCCCACCCCCTTTTTGCGCAGAGCAGTAGTCGCCGCTTGACATCTTGCTTTCGCAATTATTGAGTGGCGTCTCCTTCCTTCTTGGCTTTGTTTTCTTACTATTCTTGGTTCTTTCGGCAAAATCACGTAGAAGGGAAATAATAAAATAATAAAATACAACATAATAAAATAATTGTCACGACGTTTCGGCCACAACGCAAGCAGCCGTCCTGCGTTGTGGCCGAAACGTCGTGAGAATAATTTTATTATGTTTCATTTTTATTATTTTATTATTTCCCTTCTACGTGATTTTACCGAAAGAACCAAGAAGATGAATCCCTGCAGTCACGAAAGCTTTAAATCGAAACATAGAAATGTATTATTTTTATTATTTCCCTTCTACGTGACTTTACCGAAAGAACCAAGAAGATGAATCCCTGCAGTCACGAAAACTTTAAATCGAAATTTTATGTTTTCTTTTTATTATTTTATTATTTCCCTTCTACGTGACTTTACCGAAAGAACCAAGAAGATGAATCCCTGCAGTCACGAAAACTTTAAATCGAAATTTTATGTTTTCTTGTTATTATTTTATTATTTCCCTTCTACGTGACTTTACCGAAAAATAATAAAATAATATTTCAATATTTTTTATTATGTTTTATTTTTATTATTTTATTATTTCCCTTCTACGTGACTTTACCGAAAGAACCAAGAAGATGAATCCCTGCAGTCACGAAAGAAGCTTTAAATCGAAATGTTTTCTTATTTTTGAGAAAGTCGCGAGACGTCTCGCATCGCGGCCGCAACGTGTAGCAAAAGACAAAAAAAACACCCACGCGTTCAATCAGTTGATCTCCATGCGAATGAGTCATCCTTTGGCCAAGCGTAGTTCTATTCTACTACTGTATGGTCAAAAGGCATGACTCTTCCCGTGATGAACAACAACTCAGAACGTCGTATTCACGTCCACATCTACGGCTTCTGTGTACGTGTTACGGTGTTATTGACATGTTTGTTGAGTTTTTTTTAAGTCGTCTACAGCGTGGACCAGATGTCTTGTGATCCCCAATAAATTGACGTCATCACATGGTTTTCACTTCGCATATTAATTTCCGTTTTGAAAAAAAAGTTACGTTTTGCAGAATTAAATGGGGGTGGGGGGGGGGGTCACGAGACATCTGGACCACCCCTGTCCATGGCCAGCTTCCGTGATAACGGAATTACCCTTGACCGTGGCAAGCAGCCTCAAAAAGACTCATCTATGTATATTAAATCTTTCATCGCCTCCATGTGCTAGGGGGAATAACTTTTCGCTCGGTAAACTTTTTAAAGGTGCAATAGCATTGGCCTTTAGCCGTCGTGCGCGTGCCCGCGTGTCGCGGTTTCCACTCGGGTTTTTACGACTGCCCACGTGGCGTATTTAATCACATCGCTGGATGTCAAAGATCGTTTGCATGGGGGGGGAGAGGCCACGATGTGCCGGAATTACGGTTAGAATTTGCGGAGGTTTGAAGTTTTACCCGAAAATTACTCAATTGGCGTAGTACTCTCTATCGAGTAATCATCGCAACCGCCCCCCCCCCATCACACCCTGCTCCAAAAAACTTGGCAAGACCCTCCTTGAACAAAAAAGAGTCAGTGACGCTTTGATGGGTCACTTTCACGGAAGAGGAATTGTGCGGCAGTGGGCACATGACGTGTGGTTTTACGGTGACACACAACCAGATACCGTGCCTGGAATCAAAACATGTTCAGGTAAGCAATGTGTATAAACAGTTGGGTTATAAATGAACACCATTTCATTGATGTGCATATGGGCGCATTGTTATTGGGATTATGTTACCGTGGAATAGGATTGTTTATCACGACTAACTTGCTTGCAGCCATATACACATTGTTACAGCATGTTTCCCACTGACAATCCTTTTTGTACAATGCCTTTGTTACAGAATACAGGAGGGTCAAATATATTGGAGGACAAAGGTTACTAATGCACTATTATGAGTTATCGGCCGCCCTGTTCTCTTGTTTAGGGCAGGTGATGACCGGGTCGAGAGCTGAAGACTTTTCCTTTGACTGTTCAGATCATGTGGAGTGGTTAATCACTCCAGACACTCTCGTTCACTATTATGATTGCAAAAACGAAATGTGAACTCGAAAGAAAAAAAGTTAACTGAATGGACTGAAACACACAGCCACAATCGTGCAAATATAAAAAAAACAACGGGTAAACTATCGTGTAAATATGAAGGTTTAATTGTAAGTACACTACATGCAAATCTCGGTTTCCTGTTCCATCTCCATTCGCGGCACAAGACGTCTTTTGACGTCCTCTGGTCTAACACCGTTTGAGACGAGGCTCAAAATAAAGGTGTCTCTGGTGTGGACCAATCAGTTTCAAGGACAATGCCTTTATTATCAGAGTACGTTTTTTGTTTGCATTCTAACCACAAGCATTGTGGTTAATGCAGACGTGATTCCTTGCTAACATCTTAACACCTGTTTTGTTGGCAGAAAAAAGTGGCAAAACATATTATCAAGCAACGGAAACTGTCTTAAATCACCGTGTCCAGCAACACCCAGCAATTATAATTTGGTGGTGACGCAATTGGAGTGGCGACTCCCACCTCTTCCAAGTCGCCTGGCCGACGTGGAAGAGGAGGCCAAATACATTCGAGAGGGGTTCCATAGAGTCCACAGTTCTTTTACGTGGAGGGGTTCCCACCAGCAGTGGCATGGATTGTTCATGGATGGTGATATTAATTTCTTACAGTAGGGGCCGTCCATAAATGACGTCATGCGATTTTGGACGCTTTTTGACCCCCCCCCCTCGTCACACGGCGTCACAAAAAGTCAGTCACCCCCCCTCAAATATGACGTCACAAAGCTCTGCCCCACCCCCCAAATAAAACATGCTTCAAATCGCTTTAAACTATTGTCATTGTAGTGCGTATTTAATGTGGTGCTGCACTCTGATGTTGAAGGAGAATTTTTTTTTATTAAAAAGTCGATTTAATTAAGTAGAACGTGTTGTCTATATTCATTTAAAGTTGCGCATTTTGATGTGACGTCACATTTCTCAACCCCCCCCCCCCCCATCGTCACACATCGTCACAAATGTCTGACCCCCCCCCCCCCCCAGGTGCGTGACGTCATTTATGGACGGCCCCGTAGCTAATAACATATATATTTTTGTTCTTCTAAATCTTGTAGTTTCGAACGGATTTGGGAGGGCGGTCACCCAGCAGTGGATCGATCATGACTCGTGATCAGGACTCATTCCTGTACGGAATTGTAAAGTAAAAGTTGGACATGCGTCTCATGATCTGTTGTGTGTGTGTGCGAGGTCATAACACATTCCTGCGGAGGGAGCTGGTAGGAACGTTGGGTTGCTCGGTCAATGGCCAGGCTCAACGGAGCGTGGTGTATTCCGCAAATATGGCTGACTGTGATGGCGGGCACAAGCCGGCGTGAGTAGGTTAAACGTTGAGTTTTATAAGGGCACCACGGGGTGACCAGCCCCTCCCCACCCAGCCCCACCCCTCCCACCCAGCCCCTCCCCACACGACGGACGGACACAGTAATCCCCGGTGGGCTGGTGTAACCAGGAGGTTCCTACAAGTATAACTTACATCCTCATAAACATTTACTAACTTGCGTCTTACTTTCCGCCGCGCCTTATAATCCGGTTTTTTTTTATAATCAAGTGTTAAGTTTCTCATGATTTAATCTATTTCGGATGACAAAAACCCAGCAAACAGCAGCAGCCACTTGCTGATGATACGAACCCACCCACCCACATACACACTCCCCTTCGCATTGGGCAAAATGATGATGGCTCACAGCAACGAGAAGCAGCAAAAAAAAACCCCAACTCTCTCCCCTCCCTCTTCTTACCTTTGCCCCCTGGTCCATGGAAACACGTCACGGGCAAGCCACAAGCGCATGTGCGCCACTGTACGAGAAGCGCAGGATGAGGAAGAGAGGGGAGAAAGAGAGAACGAGAGAGACACTGATGGGCTACCGGTTCTCGTCGTTTGTGCCCGAGGGTGTTTTGTGACACGCGTTGTATATTCCGCGTCTACCCTAGGCGTCGTCACGTTCTAGCCGCACACATTTGCGGCAGATGCTCGCATGCTTCGTGCGTAGGAACAGGGGTCGTGTGCGTGTGCCTCTTCTTCCCCCCTCTCTCATTCGTATCGACAATGAAAGTGCTTTTACTGGCACCCACCGCCGTGGCGTCGGGAAACGCGACGACTGCGGAGCGAATACGGTTCGTGTGCAAGCCTTGTTCGCCCCGATCGCACAGAGAGTTACGCGTAGCGTGGGGTCCGGGGGAAGAGTTGTGGTGGGATTTGTTTTCTCTGCAAAGGGTTGAAACGCCCCTGAGATGAGCGAGTTGGTGGGGGGGGGGGGGTTTGCACGGGAGGGTGATTATCCAGGATGGCCCAAAAGTCAGGACACTGGGTTTTATTTTATTTCATTGTATTTCCTTTAATGTGTTCAAACGGACTTCAATTAACATTAATGGACGCATTCTCTTTAGCATTTTTGACTATTTTTTGTTAAAAGATTATAGGTGTAATCGTTGAGCATTAATCAATTATGTTTTTGTCTCAATTCATTCGGGGGGTTCTTGGCCGAGTTTTGTAAAACGACGGATTTGAGGTGACCCCCACAGGAAGGATGAAAGTAACTAACGATAATTGGTTAAATATTAACTTTTTTTAAAAATTCAGTCTTAAACAAGTAAATGAAGTAACCCTGCGTGTCCTGACTTTTGGTTCCGCCATGTATCATGTCCAATCACCTCTCTCAACTCCACACCCCCATATCCTAAAGTCCCCGCAGTTTTGAGTACGTTTAAAAAAAACAGTGGCGAGTTTCATTTACATCTCGTGACAGAAATGCTTAATAACAGAAATTCGATCTCCTGTATTGGCAGTTGAACCCAATCGGCACGTTGCTTAGATCACCCCGCGTCTGTCCACCAGCAGCGCGGTTAATCAATTGGTGGCATCTCAAGTGTGTTTCTTCTCCCCTTCGTCAAAGTTGCCTGGTCAGCTTGGAAGAGTAGACCAAAATATCCGATAGGGGACCGTCCATAAATGACGTCACGCACTTAGGGGGGGGAGGGGGGTCAGAGATTTGTGACGATGTGTGACGAGGGAGGGGGGGGTTTGAGAAATGTGACGTCACATCAAAATGCGCAACTTTAAATAAATATTTAAATGTATTTGTTATAACAACACTAATTTGTATTCATTATCATTATTAACTATTTGATTATTTTAATCTACTAAGGTCATCTTTCATTTATTCCATGAAGGAGCATTTTGCTTCTCCATGGGAGAATGGAGAAGCATACATTTTGTAAAATTTTGTGAATGATTGTTATTAAACACTTAGATTCGAATCATTCTACCAGGGCTTTTCATTCTGTGAAATGAATATGTGATTGTTATAATTGTACTCTCCATTTTGCTTCGTTTTACTACAAAGTTTAAAGTATTTTTTTATTGTTATAATTACTTTAAATATTTTATAATTATAAGAGAATTTCAATATAATAACATCTGCAGTTTTAGTTAGACGTTGAATATTTTCAAGTGCATTTTACGTGAAATTTTTACTTTCTAACGCCTCCCTTTTAATACGTGTTTTCTCCTACAACATCAGAGTGCAGCGCCACATTAAATACGCACTACAATGACAGCAGTTTAAAGTGATTTGAAGCATGTTTTATTTTCAAAATGGAAATATGGTTTGGGGGGGGGGGCAGAGCTTTGTGACGTCATATTTGAGGGGGGTCTGACTTTTTGTGACGAGGCGGGGAGGGGGGGTCAAAAATCGGCCAAAATCGCGTGACGTCATTCATGGACGGCCCCTAAGCGAGCCATAGAGCGAGGTACTTCCACCGGAAGTTGTTTACAACTGGTTGCCAAGTGGTCAGTCTTATGGGTCCCCGCCAGAGGAATGTGGATTTTCCACTATCGGCACAGGGCCATTAAACAAATATGAGTATCGCCACGTTTGAAATTTTCGTTGATGGTACGTACAGTCACGCGTTTATAAACATACGACGTTAACATACAAACTGATCAAGTCATAGCAATTAAGCAGCATATGAATAAATATAAAGAGGTTTTACCCTTTCTGGCAAGATGTTCAAACACCAAATAGAAGCCTTTTGCAAGGAATCCGGTTCAACAGTATTCTTTCGTCTGGGTGTGATTTTTAAAAACAAACAAGCCAACCCTTTTTAGAAACATCGACAGTATTAACCTTTAAAAAAAAATTCATATCTTGAGGTCGGAAACATTAACCATTACGGAGATGCAACGCATTAAATCGTACAAATTGGCCATGTGTGTTATCTGTTTTGCTTATTGATGCAGTAATGTCATTAAACGTCTTATCAATTATGCATCAAACTACTGGACATCTGTGAAACAGCGTTAGAGCTCATCGGATTCCTCCAGTATAAATAAATATTCAGATTCTGAGAGCAAGAGGCCATCTCATGTCCACTGCTGTTAATGCCACCAAAATCCTCCCCGTATCACTTGCGCAACTGTTTCATAATCCGCACCCAACCTCTAAAATCTGGCGCTTAAGACCCACTATCTTGTTTTCGGTCTTATCTTTGGTCAATGACATCTGGGTACCACTGCACTGCATGTCACGGTAACCTGACATCCTCTGTACTGAACACGTGTCCCAACCATCGCAAACTGCTTTTTGCGATTACATCTAACAATGCTTTATCAGTTTTCGTCTTCTGAACTTGCAAGCTGCTATCTGTGACTCCACAGGTGAGGAGTCTTAAATCACTATAACCCATTGCCTCCACGTTTACTCACTACCTAAACACACATTATCCTTTCCTGCCTCCATATTCAGATGTTCTATTGATCCCTGTGTTGAGATACAACAATCACTTTCGACACCACTGATCCTGACTTGGTATCAGGAACGCCTAATCATACATTGGACATCCACATTACCTACCTCTGCTAACACTGCAATGTTCCATCCAAGATCATGGCTATCAAACATAGGTTATCCACGTTACATGCATGCCTCCGAATGTGCAAATGACCTTCACTTTTGGATATTTTGATAGTACACCATCCTTGCTTTTAGTCAGAACCTATTGGGCGTGCAAGTGAACAATTGTAGCGTCAAGCTACACATGGATGTAAAGCAATATTACAAACACGTGCCACCATCCCTAAATGACTGCATTGCAAAAGAGAAACAAACCAACTTTTTAGATGGCTTGCTTTGGCGGAAATTGGCCAGCTTACTGGACACGAAAAATATTCTTGGACAGTTTGACGCTCTAGAAACTCGAGGCATTAAATGTTATTTTTTTACGAAATATATATATATTTGGAAAAATCTTACCTATCGTATATTATTTATTTTTCACCGCTGCAGCAGCAGAAGCCATATGCGTTTGACGAATGAAAGCCTCCCAACAAGTCATCACCACTCCTCACAGCCTCATCGTGCAACAACCCATTTAGTCCCAGGACATAAGCCGACACCCATTGCTCCATCTCCACGTGTTGAAGCCTCACGTGTTATCTCCTTTGGCTGCCACTCTGTCGTCAGTCTCGCCATGTGCCCTGCCAAAGCTCACTTTGACGAACAGTAAATGTCTCTAATTTGTGTTTGTCCTTCTGATCTGTTTCTTCTTCAGTCTCTCAATGTAATTCCAAGCATGCACCGTTGCACGCTGTATGCACTTTTCAGATTGTGTTTCATTTTACGTATGTCCTATCCATCATGGCAGGTAATACGCACTCATTAAACGTGTTCTCCTTTCGGAACACTGGTATGTTGCTTTTCATTATCGAGTTACATTTTTTCGAAAGGCACTACACCCCGCTCTCGCACACCTTCATTTTGATCCTGGTTCACCTTTGGTAATTGTTCTATGTATACAGTGCATACGATACAGTAACAGAACAGCTACAGGATCCCAGGTCACCTGGTGCGTTGTGACCCCCATTTGCTCATTGGAGCATCTCCTATAGCTTGCGTATCTTAAAGCAAAAGTTGAGATGCGCCCTATAATTTAGTTGGTGTGTGTGACACCTGGCGCACACTTGCAAGTGCATCCTATGTACCAGAGCATGTTACTATAATCTGTCGAAAATTATAAAATGTGTTCAAACTTCACGCGACGCTTAAAATTGTTTTTCGCCGGACAAATATTTGTAAGTCGTGTTTTTTTTCCTTCTTATAACAACCAGACATTACCTCGTGACAAGTGGACACAAGTGCCTGTTGGAAAACAGCAGATGTTTCTCCGAGCCGAAAGACGTTTGTCAATTCATCAGCGTACATGGCATCTCAGCGGTAATTGCGCTCCACCTGTACAAGGCTGGCCGGCTCCTTGTGGGTAAGGTCCTCGTTTTAATCTCTCAACATGAGGCTACGTTTACGCCGGACTAATTAGGCAAATGCATCGTCATCTCCATCGCCGGCCCATTGCCTATCAACAGCTTGGATGAAGGCCCTTCCCGCAATGTCGTCACCTCTCATGGTCCTGCGCTGCGACTATCTTCCTGCTGCACATGAGCCAATCCCCATCTCTCCGTGTTCGGGGACGTCGTCCTCTTTCCCACGTTCCCACCTTTGGCTAGCCATGCTATCTCCTGTGTTAACCATCGGCGGTTGTACCCCCGAAATGATGAAACCCTGTCCAAGCCGACATTAAAGCAAACTCTGAAAAATAACTTATAATATTCTGAAGCGTTAAAAGCACTTGGGACCTTAACCAAACGTTAGTTGATTATGGAACGTATCATTTTACTGAAACTACAATTTACAGTCCTTTACAGTAATCATTTGTGGGTCCGTTATTTATATTAAAATAAATTGATCAAATTTCCCCCCCCCCATCCCTAACAGTACGGTAGAGTATAAGTACAGGTTAAGTGCCATTATTATAATTTGTGCGGGATAAATGTATGAATTTGCCGAAAATGAATCGCACTCACACGCTCAGCGCTGGAGCTTTCAATATTGAAGGGATTTCACCGTGCTGAAACGATTGATGCTCCATGACACGGGGCAATGTGTGCAGATTGGCACACATTGCCATACATGAAATGCCCCTTGATAATAAACACAGTGGAATCCCGCCCCCTCGTCTGAAACTATCCGAGGCTCCTCATCACACAGGAAAGCAAATTTGTGGATGAGACGAGTTTTTTTGCTTTACAAATTAACGCCACTTATCCGCGACCTGTCCGCTGTATTCACAGATACCAGGATAATTTTACCGCACAACTGTAAACGAAATGTTTTTTGTGCAATCACACATTGTAGTATATTCCCAGTGAAAACGTTTAGCAAACCACTCGATTTGTTCTTGCACCACTGTAACAAGGAGTCAATTATTGCACGAGGCAATTGTTTGCGATGCAGTTGCGCATGATTATGTCGGGTTTCTGATTTTGCAATTTAGCACGATCCCAAGACTATCTTATCCAATTATTGAGCTCGTCATGTGACCACATAGTATTTACGTGTGATTGTGTGTATAGGTTTGTGTGTGATTTGTGGAGTGGTGACAGCGATTAATGGCATACGGGCAACATCAACAACAGTGTTGCATGAAACAGTTTTAGGCCTCCCTTAGGTCGACTTGGCTTTAAATGAACACCTTATGTCGTGTGTAAACATCAGGACTGGGAAGACAAAGGCGGCCGGGCATAGTGTTAGCCACCCACCTTTTAGTGTGCTATCCCGGCCTTCTTCAAAGGTGCTCCCTAACAACGCTCGCCTCAACAGTCTTACTGAAGGCTATACGGGGGGCCTTTGTCTTTCTGTGTGTATACATAGTATGTGCGGGTTTTATTTCCCCGACTTGCATTATTCTTTGCAGAAGCGTTGCACTCGGTTGCATCCTGCCGTAACATGGCATTCACTTCTAATGATTACTTGTGATTTGATGGGGCACAATCTGCTACAATCCGATTACACCCCACATCATTTGTACTGAAATTGCATCGTGTATCTAGACCTTTTGATTTTCATTTCGTTGCCAGCCTACGTGTGTCCATGTCAACGTCTGTCACCTGCCCTCCGCAAATCCTGCATGCACGCATCTCACCTGTTGCAATGTTATCTTCCAAAGTACATCTGCAATGTTCTATTCAGAAATGTCACTTTGCTTACCATAAGCTCCTCCTCGTCATGCACCTGTACGCAAAGGCCAGAAACCTGCTTCTTAAAATACACATCTTGGACTTATACCAGAACACAATCCCCACTCCTGTCTCTAATACCCAGCACCGTTACAGATTTCCTACCTCTTTAAATGTGGATTATGTAGATTTTCGGAAAACCTGCTCCGCTCAAGCAGTGGATCCATATTTCTTGACCAAACTCCCCGTACCCTGTACATTAATACAAACATTAAAAAATGCTCCGATCCTCGTTTGAGTTACTTATTCACTTGAGCAACACGAGATATTACGCATCGTTGCTGTAACAGATGCCTTTAATGCCTATTTGTACTCAATGGGTAAACTATTGGTGTGAATTGAGATGATCAATATCATTTGTGTAATTACACATTTTGCAGTGTTTTTTTATGCCTTAAAATAGCATTTAAAAGAAATATGGTTTGCTAGAAATGCAGATACGAATTTATTGGAATGAGCACACACCGATTCCCAAACTCAGCACTGTCGGTGAAGAAAGTGAAACATATTTATTACGGTGATGTGTATTCTGTGACAGGATGCGGTGTGCCTTACGGCGTGGTCTTTGGTGGAACGGACGCGAATGAGGACGTGAAAAATGAGCACAAGCTTTCCGTGATGACAGCAGTGGCCCAGAACGCCAGGTATGGTAACGTTCTCCCAAACCCTTGGGGCCAAAGGTGGTGATGGCTCTTTGTTGTGGTGGTGGTTTTTAAATTTAGACCTCGTGGACAAAAAAAAAAATGTCCCAGCATTTCCCGTCACCCTACGTGTAGTGCAGCGCTAACAGGTTTTGGGTTTTTGCTATGATTCCGTTGTTTGCCCAGGGAAAGCCTCGCCGAGTCTCAAGATTATTTTTGAGGAGGGTTCCTGACAATTTTTTTTGCTGTGGGGGTGATGATCACTACGTGCATTCAAATTGAGAAATTTGCAAGAAATCTTTAAAATGTGTCAAATTCCGGCCCATGACGCTGTCACACAATGACCAACCCTTGCGAATGACGTCACGGGATCTTTAACGTCCACGTCGAAGCCATGTCACCGCCCTTTAACCTCGTTACTATTTAGTGTCACACTGCACGAGAGGCAAATTACTTGACTTGAAGTAATTAAAAACCACACGCTGACCCTGCTCTATTAGCGAAAGCATTTTCCAGGGTGTAATATTTGGTTGCCCAAATTTAAATTTTTTTACAAGCATTGGTTTGTAAAATTCCAACTCTATAGGCCTTCTTAGCCATTAGAGTTTACATCAGTCCCTCCTCTCTATATTATTTGGTGCTGTCTTCCTGCTTGTCTGTGGTTCCTCGCGCCTCCGATTCATTCATTCAAGGTCTTGTAGAGCGAGCGAACGCTGTGCATGTCACAAGTTGAAATTATCATACATGCAGTGTAATTGAATTCAAGAGTCAAGAGTCTACCAATGTTCACCAAATGCTTGTGTAAATGGAGATGATTGGGTGGCTTGGGATCCCCAATACATGATGATTCACAAAATACTGACTTAAAAGATGTTTTACGTCATACCATTTCCCCACGCGAAGTCAATTGATTTTGAAATGTTCCCTTTATAGGTACCATTATAATTTCTTTTGTATTTGAGTTCGAAAGTGGGTTTGGCAAATTAACAATGAGGGTTTATTTATTGTGAGGTTGTAAGCCCCTTTCATGGGATGACCTTTTAGATGCAATGATAATAGCCTTGAAGATTTTCTTTTTCTTAAAAAATATAGTGTTATTCAATGAAAAAATATTTCTCACTTTGTTACCTTTATATGTAAGCAGGGATCCTCAATACATGATGGTTCAAAAGATTGACTTTTAAGACATGTTCTACGTCATACCATTTCCCACAAGCAGTTCCATATAGCAAGGGCGGATATGTAGCTGAATGGTTTAAAATTAAGCAAGCAATGTACTATGTTGAACTTCTTTCGCGCCATACGTAGGCAACCGTGATAACTGGCGGCTTGTGGCCCAAATCTTTGGTGGTGGTGGTGGATGGGAGGCAGCCATAGAGGGGGTTGGGGGTGCCAGCGCCGTAGAAATGTGTGGGGCGGGGAGGAAGAGGCATGAAATGTCAGCTGTGACTCTGTAACCAACAATGACGAAGTGTCATCGACGGGAACACATTTTGGTACACCCCCTTGTGGGGTCGATCTCCTTCAGCCCACACCTCCTAGGTTGGAGTGCTTTTTTTAAAGGGGGAAAATATGAAGTTAATCATGAAAAGATAAATACCAGTGTGCTTAAACTTTAATGCATTTAATCAGTGCGTATTACCCGCGATGAAATATGTATCAGAAGCGTGTAATTTGACGAAGAAAATGGAACGCAAGCTGAGAAGCACACAGAACATGGAGATGTCCTTGCTTATTGCATTCTATCCATTGCACCATAAGTGGCACATTGCATCTCATCTGATCCATACAAGGGTTACTTTGACACAGATGCTTCCGAGTGCCAGGTTGTTGTTGCCAGCTGTTGGCAGTATTCTCATCAATAAGTTGATTTATTTTTCGCGTGCTTTTTTAATTCGAGCAAGTGCTTCGGATTCGGTTGAGAATTTGGAAAGTCAGTCAAAATTCAAATTCAATTAGATTCGGCTCCAATAAATAGCATCCGGTTCGAAATATTCACAGTGTCCTATTTTTCGTTGCACACTATAACGACCGCACAAGAGTCGATTCGAACAGATGCACAGACCGGCATTCACATATTAATACGGCTATCTGGAGGCATATTTAATGTTCAGATTATACAGTCACTTCAATCTGAAAAAAAAAACTTTTGTTCATGTAATGTTTTCCCTTTTACTGTATGTGCCTGTAGTGTGTGTTCAATAGTAAATTTCTTGGCAGTGACGTTTGCATCACGAAAGATGCTATTAAGTCCCCTTAACTTTAATCTGTACCAGGTACTATTTAACCCTTTCCCATTAAGATGACGTACGTGTTAAGATGACGTACGTGTTTTTTTTTTTTATTCAAGCAAGTGCTTCAGTTTTCCTTCCGGTTCCGTTTCGATGATGCACACCAGAACGGAATCGGAAGAAATTGTAAAATAAAATAACTTTATCGGTAATGAGGCTCCCAAAAAGCCATGCGGCAGGGCGTGTGCCAGAGTTTGGCGCCAGCTATCACAGAGTGCGGTCGTGTTGCTACAGTTCTTTGCGGTGAGTACGATGTCTTTAAAAACAGCGGCGCTACGCCTCTCTAAATTAATTTCACGCCGAACCGCTTTCACGTTCCGAGATTCAGTAGTGAACGGGACACCCACCCTGCAACTTGCAGTCATTGCGTAATGGGGAAGGGTTAAAGTTATTGTGATACACGTGCAGCCCTATGCTCGCTTGCTCGCTCACACTTCCGCTGGTGGAAGGACCGTGGTAAGAGGGAACTAACTCCTGAAGCCCTCTCGGCATGGCATTGAGCTGCTGAACATATATTCTAGATTTGAAGCTTTCGTGACTGCAAGGATTCATACTTTTTGGTTTTTCCGGTAAAGTCACGTAGGTAAAATTTTTTAATAAAATAAATGAAAACAACTAAATTATATCACGACGTTTCGAGCGCAACACAAGCGTCCTTCTTCAGGTGGTGACAACGTAGCGAAAGCACAACCGCTTAAGTGTGTCATACACAACCGCTTAAGTGTGTCATACACAACCGCTTAAGTGTGTCGTACACACTTTAAGCGGTTGTGCTTTCGCTACGTTGTCCCCACCTGAAGAATGATGCTTGTGTTGCGCCCGAAACGTCGTGATTTAATTTAGTTGTTTTCATTTCTTTAATAAAAAATTTTACCTCCTGAACATATTGTCGTACACGAGAATAGAGACACATTTGAGGGGGGCACTAGAGGGTGATTTGGCCTAATCTTCCACGGTAATTGTTTTGTATCTGCAGTTCTAATGATGTCTTCTGTTTTGTATGATTGAACCGAAATTATTGTTTTACAATAAATTATTGCAATTTTTGTCATACACTTCAAATTTGGACTTGATGTCTTGTACATTTCTTGTTTGATGTGATTTATGATGCTGCAGGTTCCTGGTGGCTTTTACAGAGGAACTAAAATGCATCGCAGAACATTTATGGGTAAGTCTCTCCAGCCGCAGCTTTAATATCACTTGACATTTTTGTTACATGCAGTATTGAATTGCAGGTAAGTTTTGTATGGGCAACACAAAGTACAAGGTGTTTCTCCAGAAATAGATTGCAGCAGTGACGCTGTTCAAAATGTAAGTGGTATATGAACTTGCTAAATTGCAGATTGTGATAGCCAAAGACCCGTGTCACCCACGTTATTATATATTTAACATTTGAATGCACCTTACGCCATACAATGAGCATGCACCATCACGCAAACTCCACTCATCCTCGCTGTGGCTTTTGGCAAGCCGTCAAACAAAAACGGCCACACTGCATCGCTTGCTTTCAGATGTGCGTTTGTAGCCATTTGGAATTCTCTTCTGATATGAGGAAAGCACTCGAGTTGTGCAATTTTAAATGTATGTATGTTAAACTTCTTTTCCACCGTACGTAGCCAAACCATGCTTTTTGGAGTTGCGATTGAAAATCTAAATTGAAAACCCATTTCTTTCGAACTGCTTTTCGTGTTTAGTTTGTTGTCCTTCCCCCTGCGTCTCTGATTAGTACGGTTGGCTAAGTACGATGCGACAGAAGTTCAACATACATACATATAAATGCTTGATTTAGTCATGTGAATCTTCACCTCCCTCTGCCCTGAATTTATTTTTTTGTTTATGAGTCACAATGCAACTGAAGAAGCTCTCCATTTTTTATTATGCCGGATGGCTGGTTCATCTCTTCTCTGATGTATTTTCTGCCTGGCTCGTATTGTCTTGCTCTGTTTCTCACCTGCTCCGTATGTCTGTTTTGTACTGTCTTGTTTTTTTTACTGCCAGTCCAGTCTGGCCCATTCTCTTCTGCCATCTCATTTGAAATATCTCGTTTATTGTTCCATTTCATTTGGTGCAATTATATCCATCAGTGTAATTCCAAACATGCAACCTCCTCGTTTCTTTCAGACGTTTTCAGCTTTTGTGCCATATTCTTTGCCACTATCCATATTTTTAACCATACTTCGGCACATTGGTACGTTGCATTTATTCTAGATTTAAAACTTTCGTGACTGCAAGGATTCATACTCTTAGTTCTTTCGGTAAAGTCACGTAGGTAAAAAATGAAATTAAAATTAATAAAAAATAAAATAATAAAATCACGACGTTTCGGAGGCAACACAAGTCCCACCTGATGACGGAGACTTGTGTTGCCTCCGAAGCGTCGTGATTTTATTATTTTATTTTTATTAATTTTAATTTCATTTTTTACCTACGTGACTTTACCAAAAGAACTAAGAGTACGTTGCATTTACTTTAAGTTCATTTTTCCAAATCATTCCAACCAGTTCTATTTAAAAATGTTGATCCTGATCTATGCTCAGTAACTGCCCTAGATACACACATGCTAATCTGTATTCCAGTTGTGCATCTCCGACATATCTTCATTCATTTAGTGAACTGGTTGTTTTGATGATGTCCACAGTGATACAATTTGGTATAATGGAGCTATGCCATTCCAATCTAGCAAGAATCCATCATAACTCCTGCAAATGGGCTGTTACATGGCAATGTTATTGAAATGGTGGAAAGCTGTTCTCCATCTGTACATGTTTATTCATATTGTATGAATTATTTATTTTGTTTTTAATTAGTCTTGTCTTGCAAACGGGTGTATTTTATTGCATTCGCATAAGCTTAAATTACACGTGATTATTTCTAAAGTGGCGGCACAGATAACCCGGTGGCCTGGGTGCCCTAACTCATACATTCAATCCATCGGTCATCCCATTTAAGGAATAATTAAATGCGGCTGCTTAAAGCAAGTGTGTGTGTGTGTGCGTTTTGGTGGATCCCACCTATATGTGGTAGTACAGCGGTTAGCGCACTGCGTTACGAATCCGGCGACCCGAGTTTGATTCCCGCGCACGGCCAACACCAGTGACGAGTATCTAAATGGGACCTGAGCCTCCCCTAGGTCCACTCAGCCTCAAATGAGTACCTGGTGCGGTGCGTAACCATCACTAATAGGGAGACAAGGTGGCCAGATGTGATGCTGGACACTCATCCTCCTCGTGTGCCGTGCCGGCTTTCACAGGTGCTGCTACTCGCTGACAGCACTTGCCACAAAAGTCTGTTAAGGCTACAGGGGGGATCTTTACTTTGGATCCCACTGTAAATGTTGCTCAACTGCGAGGTTGTCCTTGTAATGATCACATAACTTGAGCATTTGTGGGAATGCAGTCACGCACGTCAATAGTGTTGTGCAACATGCATTAGGAAGACATTGGGACCTTTCGATTAGCAGTAAACTTATATGGGTGCCCAAAAAATTGTCATTAATGACTAACGGAATCACCCTGGAATCACCAATTGACACACCATTTGCATTTGTATAATGAAGGATATTTGTTTTAAAGAAATGTATAAACTAAGGACAATTTTACTGCGATGCATCTGGCCATTTTAACCTAGTTCCTTGATGCTTCCTGGAAAGACATTTCTTCAACTCTCACATAGTATTACTGTTAGTGGCATAAAATACATATCTATTGTATTATCTTTTCTTGATCAACGAGTTTACAGACATAGAATAATAAAAAGAAAACATAATAAATTGAGAATTGTTTTATTATGTTTTATTTTTATTATTTTATTACTTCCCTTCTACGTGACTTTACCGAAAGAACCAAGAAGGTGAATCCCTGCAGTCACGAAAGCTTTAAATCGAGATTTTACAGACATACTTTAGCCATACACATGATTGCTAAAACAAATGTATAGCAACTGCTTAAATTAAGTATTTATGGGTGACATTTTCATCAAAACAGGTTTTAAATGTACGTGGGTAATTTATACTTTTTGCTGTTGTGTCTGTTATTGTTTTGCAGCCGTGCACCAGCGGAAGAGTTTACATCCAACCGCAAGGTTAGTGGGTAGAAAAATGTGCCAGTTCGTGTGCCAACCTGGGTTTTAAGAAACTCGAATGTCATCAAATATTGTCCAGGATTAGCTAATGAGGTTTTTATTATATTAGGGCAGTCATTAAATGTTTAACTTGTCACTTTCATTGAGATTTAAGTGAACATTACTTGAGCCTCGTATTCAATTTTGACAGTTTAAAACTTGCAACAACAACAAATTTCACGGCTGCAGCGCCGATTTGCAATTTATTTATTAATTTCTATTGTTAACAGGATATGGGGCTCATACAAAATGAAAACTCATCCTTCGGCAAAATAAATTCCCACACAATGTACAATTAATGTCTCGTTGCGATGAACTGGTGGCTCGGTGTATTATATTGCCACGGCAGTGTTCCGAGCCCCACCGTTGAGATACAGGGTTCGAGTATGGACAGTCATTTGTGATTAAATATCACCCTGTAGTGATTCTAGATTTTAAGCTTTCGTGACTGCAAGGATTCATATTCTTAGGTTTTTTCGGTAAAGTCACGTAGGTAAAACATTAACATTAATAAAAGTAAAATAAAATAAAAAATCACGACGTTTCGGAGGCAACACAAGCTTCCGTCTTCAGGTGGAACCGTCACAGCCACGACAGCTGTACGTGACTTTACCGAAAAAACCTAAGAATATGAACCCTGTAGTGGATTCATTATAATACATAACGATTTTTTTTTGCTCCTGGGTAGTAGTTGTTATTTCTAATTTCTTATGCCTCAAAAGTACAGAAAATGGCTATTATTCCCCACAAAAATGGCTATTATTTTCCACATCTCATATATAGTCTATACCAATGACTGCACACAAAAACGCCATTATTTTTTAATTCGGTTTTTTTTGTCATTCAGCATAGCCTAGCTCGGAGGACTGAACACTTCAGGTTTAATTTCTCTGCCAAGGAAAACTATTTGCAGGAAAATTAAAGATTGTGTCCTTGGTATAAATAGAGGCCTTTTGAAGGGAAGTTGCAGGCATACTTCTCTGATGTCATCTTTCAGGGCTGTTCTCTTAACCCTGCCTTGCAGTAAACGTTTTGAAGGGGCTTTTGTTGTTGTCCTCTTGTGGATGTGACACAAATGAATATATTTAGCAGGGTGAGGGGGGGGACCCTTTGGTATGAGAATCACATTTCTGTGTTTGACATAAGCACCACGTGGCCGTGCTTAGGAAGTAAAACAGTGAATTTAAGAATGTGTTGTTAACACGAGGAAGCACTCGCACAAATCAGAACTTATTTGGCACGCCCAGATAACAAACTCGGTTTCATTTGTAACGATGTACAGTTTTTCATCCGTGTACTTTCAGGAAAGAAATAACGCTTCATGTTTTCATACGTTTGATGTGTCAAACATATGGAATTGTAGTTGTTGTTGTTGTTGTTGGCAAGTACCACGCAATTTAATGTTTTCTGTTGCAACTAGTTTTTAAGTAAAATTCGTAAATCATGTTTGCGTATATTTTCTAGTTATATTAACAATTTTCTTTAATGCATTTCATGCAAAATATTAGGCAATCTGTGATCACATACCTCTACATTTAAACATTATTTGGTGACGCTGCGTTGGCAGTGGTGCACAAGCACAATTTACAACAACAAAAACCGCATTCATCAACAGCACTGCGTCGCTTTAAGGGGCCGTCCATAAATGACGTCACGCACCTGGGGGGGGGGGGGGGTCAGACATTTGTGACGATGTGTGACGAGGGAGGGGGTGATAAATGGAACGTCACATCAAAATGCGCAACTTTAAATAAATATAGACAACACGTTCTACTTAATTAAATAGACTTTTTGATAAATGTTTTCTCCTACAACATCAGAGTGCAGAGGCACATTAAATACGCACTACAATGACAATAGTGTAAAGCGATTTGAAGCATGTTTTATTTTTTTGGGAGGGGGGGCAGAGCTATGTGACGTCTTATTTTAGGGGGGGTCTGACTTTTTGTGACGCCATGTGACGAGGGGGGGGGGGTCCAAAATCGTCCAAAATCACGTGACGTCATTTATGGACGACCCCTAAACTGTAATAGGCATTTAACCAAACATGCTGCATATGATTTGCACTCGACTAGGTTGTGAACCAATTTTTCTTCAATGTACAAACCATAACGGTTCGTCACAAATGCACAAACACCTGTACAGGCTTCGGAACAAAAACATTTATTAAACGTGCTTTTGCTTTTCTTTTGCACAGCATTTACGACGCATTTCTAACTGAGAAGGCAAATGCATTTTTCAAGCTGAGGTATTCTGAGGTTGCATTGTCAATGCAACAAAAACAAGAAATGGTTTTGCCTAATATCCAATGGTCCATCTGTTCGTATTTGTAAAGTGAAAGCAATTTTTGTTAAAATCTTGTTGGGTAAAAAAATATTCGGTTTAATAACGAGGTTGCATTTTGTTTTCGTCAAATGCTTCATTCCCACTCAGGACCAGCATCGCACCACTTATCGGGGGGTTATCGGCCACATCACTGAGACTTGAGCCCGCTGGTTTTAGACGTGCCCCCAAGACGATGTGACTGGAGGTATTCAACAAAGTTGTCTTCAAGGAATCTACCAGTTTCCACACAATGTTATAGCATTTACAGCTTCGGCTGCCATCTGTCCTGGTTCTCCAAGGATGTCAGCTTTTTTTTTAAGAAAACCATCTTGGGAAATCTGCAAGTCTTCCCAGGATATTGAAATTCCGGGGTTTTTTTGTAATTTTCATAATACAAATGCACTACTTAAGACAATGTATTTCAGAATTAGTATATTTATTAACACTGGAGTAATCCGATGAGCTATAAACCTCTTTTTCACAGATTCCAGCAGGTCAGAACGTTACAACAAACAATACCAAGCACGATAAGAGTGCAAAGTATAGTAAAAGGTAAACAAATTTCTTAATCAACTAAGCTCCATATTTGTGTTCATCTTACCAGGAAAAAACCCACTGAGATATTTAGCTTTTTTCAGAAGCCACCTGGCCACATATGTTAGCTCGGCGAAGTTGCTGATCACGTGCAAATGTATACCAGTATTATTCCTCTTCTTCTTACCATGATGTGGCTGGGTTTCTTTGTAACTCAGAGGTGGCAACCCCTTTATACAGATCAGTGGTGGTATAGGGTAGGCAGTTGCTAAAGGCCAAAAACTGGGGCCACTCAAAAAAATGCTTTCACAATTCCATCCCCCCCACCATCATGTTATTTTCAGATATGCTTTCCCCCACCTCACTTTATGCCCAGGGCATGAGTAAACCCAGCACTGAGCCTCTCGGTGAAGCAGTACATCTGATGAATTTTGATATACGTGTGAGCTTGTGAAGTATCACATATATATATTACGCTTTGGGCATCGAGATGTTAACTACCTCGCCTGGTATGCAGGAGGTCGTGGGTTCGAGCCCGACCCTGACACCCGTATATATTTGGAGTTTGCATGTTATCCCTATGGCCGGGTGGATTTTTCTCCGGGTCCTCTGGTTTTTCCCCTCCACATTTAGAAACACGTGTTTAGAATATTTGACTGCTATAAATATCGACATAAGCCACTTCGTTCAGCTATCATATGTGGCCATGTCGCTTCTGAAAAAAAGCTATATAGCTCAGTGGGCCTTACACCGGATGAAAAAAAAACTTAGGATGCCAGATCACCAAAAGTGCGATGTAATTCTTCAGTAGCATTTGACATGTATTTGAAATTTAAATGTATTTATGCATGTTTTACTTTTGAACAAGTTGTTTCAGTCTTGGTGTCGCTTTAAGATGTTCTGTGTTCATATTTTGTTTGTTGCGGTTGCACCGACTTAAGAGCCTCACAGGGCGATACCTAATAAATGAAACTTGAAAACCTGAAACTTATGGGAAAACAAAAATGTTGGAATTGTTAAATCAAAGTTGTTCATCTAGCGACGTTCGTCCACGTATCTTTTTTAGGGCTCCACCAAATTGTAGAGTGTAATCAACGACAGTGTCAGCGAAACTCTCCTTCTTCTCTGTACTCTGTGAAAGGGCCATTTACATAAAACGTGAACCGAATATATAGACACATTTTCTGTTTTAAGGCAGTGTTAATGATGTGTTTTTTTAAAATATATTGTCTTAGTTTAATAAAAAAAAAATGTATGCTATTAATTACCAACAGCAAAACAATCACCAGTATTTTTTATTGACAGATAAATGTTGAGAGTATCTAGCACATTATTATTGATGGTAATTTAATTCTCGTCACTGTGTTTTGTCTCGTTGTTGTTGTGACTCGTGCGAGCATTTTCATAATATTATGTAAATGGAATGGGCCGAACATTCCGATGTAGGACCGTCCTGAATAGAACATTTGCATAGAAGAAAAAATGGCATTGATAATATTTCAGCATTTCTACTCTACGTCCTCTCACTTCTAACATTGAACGAGCTAAAGGTTCTGAACCCATTTAGACCTCAACATTTCAGCGACGTTCACAATGTATAGCGGCCATTTGTTGGCTCACGACAATTAATTTTGGATAAACTATGAAACGATGCTTTGCGAATATTATCACAACAAAACCTTCTTAAATGTTTTTCTTTTCGCATGGAGGGCTCCTAAAACATAATTAGTGTCAACAATACATATTTAACTCAGCTTGACCTCTGTTGTTTGCTTGCACATTTACTCATTTAAAAAAATAGTTGTCCCAAACAGTGGTGACGTTGAATTACTGCTTTCTTTAGTCTGTGTAAGGCGATCCAGAGAAAGTCATTACAAGAACCTTCCACAGTCATTGGTAGGCCTTTTACTGGAACTAATAGCACAATTACGCCAAAATCTATTTCCAATTTGGGCAGCAGCATGACCTTTAATGCTTAATTGCCTCTCCTCCTGTGTTGGTTAATGCTGGGTTCAAGTGGCCCGTTCTGCGCAGTAATACATATAAAAATGTAGCAGACCGGTCATGCCTTTCCTTTCAAATTTGTTGCCCAAACTTATTGC